CTCACTCTCCGGCCTCGCGTCGCCTCCTCTCCGGCCTCGCGTCGCCTCCTCGCTCGTCGACCTCCCTCGCTCGGCTTGCCGCGACTCAGGAACAGTTCTTCCTTTTTGCTTCTCAGCTGCGTGCGAGCCAGCGAGGTTGCTCGGAATCGCGAATCGCTGCCTTCTTTCCAAGTAAATCGAAGCTAAAGATCGTTCCTTTACTCGGGAATACCGCGGCGAAGCCGATCGGCGCGTCGTTTCCTCGCTTGTTCCGGCGGATTTGGTGCTGTTCCGCGGTTGTTGAGGCTTTATTTGGCTTGCTTACTGGTGGTAGTGAAGTGGGGGTGGGTCGTTTGCCTTCGGGTTTGTCGTGGGTCGGTTCGTTGCTTCGTTTGGCGAAGTGGGTGTGCATGGTCGGGGATCGATGTGATGAGGCTGAGTCCGTTTCTTGGTCGCCCTTTTGGTGTGTGTTTTGAGGGTTTTTTTTAGCTGCTTCGGCCTTGTTTGGTGCTGATGTGTGGGTTGAAATGTTGTCTTTGTCTTTGCGCATCTGGCGCTTGTGTGGGCATTTCGGTGGGCGATGATTGTTTAGCTCCTGGTTTTGTTTGTGGGTTTGCGAGATTCGTGTTAGAGTCATGAATTTGTTTGGGTTTTTTTGGGTTGATGCGCCGCTTTGCATAACTTTTTTTTTTGGGTTGGATTTAGATTTTGCGAGGCTTGCGAACTCTGTCGGTGTTGCTTCTCTCCAAGTAGAGAGGCAACTCTCGGCCCTTGTGAAGCAATGCTAGTTCCTGTTTTCGTGAACTGAAAAATGTGCTGCATACGATTGGGTTTTTCCTCTTTAGGTTATAGTTTTTTTGGTCCTTATGATGTAATATTTAAGGATAATGTATTTCATTCTTAGGGATATGTGATGTGTATTATAATGAAATGACTCCTTTTTTTTAAAATTTGTGAATATATTTCTATTATGTTATTCTCGTCGCGAAAATATAAAAGTTACCGTCATTATTGTTTTTACTTCAATTTTAAACAATTAAATTTAAAAAAACATAAATTGGTTACACCAAAGGACTTTCTAAATATATGTTTACCAAACAGCTTGCATTTCCCCAAAACACTTTTCAATGGATGTTTGCCAAACAGTCCTGCATTTCCCCAAAGCCCTTTGTGCTAAATGGCTTTTCATTTGGCCAAAGACTTTCCCCAAATGCCGAACCAAACAGGCCCATAGTCACCACTGCCCAGCAACCTTTAGCTGTCTCATAAATAATCAAGCATGGAACGTCACAATACGGATTTTTAACTTGATGACTTTGTACAGATGTTCACTACATCTAATCGTATTTGGGTTCAAAATGTACTAAAGCGCAAAATTTTAATTTACAACATTTTTCCCATCGAAACTAAAAAGTAAAACATCTTAAAATGATTTTTGTCTGTTTTATGATGTTATATTGTTTATTTGTAATCAAGTGTAAATGGGATTCTTTTATGAAGAAAATTATCTAAAAAGTCCTAAACCATTCGGTCCTAAACCTTTCAATTGTACAAATCTAATCCTATACCTTTTGACGATTTATCAATTTAGTCATAAACCTATCAATTACGTCAATTTAATCCTAAACCTTTTGGCGATTTGTCCATATAGTCATTCCGGCCAAATATCCAAATAATAGATTTAGGATTAAATTGACAAATCTTCAAAATGTTTAGGACTAAATCGACACAATTGAATGATTTATGATTGAATTGGCTGTGGTGCGATAGGTTTAGAACATTTGGACAATAATCCCTTCTTTTATGTGCTCTACAATACTTTACAATGACTAATGGTGTTTTCACCATAAGCAAGGGGAAAACGTTGTAAAATGTAAGATCTCATAATTTATGGTGTCATGGCATTTCATAATATATAAAAGTATTAATTCTTTTAATTGAATGAGGCCACGCTGATTTTCATAACTATTCTACAATGTCATAAAAACACAAACAAATGGATTCTATAGTACAATAAAAATCCCATTCTATAATTTCAAAAACTCTTCCAGTTGCCTACTCTTTGAAAAAGTTTCTTGTGGTCATAATTGCACCCATCTTCGTTGAATTAAGGACGAGACACACAGCTTCGGTTGATTCAACAAGTTATTGAGTCGCATGTCTTTACAAGCGCAAGATACGCTCTACACGAGAGAACTACTGTATTCAACAGGGAAAGTGACACAAATAGTTTATATACGATGTCGTTCGAAATTCGAAATCATTTGAATATTTCATAACCACGTGATTCGTTTTACCATGCCAGAGGTGGAATGGATAATTCTTCGTAGCGTAAATAATTCGCCGGGTCACAACGAAGATCAGAAGAAGTTCGAGATGGTCAGCGACGCTGACGAAGAGGACACTAGATACGTGCGTGATTACCTAAAATCACCAACTCTCTAGAATTCAAAATTCTGATTTGCCCAGTAAACGCAATTACCAGTCAAATGGGTTGTTTATCTGCCATTATCTTGGGGGATGTTGTCCTGGGTCATGCTCTGATGAATCAATCATGACTAAAATTATAAATTTGTTACATTATTTTATGTGCTAATGTTGGATGCCATTGTATTTAGCACTAATAGGTAATCACACAAGAAATATATTCATTTCTGTTAAAATATTACGGATCACTTGTTTTCGTGGTTTATATGCTCTTAATATACATGCGAGTCTTCCTCCATCTATCCGCTTAAACTTTTGGTTGGACTCTTCAATATGGTTTCAAATTCAGGTTCTGCCCCAATTCATATTGCGTGTGCGGCTCCCAGTTCATCAAATTGTTCGTGTCGTAAATTCGACTTGTGTGTGTGAAGCGCATTAAGGTATCCAATATCATTTGCTTACGGGATTCATATGTTTTTTTTATAAGTATGTGATCTACATTCACCTATCAGTTTAAGTTTTTGGATTGTACTATCCATCAATTTTCCGTGATACAAATCCGTTTGCACACACGGTGAAGGGACTTCTAGACTTGAGTAATTATCGAAAAATATGTCTGGACCCACAAAGAAAAAATGCATTGAAATATATGCAAGATGTGACCTCGTAATGCCTTCGAGAATCATACATGTGAAGAAGAACACAAATACGTACGAGGTAGTATTTGCTACTAGTCAAACCTTGATGTTTAGTCACTTTACTTTTCACCATTTGCCTCATAAGTCTAGCTTATTTGATAGACTTATCCAAAGATTGATTCTAGAAAGTGGAGACCCTTACGGGACAATTTGTAATTTTCTCTCGGGATATTTCTGCAAAATCAACTAAACTTTTTCAAATTAATACAAATATTACATGCACCTATACAAATTATACTGGTATAACTATAGGTACCTTCATCTCATTCATGGCTTATATGAATAAGGTTCGCGATTGAATAATTAGTACGGTATAGTTAGTACCCTTTCATTCGCGTTGTAATAGATTCTTATCATATTTCGCCAATTTCATTTACCGTTATTCCCCAACGTCAGTTTTTAAATTTTGCATGTAGAGATTATCTCTTTTCCCCTCTTGCTGTATGAAATGAACCTATTTCTAATTTTTCATTGTTATAGTAACCTTGCGACAGTATATAAAGTTGATAAGAAAAAGGAAGTAAGATACATGATTTCCAGTCAAATTTAAGTTGTTACTTCAAATGCGAGTTGAACACAATCGGAAACACAGATTGTGCAACATAGCAATGCAGCTAAAGCAAATTATATTTCAGGTTAGTAGAACAAGAAAAGAAGCGGCAAAAGAACACTACAAGTGCCATAACTTGTGTACGGCGCTCACTTTAGTGCCATAATTTTTTTTTTGGATCACTTTAGTGCTAAAATTTTTGAAAAATGATCACTTAAGTGCTAAAATTTTTGAAAAACGATCACTTAAGTGCCAACTCCGGTGCCGTACACAATTTTTCGCCGGAAATCTGACGTGGCATTTTTTTTATTAATTTCTGAAGCTGACGTGACTCGCCGGAGTCTCGCCGGAGATTGGCACTTAAGTGATCGTTTTTCAAAAATTTTAGCACTTAAATGTTCGTTTTTCAAAAATTTTAGCACTTAAGTGATCGTTTTTCAAAAATTTTAGCACTAAAGTGATCCAAAAAAAAGTTATGACACTTAAGTGATCGTTTTTCCTCCGACTTGGCACTAAAGTGATCCGAAAAAAAGTTATGGCACCAAAGTGAGCGCCGTACACAAGTTATAGCACTTATAGTGTCCTTTTGCCGAAAAGAAGCACTTGGTGTGCTAATCCATTATCTCATACCTACAAATTTTAATGATAACAACTCTCAAGGGCCACAGACTTGTGTGATTCTATAATTACACGATCTGATCAGATAAAAATCGTCACAGTCGACAGAGGATGGCGTTAGCCATTAATTACCCCTCGGCACTCCTAACCACGTTAAAAAACCACTTCATATGGTAATTTTAATTTAACTTGGTCATAATTTGTTATGGCATAGTATTTGATAAACCAATCTTTACACCGGTAATGCTACTGTTCCTACCTATAGTATGATGATGATTGCCTTGTCACATTTTGTTTCTTTGCATATGATACTTATTTCAGAGCTCAAGTTGTTGTCTCGAAAACATCTTTTTGCATGATTTACCCTTTTAATGCGTAGCGAAGCCTCCCACATCAACTTAATTATACAAGTGCGCGAACAATTTCTTGCGAAAACCGGCCTTCGCTCCCTATAATCAATCCCATGCGGAAGATTTTTTCGCGAATTATCTTTGGTTGAATACAATACAATAGTTTCTCAAGTTGTCGTTGCCCGCATTTTCCGCGAAGTTCTCCGCGAGCTAATCCAACTAAAAATCGAACATGCGAAGCTGCAAAAGAAAAAATCGCGCCCTTTGAAACTTCTTCCCTTTGGTCCAAAACCATGACAATTTCAAGCCTTCACTGATCTCCTCTCAATGCCTATATAATATGCACGCAAATAACATTCTCATCACAAACACAACACGAAGGTGACACCACTTCATCTCACAGCTCATACACATCAAACTATAAGTAACAATATGTCTTCGGCCCGCTTCGTCTTGCTGTCGCTTTGTTCTACCCTCCTCCTTCGGGCCGCTCTCGGCGCCTTCCCGTTCTACCACGTTTGCTCGACCTCCGGTAACTTCACTGCCAACGGCCTTTATGAATCCAACCTCAACAAGCTCACCAGCTTCCTGTACACCAAGACCCCTTCCTCGGGCTTCGGCCACGGCTCCATCGGCCAGTACCCAGACCAGGTCTACGGCCTCGCGCTGTGCCGAGGCGACCAATCGGCCTCAGACTGCAAGGCCTGCGTGGCCGATGCTGGTGCCGAGATCCGCCGCCGCTGCCCTCGCAACAAGGGGGCGGTAATGTGGTTCGACGAGTGCATGTTCAAGTACCTCGACACCGACTTCTTCGGCCAGATCGACAATGCCAACAGGTTCTCCTTCTATAACATTAACAACGTGAGCGACCCTGAAGCGTTCAACAGCAAGGTAACGGGGCTGCTGACCGGGCTGGTCGAGGAGGCTTACACGGTGCCGAAGCTGTACGCGACCGGAGAGATGGGACTGGAGGATAAGATGAAGCTGTACGGATTGGTGCAGTGTACAAGGGACCTGTCGGCGACGGAGTGCAAGGAGTGTTTAGAGGGCGCGATCGGCAAGCTTCCGAGCTGTTGCGACGGGAAGGAAGGTGGACGAGTGCTTGGCGGGAGCTGCAACGTTAGATACGAGATTTACCCTTTTGTCAACGTTTAAGAGTCCTAGCTCAAGGACCTTAGTATGGTTTGATTATTCCCTAGCTAGGGTGTTCCTAGCGTAAATAAAGTGAAGGCGAGTGTGGGAGTTTACCTGACACTCTTTCATTAAATGAATGGATTATATAGGCTGTTTGCATATAGAAGTTTGATGTATTCATCAATATGCCATCACTAATTTCTTACACAAACGTTCTCGTTATGTTTTAAGTTAGCATAACCGGTGTTATGCAAAAGTCTACATTCTGTAATTGTCATTACATAAGTGTGATAGTGCACGCGCGCGTGTGTATATATTTGTGTGTGTGTATATATATATTAATAATCCAATCTTCCACAACTTGATACGAAATGATTGATGCAGAACGCACTACTATTGTGAAAATTTCTTTAGGGTTTTGTGACCATTCAATACCCTAGGCAAAGAAAATTTCGGTGATTGTGTCCAAATATTGACCTACCCAATTACGTCTATATTTTTAAATGTATTACATATGAACCGTACGCTTACAAAAATGAACAAATAAAAATATTTTCAGCAACTACAGAAATAGTTAGGTATAGATTATTGTCGATAATGAAAATATTTTTCGTTGAATTTCTAAGTGAAATAACCAATCAATTTTTGAAAAATATTTTTCAAATCTCGAGTTTACGGTGAAACAAACGGACCCTTTCTTCTCCATGGTCACCGACATATATAGCTAAGGTTTATATTTCCTTCGATCAGGATCTTGACGGGCACATGCTCTAATATCACCTGCATCCAACTTTAAAGACATAATCCAATAACTGAATAAGAAAAATGAAGGAAAAGTAGGAATCTATTGCTCTCTCTTCCCACTCATAGTTTCTCTCTACCGAGTCCGAGCCGAAAGCTACACTCGTTACAATAAAAAAGTAAATGGGTAGTGACACAAATGGTTCTTAAACTTTAGCACAATATGCAATAGGGTCCCCGAATCTAAAATTTGTTCAATGTGGTTTTTGAACTTTTGGTACATGTTTAATTTAGCCCCTGAACTGTATGAAAATGTTCAACTTGATTTAATAGAAAGTTAATAGTGAACATTTTCATACAGTCAAAGAACTAAATTGAACATGCACCAAAAGTTCAAGGGCCACATTTAACAAATTAAAAGTTCAAGAACAATATTGCACATTGAGCTAAATTTCAGGGATCACGGTGACTAAATTTAAAGTTTATAGATGGAGCCAAAGTTCAGCGACTATTTGTGTCATTCACCCAAAAGAAAACCTCGTTTACTGTAGTTGTGCCCGTGTCCACGGCCACGAGAATTGACATCTTTTCGGAAGGTGGACATGGATTCATTTCTTTGGAGCTTAATCTAATTTGACTAGTATAGGGCACTTTAGCAATCCAATATAAGTAAGCAATAACACTATTAGAGAGAATGGTACTACACGGGGTTATCCAAAAAAGAATTATACATTGTATTTATATTGAAAATGAGACTGACTTTGTGTCAACTCGTGCGCAGGTACAGACACTATAATTTCGTCATTCGACTTCGAGCTAGTTTCGCCATTTTGTTTTTTTCTGAAGTTAAAGCCATAAAAGCAAGGAAAGCTGCGGCCAAATTAAGGTCAACACCGTCGTTTTAGCCATTAGTCAACCTCCCCTCCTCTAGAAAGGTTGACTTCCGATGAGATAAGAGCTCATAATTGTAAAGGGGACCCGCAAATTTTGTTTTTTTATTTTTTATTTTTATTTTTCCTCCATTGCACCATTCAATAGAATCTAGAATCTGCGACGTCGCCCTCTTGCTGAGCCTAAAGGATATTCTTGCGGCAATTAAGTCCATACATGGCCGATCACAATTGCAATGACAAATGAGAGAAAAGGAAGGTTATGTTTGTTCTTTTGATATTAACTGGGATTGAAGCGTGCCCTATGTTTGACGTATATTTATGGTTAGCTGAAAACTCTCTATTAAGGAGTATTCTTAGAAATATTAGTAGATATTAGGGTTATTATATGACACTTTGTTATCTTATAAGATAGCTAATTTTCTTATTAGATTGCACTATTTCCTTTCATATGCATATTGTTCGGGTTTAAATGTGCTTCTCTAATAAAGTGTAATGTCAAGTGGGAAAATTACCAAAAAAGTCCTCAACCTTTTGCAGTTGTGCCAATTCAGTCCTAAACCTTTTTTTTTTTGTCAATTCAGTCCTAAACCTTTTGTAAACCAGCCAATTCAGTCCTTTTGGCCGGGCAGCGCTAACGTGGACGCCGGCCGGCAGCCCGTCAGCCGGCCAGCGGCCATGTCAACGCCGGCAGGCCAAAAGGACTGAATTGGCTGGTTTGCAAAAGATTTAGGACTGAATTGGCCAAAAAAAAAAGGTTTAGGACTAAATTGGCACAACTGCAAAAGGTTGAGGACTTTTTTGGTAATTTTCCCAATGTCAAGTCAATTGAGTAAAGATATAGTCTTTATTGATTTTCTCTCTTTCTCTCTTGAATATCCTAGAATAGTTACACCATAACCCCATAAGATCATGATTAGATATCAATTCGAGGTGAAAAATTTCTTCGGAGTAGGGAATGCCGATCCATGGAGAGTTTTGCAACATTGATTTACTACGATCAGCGGTTCTCGTGGACCGTCTTTGTATCCTAGGGCCACGCCATATAAGTGTTCCCAAACCATGTGTACTTGCCCTATGCGATCAAAGTGGGAGAGACGTTCTGGCATTGGAGAAAAGGAGAAGCGAAAATCCATTAACGGAAGCGTACATTTTCAATCTGGTTATGTGTGCCAGACCCACGTGAGATCTCCAAGAGCAAGGACAGTAATACGAAAATAAGCGATCCAATAATAAAATAAGATAATAAATTAATCACCGAATTTATGTGGTTCGATCGATATGACCTACGTTCGGAGAGAGCAGCAAATAATTCCACTATAAATTAAATGATACGACGGAAATTACAACCACACTAGAGTTACTCAAAGTGTTTCCAATCTCCAATTACATCCAAGAAACAACAAATGTTTAGCCCTATAATTCTTCAAGAAATAACATCTCGATTTCACAAAAAGAATCCATAAATATTACTAAGCTTTAATGAGAATGAAGGGCCTAGTCTGCTAATTTATTCTCTCATACATACAAATTGTAATGATAATGACTGTCAAAAGTCATAGACCTTTGTAATCCCGTAATTACCCAATCTGATCAAATAGGAATCATTACAGTCGAAAGAGGACTTCACTAGCAATTAACTAGCCCTCGCCACTCCCAAAAACACCACAAAAATACTTTAAATGGCAATTCTATTAAACTTGGTCATATTTTGCTATGGCATGGTAATGAATGGCCGTATAAAACTGCGCAAATCAATTTGATCAACCGATCTTTACATCGATAATGCTACTGTTCCTACCTATAGTGTGATGATGATTGCCTTGTCACATTTTGTTTTCTTTCCATGGGATACTTATTTCAGAGCACAAAGTTGTGGTCACGTGATCATCCCCCAGACACATAGAAACGGATGAACAGCTAATCAAAGCATAGCAAATACCAAGTCTGCGAAGTGGGTAGAGGTACAGAGAATAGCACAGCCCACGGCAGTTTGTCTCCTTTTTCCATCGAAGATTGCCCTGTCATGTTTAGCTAACTTTGATAGTCATTAGCCCTAAAGTAGACCTTCATCTTTCTGCTTAATTTATATGGCATCTTCCATCACCATTTTGCCAATCACCATTTTGCCAATGTTATGTATGTAGAAATGTTTTCGGAATGGTTGGTGCAAAACTTATTATTATTGTGGAAATACCTTTTTAGTTTGTGACCATTCAATATTCTAGGTCAATGTCCATGAGTCAAGCTCTAACTGGATATTGGGAGAAAAAAAATGCACATCACCTCAGCAAATGACGTGGCGCTTTGAAACCACCGAATATTTTCTCCTATTTCAGAGCACAAAGTTGTGGTCCCTTGATCATCCCCTAGACATATAGAAAGAGATGTACAGCTAATCAAAGCATAGCAAATACCAAGTCTGTGAAGTTGGTAGAGATAGAGAGAATGGCGTAGCCCACGGCAGTTTATCTCCTTTTTCCATCGAAGATTGCCTTGTCATGTTTAGCTTACTTTGATACAGTCATTAACCCTAAAGTGGACCTACATCTTTCTGCATAATTTACCCTTTTAATGCGTAGGGAAGCATCGTACGTCGACTTAATTATACAAGTGCGAGAACAATTTCTTGCAAGAATGGACCTTCTCTCCCCAAAATCAATCCGATACATTAGACTATTTCACGAGTCATCTTTAGTTGTTGTAGCCCACATTTGCGGCCAAGTGTTCTGCGAGCTAATCCACCTTAATTTAACCCCATCTCTCTTATAATATTCCAACGACGCCACCCAAGAATGAAGATTTCTACGCACTCAAAATCGAGCATGCGAGCTGCAAAAGAAAAAGTCGTACCCTTTGAAGCTCCTTCCCTTTGGTCAAACCACGACAATTGACAACTTCAGTGTTATCCTCTCAATGGCTATATATATGCATGCAAATAACATACTCAATCTCATTCTCATCACAAACACAACACAAAGGTGACACAACTTCATTTCACAGCATATCTTATATCGAATCTTGAGTAACAATATGTCTTCGGCTCGCTTTGTCTTGCTCTCGCTTTGTTCCGTCCTCCTCCTCCAGGCCGCCCTCGGTGCCAACCCTCTCTTCCACTTCTGCTCTACCTCCGAGAACTTCACCGCAAACAGCCCATACGAATCAAACCTCAACAAGCTCACCAGCTTCCTCTACACCAAGACCCCTTCCTCAGGCTTCGGCCTAGGCTCCATCGGCCAGTACCAAGACCAGGTCTACGGCCTCACACTGTGCCGGGGCGACACGTCACCCTTGGACTGCAAGGCCTGCATTGCCGACGCTGGCGCCGAGATCCGCCGCCGCTGCCCTCGCAACAAGGGGGCAATAATCTGGTACGACAAGTGCATGTTCAAGTACCTCGACACCGACTTCTTCGGCCAGATCGACAATGCCAACAGATTCTCTATCTATAACGTGAACAACGTGAGCGACCCTGAGGCGTTCAACAGCAAGGTAAGGGGGTTGCTGACCGGGCTGGTCGAGGAGGCTTACGCGATGCCAAAGCTGTACGCCACTGGAGAGATGGCACTGGAGGGTGAGACGAAGCTGTACGGATCGGTGCAGTGTACGAGGGATCTGTCGGCGACTGAGTGCAAGGAGTGTTTGGAGGGCGCAATCGGCGAGCTTCCGAGCTGCTGCGACGGGAAGGAAGGTGGGCGAGTGGTTGGCGGGAGCTGCAACTTTAGATACGAGATTTACCCTTTTGTCAATGTTTAAGAGTGCTTAGCTATAGGACCTGAGTTTGTTTAATTATTCCCCGGCTAAGGTTGTTCCTAGTGTAAGATATGGTGAATAAAGTGAAGGCGCGTGTCGGAATTTACCTGACACTCTTTCATTAAATGAATTGATTATATAGGTTGTTTGCATATAGATATCTGATGTATTCAACTATTCATCAATATGCCATTACTAATTTCTTACACAAAGTTAGCATAACCGAGGCTATGCACATATCTACATTCTGTGATTGTCATTACAAGAGAGTGATATATATAAAATAACAATCCGATCTTCCACAAGTTGATACCTACAATGCTGTAGTATGCAAATTATATGGGGTTAGAAATGCTTTCGGAATGGTTGATGCAGAACTCATTATTATTGTGAAAATATCTTTAGCGTTTGTGACAATTCAATAACCTAAGCAAAGAGAATTTCGGTGGTTGTGTCGAAATATTGACCTACCCAATTACGTCTATTTTTTTTAAAAAGGTATTACAAATGAATCATATGCTTACAAAATGAACGAATAAAAATATTTTCATCAATTACGGAAATAGTTAAATATAAATTGTTATCGATAATGAAAACATTTTTTGTTGTATTTCTAAGTGATATAATCAATTATTTTTTTAAAAATATTTTTCAAATCTCAAGTTATCAATGAAACAAATGCACCTTCTCTTCTCCATGGTCACCGACATATATAGCTAAGGTTTATATTTTCCTTCGATCAGGATCTTGATGGGCACATGCTCTAATATCACCTACATCCAACTTTAAACGCATAATCCGATAACTGAAAAAGAATAATGAAAGGAAAAGTAGAAATCTACTGCTCTCTCTTCCTACTCATAGTTTCTCTCTCTCCCAAGTCCGAGCTGAAAGCTCCGCTCATTAGCTGCCACCGCCTTGGTCCTCGCCGCTTGCCGGCGTCAAATCCACCGCCCCTCTGCTTCGTGAACCTGTTGCCGAGCCACCATGAGCTCGATCATGCACCTCTCTCTCTCTCTCCCTCTCTCTCCCCAAACACACGACTAGCTTCCGGGGCCACAAATTGAGGCTGATCTAAGGCCGTGGACATTCGTCAACTGCATATTGAGAGGCAAGTCTTTTGTCACCGACATCGGATCAACCTTGAAAATAGTATCATATCTCGAGACATAATATGGTCCATAAATTTTAAATTTGTTCAATATTGTCCATGAACTTTTGGTACATGTTCAAATTAGTTCATAAACTATACAAAAAGTTTCGATATTAACTTTATATTAAATCAAATTTATGGATAACATCGAACGTTTTCATACAGTTCAGAAACTAAATTAAACATGTACTAAAAGTCTAAGGACCACATTGAACAAATTATAAATTCAGGGACGACATTATACATTGGGTTAAACTTCATGGATCACGGTGAACAAATTTAAAACTTATAAATCACATTGCACATGGGGTCAAAGTACGGCGACCAATTGTGTCGTTCACCCAAAAGAAAGCCCCGTTTAACGTAGTTGTGCCCGTGTCCATGGCCATGAGAATTGACATCTTTCTAGAAGGTGGACATGGATTCATTTCTTTTGAGCTTAATCTAATTTGACTATTATAGGGCACTTTAGTACTCCAATATAAGTAAGCAATAACACTATTAGAGAGAATGGTACTATATGGGATTATCCAAAAAAGAATTATACATTGTGTATTGAAAATAAGACTGACTTTTTGTCAACTCGTGCGCAAGTACAGACACTATAATTTCATCATTCGACTTTCCACTTTTTTCGCCATTTTGTTTTCTCTAAAGTTAAAGCCAGAAAAGCAAGAAAACTGCGGCCAAATTAAGGTCAACACCGTCGTTTTAGCCATATCGGTCAACCTCCCCTCCTCTAGAAAGGTTGACTTCAGATGAGATGTGAGCTCATAATTGTCAAGGGGACCCGCAAATTTTGTTTTTTTATTTTTTATTTTTATTTTTCCTCCATTGCACCATTCAATAGAATCTAGAATCTGCGACGTCGCCCTCTTGCTGAGCCGAAAGGATATTCTTGCGGCAATTAAGTCCATACCTGGCCGATCACGATTGCAGTGACAAATGAGAGAAAGGAAGGTTATGTTTGTTCTTTTGATATTAACTGGGATTGAAGCGTGCCCTATGTTGGACGTATATTTATGGTTAGCAGAAAACTCTCTATTAAAGAATATTCATAGAGATATTACTAGATATTAGGGATATTATTTGACACTATGTTATCTTATAAGATAGCTAATTTTCTTATTTGATTGGACTATTTCATTTTCTATGCATAGTGCTCGGGTAAAAATATGCTTCTCTAATAAAGTTTAATGTCAAGTCAATTGAGTAAAGATATAGTCTTTATTGATTTTCTCTCTTTCTCTCTTGAATATCCTAGAATAGTTACATCATAACCTCATAACATCATGATCAGATATCATCAGCTCAAGGTGAAAAATTTCTTCGTAGTAGGGAATGCTGATCCATGGAGAGTTCTGCGGCAACCAATTTGCTACGACCGATGGTTCTCGTGGACCATCTCTGTATCCTAAGGCTATGCATCCAAGTGTTCTCAAACCTTGTGTACTTGCCCGATGCAATCAAAGTGGGAGAGATGATCCGGCATTGGAGAAGCGGAAATATGTTTGCGAAAGTTTTCAACATTGGGAAACTGCATCCAGTTCCGTGTGCTAGACCCTCATTCTTCTTTTTCAAGAAGAACTCCAAGAGCAAGGAAATAAGCGATCGAATAATAAAATAAACAGAATAAGATAATAAATCGGACATGAGATTTATGTGATCCAATCTGACATATATATTCAAAGAGAACACAAAAGAATTCCACTATAAATTAATTGACGGAGATCACAACCACATTCAAGTTACTTAAACACTTTCAATATTTCCCAGATCCCATCTTACTGACCTTTAATGAGAGTGAAGGGCTTGGTCTGCTAATTTATTCTCTCATACATGCAAACTTCAATGATAATGACTCTCAAAAGTCATAGACCTTTGTAATTCTGTGATTAATTACCCAATTTGATCAAATGGGAATCGTCACAGTGGATAGATGACTACGTTAGCAATTAACTGGCCCTCGACACTCCCAACAACATCACAAAAATATTTTAAATGGTAATTTTATTTAACTTGGTCGTATTTTGCTGTGGCATGGTAACGAACGGGCGTATAAAACTGCACAAATCAATTTGATCTTCCAACCTTTACGTCGGCAATGCTACTATTCCAATCTATAGTGTGATGATGATTGCCTTGTCACATTTTGATTTCTTTCCATGTGATACTTATTTCAGAGCACAAAGTTGTGGTCACGTCATCATCAAAGCATAGCAAATACCAAGTCTGCGTTGTGGGTAGAGATAGAGAGAATACCGTAGCCCTCGGCAGTTTATCTGCTTTTCCATTGAAGATTGCCTTGTCATGTTTAGCCTCCTTTGATAGAGTCATTAGCCCTAAAGTAGACCTACATCTGTCTGCTTAATTTACCCTTTTGATGCGTAGGGAAGCATCGTACGTCGACTTATCTATTCAAGTGCGAGAGCAATCTCTTGCAAGAATGGACCTTCTCTCCCCAAAATCAATCCGATACATAAGACTATTTCACGAGTCATCTGTAGTTGTTGTAGCCCACATTTGCGGCCAAGTGCTCTGCGAGCTAATCCACTTAATTTAACCCCATCTCTTCTAAAATATTCCAACGACGCCACCCAAGATTGAAGATTTATACACACTCAAAATCGAGCATGCGAGCTGCAAAAGAAAAGGTCATGCCCTTTGAAACTCCTTCCCTTTGGTAAAAGTCAAACCATGACAATTTACACCTTCAGTGTTATCCTCTCAATGGCTATATAAATGCATGCAAATAACATATCTCATTCTCATCACAAACACAACACAAAGGTGACACAACTTCATCTCACAGCACATATTATATCAAATCTTGAGTAACAATATGTCTTCGGCCCGCTTCGTCTTGCTCTCGCTTTGTTCCGCCCTCCTCCTCCGGGCTGCCCTCAGTGCCGACCCTCTCTTCCACTTCTGCTCCACCTCCGAGAACTTCACCGCAAACAGCCCGTATGAATCAAACCTCAACAAGCTCACCAGCTTCCTCTACACACAGACCCCTTCCTCGGGCTTCGGCCTCGGCTCCATCGGCCAGTACCAAGACCAGGTCTTTGGCCTCGCGCTGTGCCGGGGCGATGCATTGCCCTCAGACTGCAAGGCCTGCGTGGCCGACGCTGGCGCCGAGATCCGCCGCCGCTGCCCTCGCAACAAGGGGGCGATAATCTGGTACGACGAGTGCATGTTCAAGTACCTCGACACCGACTTCTTTGGCCAGATCGACAATGCCAACAAGTTCTACATGTGGAACCTGAACAACGTGAGCGACCCTAAGGCTTTCAACAGCAAGGTAAGGGGGCTGCTGACCGGGCTGGTCGAGGAGGCTTACGCGGTGCCAAAGCTGTACGCGACAGGAGAGATGGCACTGGAGGATGAGACAAAGCTGTACGGATTGGTGCAGTGTACGAGGGATCTGTCGGCAACTGAGTGCAAGGAGTGTCTGGACGGCGCGATCGGCGAGCTTCCGAGCTGCTGCGACGGGAAGGAAGGTGGGCGAGTGGTTGGCGGGAGCTGCAACTTTAGATACGAGATTTACCCTTTTGTCAATGCTTAAGAGTCCTAGCTCAAGGACCTAAGTGTGGTTTAATTATTCTCCAGCTAGGATGTTCCTAGTGTAATACATGGTAAATAAATTGAAGGCGAGTGTGTGAATTTACCTGAAACTCTTTCATTATTTGAATGGTTTCTATAGGTCGTTTGCAAATAGAAATTCGATGTCTTTATCAATATGTCATGACTAATTTCTTAGACAAACGTTCTCATTATGTTTTGAGTTAGCATAACAGGGGCTATCCATAATTTGTCGTTGTCATGACGTAGAAGTTATAGTGCGCATGTGTATATATAATCATAGTCCGATCATCCACAAGTTGATACATAAATTCCATCACCATTTTGCCAATGTTATGTAAGTAGAAATGTTTTCGGAATGGTTGGTGGAGAACTTATTATTATTGTGGAAATATCTTTCCCGTTTGTGACCATTCAATACCTTAGGCAAAGAAAATTTCGATGGTTGCGTCCAAATATTGACATAGCCAATCATATCTATTTTTTGAGATGTATTACCTATGAATCGTATGTTTACTTTGTAGAGTCCAAAACAGATAGGTTAGATGCATCATCAATTCTTTAAATATTATGTAGAGAATAAGAAAAATCTAGTAGACTTGATCTCTTCTCCATGGTCGCCAACATTTTTTTACTAAGGTTTATATTTTCCTTCAATCAGGATCTGGGTGGGCACATGCTCTAATATCACCCACATGTAATGTTAAACATATTAATCCAAAAAAATAAAAAGAAGTGAATGAAAAATAGAATCCACAAACCACAACTTTCTCTCCCTACTCATAGTTTCTCTCTCCCGGGTCCGAGCTGCGAGCTCCACTCATTGGCTGCCATCGCCTTCATCCAAGCCGCCACCACGTCCACACCTTCTCCGGAGGCTTGCCGACGTCGAGTCCACCGCCCATCTCCATCATCAGCCCGAACTAAGCAGCTCCCCCAAACACACGATTAACATCCATGGCCTCCAATCGAGGCCGATCTAAGGTCGTGGACCTCCGGCAACCGTTGATCTGGTCTATGGTCGCCGGCCTTGGATTGGCCTCAATGGGAGGTCGCAAATGGGGAGAGAGAGAGAGAGACCGACGAAGGCTTTGACAGTATTGACAAAGAGGTAGGGAGACACCGGGTGGGTTGAATCGGCAACGGCGAGGGCTTTAACAGTTGGGATGGCGGCTTGGTGAGGTTGGCAATGACGCGGAGAGAGGGCATAGGCAGCCAAGAACATTCGACATTCACATTAAGAAGAGGGATAATTACCGAATCAGTCCCAAACTTTCAAATTTGCGAATCTAAATGTAACATTTACGGGAAATTCTAACGTAGTTCTTTCAATCAATTATCACAGAAAATTGATAACGTAGCGTCCAGCCATCATGAGCTATCCTACATGGCAAGCCGATGCGGATTTATTGTGGTTCACCACGCCAGCGATGTCCGAGGACAATTTTCCAAAATGATTATATTGGAATTTCGCTAAATGTTTAAGAATACATTGGCAAAATTGAAAAGCTTATGATTGAATTGGCATTCATACAATAGATTTGGGACTGATTTGGTAATTTTCCCTAGATAAGAAGAGAAATGAGAGACAAGAGAGAGGAGGGTGGGGTGGGGGGAAATTTTAGTTCCGAGAAAATCCACTTATGCATTCGTCGAATAATTATCGGGGATACATAAATCTATACACCCAGAGGTAACCTCGAGCAGCCAAGAAAGTGAATATTGTCATCACTTGACCAGACACCTCTTGGGATTAGCGAGGCTTAGTTATTGGAATTTAGAGCACATTATTCTAATATGATAGCCAATGAACAATACACTCACTCGCTGTGAATTAATGTTTGGTGCCCCAGATCAGAAACAATTGGATTATAAAAGCCAATGATTACCATTAGAAATGTGCTCGTTTTGTCGACCAATGCCATACAGCAATCTATGACATTTCATATTAGTCTATAATACGATGATAGGATATGATTATTCACACGTCCACAGCCACGAGAGTCGACATCTTCCCGGATAGTGCACGTGGATTTGCTTATTCTAATTTGGCTAGTATAGGCCTACTTAGCAATCCGTGACATGAGGTTCCGTGCACCTTTTGAGAATACTACTGCTAAAAAGAACTTGTCTTATATCGAGTTATCCAAAGATTCACGCGAAATTCCGGAAGGACTGCATTTGACTTTGAACCTAGTTTTGTCATTTTGTGTTCGTTATGATAGCTACGTAGCGGCAACATGTGGGAGCAAGAAAAACTGCGACCTAAATTAAGCTCAACACCGTCTTTTAGCTATTTGTCAACCTCCCTTCCTCTAGAAGGGTTGACTTCAGATCAGACCTGAGCTCAAAAGTTCATGATGAAATATCAGCTCGAAGTGCTCAATCAACTCATATTTTGTAATAAATTTACGAGATAAGGAGCGATTTACACCGTGACCACGATCATTTTCTTTTAGGGAATTGAAATTTGTAAAGAGTTAGTGGATGGCAGTCGTTTCTGGTCGACATTGGTGGTGCATTGCTGGTCCTCGCCATCCACTCAGAATTAAAAGCCAACACCGAGAAAACCCATAAAAAAAGGGAAGCTTCTCTTCTGGAATTCAATCTCAGTGATTGCTCGTGCCTCAAAAGTGGACCGGAAAGCAAGTCAAAAACAAATCAGATGCTCTGTCGTTCAAGAATAATGGCTATTAGGCCAAACCCGACGGTCGCGGCGGCTCTCGGTCGAATCTTCACCTCAGCACTGGCCTCGCTACGAATTCGATCATGCTACAATCAGAGCTTACATTTTTTAATGTGATATAATATGTACTTCGACGTTTCTTGAAACGTGACCGATTGTCGCTCAATTAAAATAAATTAAAACATGGTGGAATTCATGTTATGTAGATAGTCTTGTGAAATATGATTTTCAAAAGTTAGTTGGACCTCTCAACATATGTGCATGTTTCGCGTTTGATAACTATGCGCACTTGTTAAATGATCTATTGATTTGTATGATTTCATCGGTCTATCACACCCTTGGAGTATTTGCAGAGATCCTCTAAATTTAAGATCCAAAAATCTATTCATATTGTCACGATAATTCGCTTAAAAATTAATTAAGATGAAATTTTGAAGCGATCGAATTTCTTTGAACTTTATAATATATTATGGACCTTTGTGGATGGACTTAATTGACTTTTTCATCATATCCCAATATTTCATTGGTACTTCCATGATGCATAAGGAGTGACATGATGTCTAGGGCTACTTTTTTATCTCTCAGTGCACATCTACATCATTTATCATCCACAAGCAGTTTGTGATGGTGTTATTGGCTGAAATATCTATGGAGGGGTTCATAAGGTTAATGCCACTCAATTGCTTAGTCAAAGTCAACATTTTCAACTCCATCATTCTAGACTCTCACTCTCCTTCTCCCTTATTTAATCATCAAATCCTTTCTTCAAGGAGCCAAAACCTACCAAGTCCTCAATCTATACAAGAGTCCCAAGTATGTTTCCCTCCCATTCGATCCCTCTCCTCCTCCTTTCTTTCTTCCTTCTTCTCGGCACAAGCTTCAGCGCCGACCCGCTTTACCACATCTGCTTCGGCAAAGATAACTACACTTCCGGCAGCCCTTTCAAAACCAATCTCGACAGCTTGCTCGGTACCCTCGTTTCCAAGGTCCCTCCTAGCGGGTTCGGAACCGGCTCGAGCGGCAAGGGGAGTGATCAGGTGTACGGGCTTGCCCTTTGCCGAGGCGATGTATCAAGCTCCGACTGCAAAAGTTGCATCTCCTATGCAGGCCCGGAGCTGCTGCAGCGGTGCCCTACCCAGAAGGGTGCTATTATTTGGTATGGTAGCTTTAAACACTCCACGACTCATGTAGTCCGCTTTGAAGTGCAATACATACCAGATGCCAAACCGACTGAAAAAAGTGATAATTTCAAACTACACTGAAGGTCAACTTCTGCTTAAAATGGCTTCAACTTGAACTATATCTAGTCTAAAACAATGTTTTCTGTGGAAGGTATAATGTAGAAAATGCTCTTTATCTATACCACAATTAGATTAACTTTTTTAGCCATTAATTTAATAGGTTTTCAAACAAAAGATTTTCAATTTTTCAAATAGATCATTAATCCGAAAGTAAAAGGCGGTGTCACTCATATGTTTGTAAAAGAATATGCTCTCGAAGCAAAAATTAAGTATGTTAAAATAGGTAAATCATCTGGTTACATTCTCAAATTAACCAATTCCATTTCCCCTCGATTGCTCCTATAGTTTCTCCTCCTCCTCCTCCTCCTCCTCATTATTATTATTATTATTGTTATTATTATTATTATTATTATTATTATGTTTGCTTTGCTTCAACCCAATATTTGATATGTCGATAATTCACGATTCTCCCGATTGGCTGTGCTTAGGTATGACTATTGTCTCCTCAAGTATTCCAACGCGTCATTCTTTGGCAAGATCGACAACAAGAACAAGTTCTACTTGCTCAACGTGCAGGATGTCGACATGGACTTCATGGAATTCTACAGGAAGATAAAGGAACTGCTGAGCAGCTTGACGGACAAAGCCGTGGCGGGTCCCAAGAAGTACGCGTACGGTGAACTCGGGCTTGGAGGGTTCAAGACCCTGTTCGGCTTGGCTCAGTGCACGAGGGATCTATCGGTAGATGACTGCAAGACGTGCCTCGAGGGCGCAATAAGTGACCTGCCGAGCTGCTGCTATGGCAAACGAGGAGGGAGGACCGTTGGTGCTAGTTGCAACGTTAGATATGAACTTTACCCTTTCGTCGATGTTTGAGATTTGTTTGAAACTCAATAATCCCCGCAAATGGATGCGCCACGTATGGTGCATCATAGTTTGAAGAAATCAAATCCAATAATGGATGAATCTCACGAGGATGTTTAGTTTTTTCAGGTTTTAGCTTTATATGAAACAAATTTCCTGTATTTCCTGAAAGTGCCCATAGTAACTGAGCATGCATTAAAAGAAAGCAGTCTTAAAACTTCAATGTAACACCTTCTAGGTCCAACATGAGAGAGAAAGAGAGAGAGGAGGTTGTGTGGTGATACATCAATGGAGACTCAGTTTAAGTTGCCAATTAAGGATCTCTTTGTGAGGGCTTGGTTATGGACCTATATGAATTTGGATGGGATTGTTGCAAATGATATAAAGCATTAATTCTTGGACTGACTTGGGGGAAAATTTATCTATAATGTGTTGGTCCAAAGGAAGAGCCGTCATTGGCCACTCTTGCATGTGAGTTGAGTTCATATATGCACTAAGATCCAGGCAAGGGCCTCAAGGGTATCATGGCCCTCGCCCAAATCCAAGCAAGGGCATCGCGGCCCTCACCGGCTCAGAGACAACAAAGAAAGAAAAGAAAAGAGAAAATAAAATAATTAAAAAAATCTAAAAAAATATTGAAATTTTGTAAAATTTATCCATGTTGACGCTGGTTGTGCCAAGTAGGACGGTCGACATCCATGTCAGCGATTTCCAGCTAAAATTAGCTTGATGAACTACATTAACAAATTGTCAAAAGGTTTAGAACTCAATTGCCACAATTGAAAGGTTTATAACTGAAATGGCAGTTTGGCACAAGTGTTATAGGTTTAAGAGTATTTTGATACTTTTCGCTTCAAGTAGCCCTATCCAGTCGTTTTCTTAAATTTCCCTATAACAAAACTAGGAATTTAAATAGTGAATCAAGGACGTATCGAGTAAACTTCTACTTCTTCTACCGTTATTGTTTCGTAAAATCATTGATTGGTCGTGCTCGCCAACTTCGTTGAAGTTGACCTATTGCTTTTGCTGCCATTGGTGGGTGGGATACATAGAAGAAAAAGTCAACAAGTTTCTGTACCACATGGATGATGATCGCCACCAACTTCCCATAGAACAAATCCTAACCTCTCCGGTCAAAGCACAGGACATGGCAACGCCGCGTCCTCCGTCATCAAGCTCGATCCAAATGCAGACCTTCGTCGCTAAAGAATGCCCCCGACGGTGACGGCGCCGATCTTTTTTCATCTTGGAAATACAAAGTCAAGCGCTGTTTGTCCAAACCAGGTCATCGTTACGTGAAGATCATGTATGGTTTAATGATCACCCCTTTGCGCATTGACAACTTCAAATGATGGGTATTGCCACAAGAGGGATGATATGGAATGCAAGCCAAGTCAACGAAGGGGAAAAACGAAAAGATTAACGAGTCAACTAGATCTTCCAATCTGGGGAACAACCTGTCCCGAGCCCAGAAGCTCTTAAGATGTCAAAACCAACCCCATCCAACAACTCATGAAAGATAATATTATCTTACTCTGTGAATTCACTTGCTCTGCTTCCTCCTCCTATCTCTACATATATACAAGGCGCCCTGCCAAGACAGAGGTACCAATTCAAGATCTCTCATTGAGCCTTTCTTCTGCAATCTTGTCACAGAGATCATAGATGGCAACTCTCAGATCATTGACTTGCTTTGTTCTAGCAGCACTGCTGATAGAAGTAGCCGCGGCAGCTAGCTACACGGTCGGAGGGAGCGGCGGGTGGGACACGAGTACTGATTTCCAGACTTGGGCATCATCTCAGAAGTTCATAGTAGGAGATACTCTAGGTGAGTAACATCCCAATGCTTCATTTATGATATGTTGTAGTCTTGATTGTATCACATGGGTTTGATTTGCGACTTGTCATATAAGTTGTGGTAGCATTTGCTTCGAACTTAGGCTCTATTTGTTTCGCGGAAAATAAATAATTTTGATAATTTTTTTCTAAAAATGATCACTTATAGTGCTCACAATGAATGAACGGAAATTTTGATCATCGTTTATGAAATTTAGACATAAATTTTTGTCGAGAGCGAAGACATTTTTTATCAACTAATTATTTCAAACGATATAAACTATTATTTTTGGGATAATATTTTTGCTGAATTATTAATTTTCTGCGAAATAAACAGAGCCTTAGATACATTTTTTTTAAAGTGTGAAGCACTGAAAAGCAATGACATTCGAAATTGGGATATTACAGACTTTCTTGACTTGATTCTAAAGAAAGAAAGAAACATATATGATAGCCTGTAATGCTATTTTAGGAGAATTTTAGATAGTTCTGCACAAATTATCCCTCAAATCACAAGTTGAGTTTTTATTTGAGTTTCGATGCCATCACGGGTAGATCATAAATCCTTGTTCGGAATGAAAGCCTCCGAGATGGATCTGGTCATCGTGTGGTCCTAAATCGCATGCTTTCTATACAAAGGGGTTCTTGCAAAAGTTTCTGTCAAAAAGGCTCTAATCAAGCACTTGATGCTTGACTAATATGCTAGAAATCTATGGGTGAGAGCAATACATTAGACACTAAGTGGTGCTCTCTATCCTTGACAGTCTTTCGGTACACACCAACCCATGATGTAACCGAAGTCACCAAGGCAGACTATGACTCTTGCCAAGCAACCAGCCCAATCAAAACAAGCACCGGTGGCTCCACCACTGTTTCACTCACATCTCCGGGCAAGAGATACTTCATTTGCGCTACCCCGGGACACTGCGCCGCAGGAATGAAGCTCGAAGTAGACACCCTTGCAGCCACTTCATCCCCGCCACCAGCCATTCCCACCACCCCTCCACCCGCATCTCCCGCCACCCCACCGCGGAGATCCCCAGCTGCTTCCCCGCCGTCAAAATCTCCAGCAGCCTCTCCTCCAGCAAAATCTCCAGCTAGTCTGACTCCTACAACACCCGAATCCTCACCGGCAACGGCTCCTACAACACCCGAATCCTCACCGGCAACGACGCCAGGATTGGCTCCTCCAAGCGAAACTGGCGCGGAATCGCCAAAGTCATTGGCCAATAGAGGAAGTTTGACTTTTACTTGGGCAATGGGAGTATGCTTCGTAGTCGTGAGCCTTCTGGCTGTGTAAGGAGCTAAACATTTTTTTGTGATTCTTTTAGATCTCTGCATTTGATAAATTTTTTTGTATCTTCCGTCACATATTTCTGGTGTGTTTGAGAAGTCACTTGTACTTTTTAGAGCAGAGAAGGGATCATCATTCGTGACCCAATAATAAAATAGTCAGGCAGCTTTTCAATACACATGGGCTTTGTGGTATCTTGAAATTAGACTTTGGCGTCAATCCAAAAAGGTCATCTTGAATTCTAGTGGCAGTTTCGTAAAGGACAGTCAAACCAGGGATATAAAAATCTGCCCACATTGGCCTCTTCCTCAGGACTGAAGCATTGCCCATCAGTTGAGCGAGTCATCCAATGACTTTCAGATGAGATGAGACCCATCTCTTGATCTACCCTAAAATCACCACCAAGGCCACATATATGTTGAAAGTCTCTAGTCTCTCTATCTAAGCCTGGCCTGAGATTAGAATTGATGGTTGAAGGAAACATATTCCTAAACATAATACAAAAATTACGGAAAAACGTGCCCATTCTACGCTTGAATCACCGATCGTTCGAAGTATATTACGTGAAATAAACATAACTCTTTTACCACAGATTAAATGCATTTATCACAACCTCGAGAGAGAGAACAATCCTTGAATTGTTGAACAAAGCCCCTTCTTCTTTGGCCTTTAGTGAGAATGAGTTTTCTGATGATGAAAATGCAACAACCACACACTCTTACGTGTGTTCTCACTTTTGTTTCTAGACAATAACTGCCAAGTGCAGTTACTTTCTTTCATGGGCTGGGTTAGCCCATCATGGGCGGCCCATCTTCACAAAGAAAATTCATCATCTCCCACTCGCACATGGTGGGCTAAACATTAACTCTCTCTTCTTTGCAATATTCATACTAGCAAATAATCCGTGCGACCAGCATACTTCGAGAGCTCGTTGCGATGCATCTGTTAGGAATACATAGCAGCTCAAAATTGGGTACAACGTTTTCCGAGTAGATATAGTATGTAGTCCCCTAGATCAATCAGTCACATTTATATCCCCTTTGATCTCTTTTAGTATCTCGTATATTGTATTCACAACTATGATTTACTTAAAATCATAATTGGTCGACCTGTGAATACAAACATAGAATGTGACATCATAATAAATTGATCTTCCTCTTTCCTTCAATCTCTCTATTTCAGTCCAGCTCGCTTTTCTAGAAATGCCCCATTAGATCGAATCATTCATGACCATTGGCAACATCCTAAGATAGCAAACACTGAATAGAAACTTTGAGAATAAGTTAGAGTCGTGAGGGCACTAAATGAGGAACTCATATTCTCAAGAGTCTCACACGGCATAAAGTTGAGATCAAAAAACTTTTGCCACTCTTATCGGTCGTCTTATGCATACGTAGTATGAAATACGTATTACGGTATTAACTCCTTTCCCGTGGAGCGTATGTCTTTACATTCAATACCGTACAGATGATAGTTCAGACATACCTAATGTCTAAACTTGAGTTCACGTATCTACTCCTCTAAAGAATCCATTAGAACTCACATCTTGCATCAAAGACAGATAAAGTAAAATATGTGGGTTATTTTACTTTCGGACATAGTAAATGTTATGTCCTCATCTTGGCACTTAGCTAAGGCAACATTTTTATTTTAAGCTTGAGCTCTCGATTATCACCTAGATAATAAGCCTATAAATTGTCTCATCTCTATTTATCGCACAGTAAATAGAGGCGATTACCCGTGTAAGTGGGCTAATCTCATCTGTCAGACATACTTTCTCGATATAATGCACTAAGCATTAAGATGCATAAATATTAAATAAATTCATAGGCATTAATAATGAGATAGCAACTTCATTAAATGTGAACACTCAGGGAAAAATACAATATTCAGTACATCACTTTCTACGCAGTCCCAGAGATTTTACATGACCATAGAAAACATCTCTTGGAATTGGCTTCGTCATAGGATCTGCTATCATTCTATAGGTAGATATGTACTGCAAGTTCACATCTTTTCGTGCAACCATATCCTTGACAAAGTTATACTTGGTATCTATATGTTTGGTCTTGCCATGATATTTCGGATCCTTGGTGTATGCTATCGCTGCTTGACTATCACTATTGACTAACAATGAGTTTTCAGCATTCTTAGCAACACCTAAATGATCCAAAAATCTCTTAAGCCAAACACCTTCTTGTACTGCTCCTGACAATGCCACGAACTCAGCTTCCATCGTGGACAATGCTATACATGTTTGTTTCTTACTGCTCCAAGATATGGCGCCATTATTCAGTAAGTAAACAAAACCAGAGGTAGATTTCCTTTCATCTAAATCTCCTCCCCAATCAGCATCTGAGTAGCCTTCAAGTCGCAGATCCTTGCCTTGATAACTCAGTGAATAATTAGCAGTACCCTTTAGATACCTCATGATTCTTTTTACGGCTTTCCAATGTGCTTGACCTGGATTGGATTGGTACCTACTTACCATCCCAACTGCAAAACATATGTCAGGTCTTGTACACATCATAGCGTACATTAAACTTCCAATAGCACTAGCATAAGGAACACGTTTCATTTGTTCCTTCTCTTGTGGAGTCTTAGGACACAACCTATGGCTCAATCCTTCACCTTTTGCAATAAGAGTATCCATGGGTTTACAGTCTTGCATACAAAATCGTTCAAGAACTTTATTTATATAAGTCTCTTGCGAAAGAGACAATAATCTCTTGGAACGATCTCTTGAAATCTTAACTCCAAGAATATATGCAGCCTCACCCATATCTTTCATCTCAAAATTGGATGATAACTAACTCTTAATAGTATTAACCAACTCCATATTGCTTCCGGCAATCAGTATATCATCAACATATAATGATAAAATCACAAATTGATCTTTGGATCTTTTGATATACACACAATGATCTTCATCAATCATTGTAAAATCAAACGCTACTATGGCATTATGAAAACGTATATACCATTGTCTCGAAGACTGCTTAAGGCCATATATCGATCTTAGAAGTCGACATACTTTTTGTTCTTGGCCTTTCACAATGAAGCCTACTGGCTGCTCCATGTAAATTTCTTCTTCTAATTCTCCATTTAGAAAAGCAGTCTTTACATCCATTTGATGTAATTCAAGATCCATGCTTGTCACTATTGCCAGAATAAGGCGAATTGAGGTAAATCTCACTACAGGAGAGAAAGTTTCTTCATAATCAATTCCTTCCTGTTGATTATACCCTTTCGCCACTAGGCGAGCCTTATATCTTTCTATTGAGCCATCGGATTTGCGTTTTATTTTGAGAACCCATTTATTCCCAATAGCTTTGCGTCCTTCTGGAAGATCAACCAGTTCCCAAACATGGTTTGATTTCATTGACTCCATTTCTTCTTTCATTGCAATCATCCATTTTTCTTTGTTAGGGCAATTTAGAGCCTCATTTACATTCCTTGGCTCGTCTTCATTTTGTGGAGCGATCATGAAAGTTTCCCCTTCAATGTCAAAACGTCGTCGGGGAATACTTTTGCGACTTGTTCGCCGTATGGGAGATTGTACATGTGGTATATCGTTCTCCATTATGCTCCCACTTGGATTAGATAATGACGGAATCGTCTCATCAAAAGGTTGCAATTGAGATTGAGTCGAATTCAATTCCTCACTTCTCACATTGCTTCCACTTGGACGAACTTTATTGATTTCACTATCAGGATCCAAGGTTTCAAATAGTGAGTAGTTCTCACCTATTTCGCCCTTCTTAGGAAACTCATTCTCTAAGAATGTGACATCTCGTGATTCAAATTCAGTTATACTCCCACTTTCTTGCTCACCTATAAATACATATCCTTTTGAGGTTTCCGAATACCTTATGAAGATACTCTTCTTACCTCTAGGACCTAATTTCCCATACTTATGAGAAGATTCATGTGTATAAGCGGCACAACCCCAAGGTTTCAGAAAACTCAAAACGGGTTTTCTACTTGTCCATAACTCATACGGAGTGGAAATAACTGATTTAGAAGGTACACGGTTAAGTATGTAGGCAGCAGTTAATAAAGCGTCACCCCAAAAGGTGATTGGTAAGTTAGCCTGCGCCATCATGGACCTAACCATTTCTAGTAGGGTTCTGTTTCTCCTTTCCGCAATACCATTTTGTTGAGGAATATAGGGAATAGACAACTGTCTTTCTATTCCCTTTTCATCACACAAATTTCTGAACTCATCAGATAGATATTCTCGACCTCGATCGGATCTCAATGCTTTTATTTTCTTATCTAATTGATTTTCCACCAAGTTCATAAATATCTTGAAGCAACTAAAAGCCTCAGATTTATGAGAAATCAAATAGACATATCCGAATCGAGTATAATCATCAATAAATGTGATAAAATAAACAGCCTCATGTCTAGCCCTCACATTCATTGGACCACAAATGTCAGAATGGATTAACTGCAAAGGAAATTCAGCTCTTGTTCCTTTTCCAAATGGTTTCCTTGTTGTTTTCCCAGCTAGGCAGTGTTCACAAGTGGGCAAATCGACTTTTTCAATATTGCCCATTAAGCCTTCTTTGGCTAATCTATTCATTCGTTGTTGGCCTATATGGCCAAGCCTAGCATGCCATACGTTCACATCATTATCACACGAAGTAGAAGACGTGAAGTGGGAATAACAAACATTGACATTTACAGAATCAACATCCAGTACAATAAAACCATCTAGAAAATAACCACAACCATAATAACTCGTACCTAAATACAAGTCTACACCATTGTTATGGAAGTTCAAATTAAAACCAAGTCGAATCAACACTAAAACAGACACTAAGTTCCGACGAATTTCCGGAGCATATAATACATCATGTAGGAACAAAGTGCGTCCACCACGCATAATTAACTGGCAGGTGCCAATTCTTTTAATCTCAGCTCTGGAGTTGTTCCCTACATAAATCCATTTAGTTCCCGTTGGAACTCGTCGGAATTCTACGAAGGCTTCTCTATCCTTCGCTACATGGTCTGTTGCTCCCGAATCTACAGTCCACAAAGGATTTGATTCAGTTAGAAATATAGAACTTGATACATAAACAAAGTTCTCAATAATACAAGATGAGTTAACCTTCTTTGGCTCACGACAATCGCGAGCAAAGTGGCCTTTCTTGCTACAGTTGTAGCACTTCACTCTTGACATCTTTTTCTCATGAGGACGCTTTCCTCTTTGGTGTTGTTCATCTCTTGGTTTCTTCCCCGAAGAACTCGCTCTCTTACCTCTCCACCTTCTGAACGAATCAGGACGCTTGCGCTTAGAGCTCGAAGGCCCTTGTGAGCTAGAACCTGCATAGTAAATGTCAATTACCGGCTTATCCGCCAGGAGGCGGTCCTCCTCTAGCTCTAAGTGGCGCATTGCATCTTCAAAGGTTTTGATGTTCTCATTGTGAGTTAGGTGCAACTTCATATGCTCCCAACTTTGAGGCAAAGAACGAATCACTGCTTGCACTTGCTGCTCATCAGTCAGAACATGGCCAGCATCCTTCAGCTCATTAATCATGTTTGACATTTTTCCTTAAATGTTGTTTCATGGACTGACCATGTGACTTCTTATATGAGTCAAATCTTATAGTGAGCTGTCTAAGCTTGGTTACAGATGTATGACCAAACCTTGCTGCCAATGCTTCCCACATCTCCTTAGCATTTTCAAAACGCCTAAACTCTCGCATGACATCATTTTCCATGCTACTCAGCAACGTGATGCGAGCAAGGGAGTTCTTCCTTTTCCATACAGCAAATGCATCCTTATCTCTCTTATGTTGTGCAGTGTTTCCGTCTTCAAGCTCTACCATAACCAGGTTAAGAGCTTCAAGAGCCTCTTGCTCTTCCAGCACATATTGGATTTTCATATGCCAAATTTCATAATTATCACCGTTAAGCTTCTCTCCTTTGTTCAGTTCAAGAACTATATTCTTTGATGTCAAGCCATGGTATCTGAACATTTCGACATATACGCACGAATTATTAATGCCACTCATTTATGCATCAATTTTACACAAACTGATTATATTAATGAATAATTTCACATAGGCTTTAGATTCGAAAGTTCACTATGTTCCCAATCATCATCAAAAATCCTAATGTGAAATTACCGTTAATGTAATCATTAAGGTAAAATTACGTTCTTTAAAGTTACTAAAACTTTTAGAACTCCCACTCAACCAGATAATATTAATAAGACAGATATTATAATATAATAGCACCATAAACTATTCATAACAGAAAATATCCGTCAACATCTATTCATTATAGAACTATTTACATGAGGAACAAATCCATCATAGGAAATAAACATAAACACCAACATAAAAAGAACCATCCACCCAAGATATTTAACACCAACCTATATTGAACATATCCATAAGAGCTTATGAAAAATAGATAAACACAATCATGTGGAGATCTGCTTTCTATAAACTGGAAATGACTCATGAAAATCCTCAGGAAATTCTATTTTCTTTGGCATCCAAATGGAGGCACCAGGAAAACCCCTAGATTCGGGCAACGTATTGCGCCGAGACCGATTCAATGCAAGGGTTGACGTCCTTCTTGCCCCGACCCGTATGTACTCTATCATGAATTGCTCCACAATCATCTTATAGCTCGGACCTTCTAAGGTGTCCCAAACCCTATCAATCATTCTTCCTAACTCATCAGGAATGGTGCATTTAAGGGCTCCGACCATCACATACCCTGGCATTACGAAACCGTTCCAAATGATATCTTGTATCATTTGGTTGACCTTGATGATGTGTGTCATCATGTCATCATCAGCATCCCACCGGTAAAGAGCCAGCTTGATTCTTAGTTTCTCAAGCTTCTTCTTTTGAGCCGCCGTTCTAGGGATAATAGGGGTTCGATATCTTCGTACCATTATTCCTGCAACAAATGCAGAAAAAATGAAAGGATTACTCATAATCCAAGGTACAACATTTCAAGAAACACATTCTTCCCCTTCTGCCCTTTTTTTTTTTTTCAACGCCGGTCAACGGTGGTCAACGCCGGTCAATGGTCAACGGGTCAAGTCTACGGGTCGGGTGGACTATCGGGTCAAGCCGGATCCGGGTCGGGTCGGGTCTGAAAAACCCGGTTGGGCAATCGCATGGCTGATGTCAGCGTGACGTCAGCCACGCCGCACACGCCCTCATGGCGCGTGCGGTGCACGCGCGCGGGGAGGAACCGCCACGCACGTGCCACGCACGTGCCGGCGAGACCGCCACTTGCGGCGGCGCGTGTGGGCGCGTGCGGCTCCTCCCGGCGGCATGCCACCCATCAAAATTCTCGTTTCGACGAGTACTACGACCCTATGCCATCAAAAATAAAATTTATCGCACGGAATTTTGAGAAACGATCCCGAACAGTACGGTCGGTGTCGGTTTTCGTACCCGAGCGTTCGTCGGCGCCGTTTCACGAATTCCGGCCATCAATCCGTGTAATAAGCATATTAAACGATCAGGAAACAAGAACACATGCTCTAATACCAATGAAGGAAACATATTCCTAAACATAATACAAAAATTGCAGAAAAACGTGCCCATTCTACGCTTGAATCACCGATCGTTCGAAGTATATTACGTGAAATGAACATACCTCTTTTACCACAGATTAAATGCACTTATCACAGCCTCGAGAGAGAGAACAATCCTTGAATTGTTGAACAAAGCCCCTTCTTCTTTGGCCTTTAGTGAGAATGAGTTTTCTGATGATGAAAATGCAACAACCACACACTCTTACGTGTGTTCTCACTTTTGTTTCTAGACAATAACTGCCAAGTGCAATTACTTTCTTTCATGGGCTGGGTTAGCCCATCATGGGCGGCCCATCTTCACAAAGAAAATCCATCAATGGTAATCCATCAATGGTAATCGCTAGCTGTCTGAAGTCAAACGATTCTTTCCCCAACTATTCTTCTCGCTTCAATTTCTGACTCCAACGAAACTAGGATGGTTCTTTGTACTATGTAGTATATAGTATATACCAAGTCCCCAAACACTGAAATTAGACTCTATCCAATCCTGCACGGCACTGTCATCTAAATGGTCCTCGGACAAAAAGAAAAGGATGTAAGATGACACTTGCATACATTTCATTCACAGTTCAATTTGGATTTATAATGGAGTCGGCTATCTACAGTATACATCAAACCTTTGTGCCCATGCAACTGTGGACATAACATAAAGTACTGTGTACTGATATTATCCACATGTCCAATGGACCGGCCTGATATCGAGCTTTATACATCTCCTTCCCCATCTAAAATGTCTATCACATGGCTGTGTGTGTGAAGAGTTTCACCAAGTGGGACCAAAAACACAATCCTGGCATCTCTCTGTTATTTACATATGAACACCGCACGTATGACTACATTTAAGTGGATTAGCGTCAAATGGCGAAACAGAACCTCCTCAATTTCCGTTTCTTCTTTGTTGGACCATCTACAATTGGATGCTTGAGATGGCCTAACAATAACAAAGAGAGAACCCCATCCCAAGTCCAACCACCATAAGCAGCTCCTCCTAATTGCATTAAACTACAACACCTCCTTTTCGGGTTTGTTCCTTATTGCAGTGCTCCTCACATCAAAAGCCAGAAACGAAAGATAAAAGAGCATGTTCCAGAAATTGTATTTGCTGACCTTAAGAAAGAGTTAATTCCAGCACAATTTGGTTTACTGTTGAGAGGTGCAGGGGAAAACCGATAAAGGGCAATTAATCCAATCGAAAGAGACCAGAGGAGTCAAAACGACATGACCCAATTGACAATCTTTTCATGGAAAAAGCAAGACATCGTGAATTCTACAGGAATGATTTACTCGAGCACAAAGTAAAGTTTTTCAAAGAATAACGAAGAGATTTGAGAGAATCCAATGTTGCAAAGGAAAAACAAAAAAAGAAGTGATCTTTGCTAAATTTTTAGGAAGCAGAAACAACACCAACCATCCAAGCTACACCTTCCGTCATCTATACACAGCCCATCCCAGATCAAGCTAATCCTTCACTCTAAAAACTCACAAATTTGTATTCGCCACTCAAAATGAAGAAAGAAAATCGAAGCACTGTGTCTCGACTAATTCTTGAGATGAAGAAAGAACAGCTAAGCTAAAGCATGCACAGGGCCTGGAGTCACCACCACCGGGCTCGGCGGGCTCGTATAGGGCGGCGCCGCAACGGTAGTAGCTGGGGGCGGCGGAGGCGGAGGCGGCAATTCCGTTGACGGCGTCGGCGGAGGCGGCAATTCCGCTGGCGGCGTCGGCGGAGGAGGGAGCGGCAATGATGGCGACGCCGGCGGAGGAGCAGTGGGGTTCGTCGTGACGGGCGGGCTCAGGATCGGGCTCGGCGGCGGCGGGTACGACGAGGTAGTAGCAGCGGCGGTCGGGCTGGGAGGAGGGTTCGAGCCAGACGGGGCGGGCTGGGTCGTCGACGAGGACCCGGAATCGGGGGCAGAAGGGTAAACCTGGGTGGTGGGGGCGGCGGGGGAGACCACGGGGGAGGAGAAAGTGCAGGAGGCGGAGTCGCCGAAGCATTGGTGGGCGTGGGAGTGGTGGCGGAGGGAGTGGCGCAAGGGGCCGAAGCCGATGACGAGGCCGAGGACGACGAGCGCGGTGACGATGAAGATGAAGATCTTTGTTGCCTTCCCGACATAACACATTCTGCCGGCGGTCGGTCCTCGGACTCTGCTAAAAAAGGAGACAAAAGGAGGGAAAGCCCTTTTGAGACCGATGTCTGACGCCGGAGGAGATGGGTCTTGGCCTAACGTTGCTGCGCGTCTCTTCTGCTGGTTTCAAGAGAGAGAAGAGAAAGTGATGGGGATGGGGGTCCGGATGTGCTGGTTCTTGTTTCTTGTTTCTTTGGGTGTCGCTTTCGTCGTTTTCTCATGGCGATGGAATACAATTACAGTAGGAGGAGGGGGAGGGGGGGGGGGGAGGAGGCGGAGGGAGGAGATGGAGGGTGAGTTTGCATTTGGGATTTTCTTGGTTGGTGGTGCTGCGGTGCTGGTGTGGATATGCGTGCTGTGCTTTTTGGCACTGTGGCACGTGAACCCCATTATGGGACAAAGACTCGTTTAAAAAACCAATCTTTGTTAACAATGTCATAAGACAACCCCCCCTTGTGTTCTGTAAGCATCAAGCGACCAAAACAAATGAGAATTCGCGACCCTTTTCGTGTCCTTAAAGATCGAGTTTTTCTGAGTTGCAAGAAGACCCTCTTCTTGCTGCTGCTGCTGCTGCTGTTTTGCTGTAGGCATCGTTACAGGAGCTCTGCTGCGCGAGATGCCCCCCGGAAATGGAGAAAGGCGGACTTGGCTTGGCGAGCCCCTTAGTTCCGCTTGGTAGTGCGAAACGGGCCGACCAGTGGGCATGCCCCACGTGTTCTGACAAAGGGCGTCGGGTCCTTAATTGATTGGGGAATTTTCTCTGTGTGGTGAATTGGGAGTGGGGGTTCCGCGCCGTACCATGTGGTTGGGAAACTCGTACGCCTTGAAAAGTTGTCAATACTTCGCCCTCAACTCAAACCGGACCAAGCCGGCCACTTTACAAACTTCTGTCCTGTGCATGGCGAGGACAGTACGCACTTTTTTTATTTAATGAGATTAGATTGGGAATTCTTGGAAGAATTTCTTCGGGATTCTTTACGACGGAGGAAGAAATTGTTCCTTCTGTGATCTTCCTAACAACTTATTTTACTTCGCGAAGGTTATATGGCGAGCAGATTTGGTATTTAGAAATTACTTCTATCAATCATCTAGTCAATTATGAATGATTGATAATGAGATCATGGAAAAAGGATAAATGATCCACCGTGAGTGTCCCTGCTTAACTTTTCTTTCTCGAGGGAAAAGGATAAAGCTGCTCATTTCCCCTCCCTCAAGTTTAGGACAATGGCTAGAAAAAGACAACAAAAGCGAGAACAGTGACTGGGAAATTCATACATACCCAGAAGACGAACATTCATGATTGAGAGATATTCATAACATTGGCCTCTTATCCTATGAGAGTGTCTCGACCACCCATTGCATTCCTCACTGGAGGTTTCCTTCATATCATGGAAAAGCCTATATGCAGACCGCAAGCGACGGATGAGAAAAATGTGACGGAAGAAACAAGAGAGACTAGATTTTTCTTGCAAATAGGGGTCTTTTGAAGGTCATTCGCATGAAAACATACAAGCCCCCAGATAGACACAAGGAATTGCCATTCAAAAGCACTGACAGGCCAGAGGCAACGAAGGAGAGAAGTTGAAAGCCAACATGACGAGCATTTTGTACTCTGCATCACCTGCTGAAATGGGGTCGAAATGTAGATTCTTCCGCGGAGAACTCTGTCAGGATTGGACAGTGGTCAATCATAGCGTACAAGGAGCCAGGCAAGTGGAGAGGCTTGATTACAGGAAAGCTCTATCATCCAACTCTGGCAGGGTATTCAAGAATCTCAAAGCAGTGGCGTACGAGGTGTCCACAGAGTCAGAGGCAAGTGATACCCTTTGCTCAACCCTGATTCAATTGAATTTTATGTCTCGTTCAAAAGTTGGAGCATCCTGTTTTTTTTTTTTTTGGTCGAAAGTTGAAGCACCCTGTTAAGATTAGCAATTTAGCGTAGGCTTTCATGTTGCATTGTCGGGATGTGGAAATAACACTATAGAGTTTATAGCTGTCTCTGTCTGTCCAAAACCCCGGACCCAAATGACTCTAGCCACATTGTATCATTTGTGCCTGTTTTTCCAATTTCCAAGAGGGGTAATTGCCCCACCCTTGTTTCCGAGAAGTTTGTCTCCCATTCCATCATCTCTCTATACGCCTTCTTGCGGTCATTATTTTCTCCATATATCCCATCTCTGAAAGCAAGACAGAGAGAAAGTTTAATCTAAAGAAAAGCTCTAAACCTAGCTGTCATTACAATGTGCAGGCTACAACATCTCCTGGCGCATATGATGAGAAGATGTTAGCAAACTATGTACCAATCTACGTAATGCTCCCTGTAAGTACCAATAAATCTTCTCTGACAAAAAACGCAAAATGCAACTAAAGATGACAAACTAAAAAATCTACGACCAATGCTTATTTTCAGCTGGAGGTCATCACAGTTGATAACACTCTCGAGGACAGATATGAGATAGAGCAGCAGCTCAAGAAACTGAGTGCAGCAGGCATTGATGGAATAATGGTTGATGTCTGGTGGGGAATTGCGGAATCCAAAGGTCCTAAACAGTATGACTGGACTGCATATAGGAGCCTATTTCAGATTGTTCAAGGATGCAATCTGAAGATACAAGCCATAATGTCGTTCCACCAATGTGGTGGGAATGTCGGAGATGAGGTAAACATCCCAATTCCTCAATGGATAATTGGCATCGGAGAAAAAGACCCCGATATATTCTACACAAATAGAAATGGCAACAGGAACAGAGAATGTCTCACAATCGGTGTGGATAACCAACCTCTCTTTTACGGAAGAACTGCTGTGCAGGTGATTATGAGCTTCATTTATCATATTTGAGCCTTGCATAGCTACTGTTAGCCACTGAAATAGTTGAGTTGGCTGTAAGATAAGCATAATGATATCATATATGCTAGGGAAAATTTCAAAATCCAACTTGAGTTTTTTCATCCATATCAATACGAATCCCCATTTTTCAAAACCTGCAATATGCACCTCAAGACATAATTTAAAGCTTAAATTGTGCCCTGAACTTTTTTTTGTCTAAAAGAAATCACAAAATTTTACTGTAGTCTTGAATCTGCCTCCGCGTTCAAAAATTGAATCTGATTTCTTCAAAATTATCAACATCAAGGCTAGCTCGAGGTTCATTATCAGAACCTACATCTTCACTAACACTCTTGCTTTCGTATGGAACAACAACATCCTCCTGATGCAGATAATTTTGAAGAAACCGCTGGTGAGTTTTGGACGCGGTGGCAGATTTGGGACTAGAGTGAAAGTTAATAGATTATCTTTTTAGTCAAAAAAAAAGTTCAGGGTAGGGATTGAACCTAAAGTTGGGCGGTTTTTAGGGAATTAGGCCGTTGGGACACGATGAACGACTGAGGAGGAGGAAAGAGGAATGGATTTTAGGGTTAAGGTTTTCTTTTGGGAGAAGGGATAAAAGAGTGATGAGGCCAATATGGAAAGAAAATGGCAGTTTGGTAAATAAGTGGATAAGGATCATGAGTAGGAGAGGCAAATTGAAAATAGTAACAAAACACAAGATGCAAACTGTAGGTTTTCAAGAGTGAGATACAAATTGATGTACGGGTATTAAAGTGAGGACGGTAATTGATACTTTCACCTATGTTTATCCAGGCAATAATGAGTCTGTCCTAGAATGAACACAACAAACTCTAGACAGAAATACATAAGGTTTATCTCATACTAAGAACCATTAGAATGAAATAGAGGTTTGAAGCATACATTACTGAAAAGGGCAACATAAATTGAGAACTAGAAGAAATGTTTTTGACTGGAAAAGGCATCCCAAGAATATACATAGCATGCGCACTCATGATCATGAATTTTTAACTCATGCTATTAAATATTTAGACTTGATTATTACGGACAAATGACATCAGCCAGACTGCTGCAATTTGCATAGTGATCACTTTTTATACTAAATCAGATGTAAGAACATTAAATCCAAATTAGGAATTTCTTTTGGTTGTTCTATCCATTTATGTAATAAATTGTCTGATTCACATTTAAAATAGATGTCCTATTGTGTATTCAGATGTATAGTGACTACATGAAGAGCTTCAGGGAAAACATGTCAGATTTCCTGGAATCAGGACTGATAATAGACATTGAAGTAGGTTTAGGACCTGCAGGGGAGCTGAGGTACCCCTCTTATCCAGACAGTCAAGGCTGGGTTTTTCCTGGTATCGGGGAATTTCAGGTAACAGTCACCCTTAAACAATGTCTGCATAACTGTATGACATTCTCTTGGATGTTAACCAGGGTAATAACAGAAATGACGGACTTTAATTTCAGTGCTACGACAAGTATCTCAAAGCAGAATTCAAGGAGGCTGCAATAAATGTGGGTCATCCCGAATGGGAACTCCCTGATAATGCAGGAAGTTACAATGCCACACCTGAATCAACAGAATTCTTTGGTCCAGACGGGACATACCTCACCGAGAGAGGAAAGTTTTTCTTGACTTGGTACTCAAACAAATTGATAACCCATGGTGATCAGATAATGGATGAAGCCAACAAAATATTCCTAGGCTGCAGAGTCAAGCTAGCGGCCAAGGTGACTCCCCATATCACGGGCAACTAAAGCATTTATCTAGTAATGTGTTTTCAGAATCAAAACTTAGCTATATCAACCAAATGCAATCACGAATCAGGTATCTGGCATACATTGGTGGTATAAAGATGATAGTCATGCTGCAGAGCTCACTTCAGGATACTACAATCTTAACGACAGAGATGGCTACAGACCTATTGCGAGGATGCTGTCAAGGCATCATGCAATTCTTAATTTCACATGTCTTGAGATGCGAGACTCCGAACAAATTGCTGCTGCTAAAAACGGGCCTGAGGAACTTGTACAGCAGGTACATCTTTCAATTCTTTAAAACAGTAGAATAAAAAGTAGTGAACAACAATAATGATGATTGAAAATAATTAAGGGAAAACTTTATCTCCAGTTGAAATTTCCGGATAGAAGATCTGTGATCTCTACCAGAATTGAACTTTTACTATAAGAAAATCATGATATCTAGTGCAAGATAATCAAATAAAATGACTCCGCTTGAGGTTCATATTTTGCAGGTTCTGAGTGGAGGTTGGAGAGAGAAAATTGAGGTAGCAGGAGAAAATGCACTTTCAAGATATGATCGAGCTGGCTACAATCAGATACTTCTAAATGCTAGGCCCAATGGGATCAGTAGGGATGGCCCACCAAAGCTGAAAATGTATGGAATAACATACCTTCGTTTATCAGGCAAGTTACTCGAAGGAAACAACTTCAAGATATTCAAGACATTTGTGAAGAAAATGCATGCTGATCAGGTAAAGGAAACCCACACGAGATCTTTGCATAAATCTTCAGTGAGATGTCCAAACACTTTCTTTGTTTGGTCCAGGACCACTGTGCAGACTCAAGAAAGTATGGCCAATGTCTAGATCCACTAGAGCGTTCAAATCCAGAGCTTTCAATTCAAGATTTGCTAGAAGCAACCGAACCAATGAAGCCATTCCCATGGGATAAAGAGACAGACATGGGCGTTGGTGGTGCACTTGCTGATTTCTCAGACAAATTCATAGAAAAAATCACCTCTATTTTGAAGTGAGAAGACCATAGAACGACAGAGTGAATAGCAGTACCATAATGGCCGCTGTGGCACGGAAATCTCCAAAGATCACAGAACGTCCTTTCATGGCAAATCAGATCCCGTAGGAGTAAAGCTGCTGCTCTCCACTTTTTGTTCCTATACAAATAGAATGCGTCCAAACTTAGTTCTCACCAATAATCGCCACAAGAACAATTTCCTTCTCTAAATTGGCGAAACCTACGAATATCCCGCATACTGATCTCGTGACTTGAGTTCTGAATTAAACTTTGTCACAGTTTGGCAATCCCCACAAACACGAAGATTCTTGGTTATCCTAATTATGGTCCTACAATGGTGTTAGCACCAAATCCTCTCTTAACCATATATGAATGAACAGACATGCCAAAATGCAAGGCCGTGATCCGATCACAAGCTCCAAAAACAGCTGCAACAGTGACTTCATCAGGTTTTATACTTTCACGAACCATCCGACAGAAAAGCTTTATGCTTTCCACAGCATCTCCAATCTTCACATAAGCAGATATCATGCAGTTCCATGACAATATATCAATAACCGTCGCCTCAAACAATCTTCTTGCATCCAATACAAAATAGGAAGCACAATACATGTCTATAAGAGCATTCACCACAAATCTGTCGCAAAGTTTTTCCCATTCCGGACAGCATAGGCATGAGCCTCTTTCCCCTGCTTCACTCCTCTGAGTTTAGACAAAGCCGTGAGAAGAGCGAGCAAAGTCATCCCATCTAAAACAAGTCCATCCTTCTTCATTTCTTGGAAACCCAATAAAGCCTCTTCCGCTTTGCAATTCCTTGCATAACCAAAAATCATCGTATTCCAAGAAGCTAAGTTTCTTTCACGCATTCTGTCAAACATCGCCCTCGCAGCCTCAATATCCTCAAACCTCAGATACAATGCGAGCAAAGACTTAGCCACATAGATATCAGACTCCAACCCGCCAAGCACTATCTCGCCATGAACTCTTTTCCGAATTTCGACAAACAACAGTTCACCGCACGCCTTCAAGACAAAAGGGTAAGCGAAATTATCCGCCTTTCGACCGAAACTTGGAAAATTCACGGTACAAGACAAGGGACTTGAAAAGGGAAGCCACAACAAGTACAGGCGTAGCCCCTTGATCATGGAATTCCACAAGAACGGATTTTTCCAGCTCAATGTGGTCAAACATTACTCAAAGTTTTCACGCAACAAAATTTGCGTGCAAGATCAGAGAGCTAAAGACCCCCAAATTTTTTTTTAAAAATATCAAAAAAAGCAGAAAACTTCAACGTGGAGATGCGGGGTATCGATCCCCGTACCTCTCGCATGCTAAGCGAGCGCTCTACCATCTGAGCTACATCCCCTGGATTTGTTTTGTTGAGTTTATTGAATAAATAATTATAATTAGCTCATGGTTATCAATTTTCATAGTAAGGGGCTGCGCATCTTACATGTTAGGGAGGGGGAGCCAAACTAATTACTATTTATTAGCACCCAAAAAGGCCCACGTTTGATGCGTGTTTGTGAAGGAGAAAATGCGTAGATAAATTGGCAATCGGCAAAAGAAGAATAGGCCTTCAGAAAATATTCTCAAAATGGTAATTTTCATGTTTATCCGGATATGGATAGAATTGGTCGAATCTCCTCGTACCCCCTCCAAATATGTAATTCGTCGTCTTTTAATCTCCTGATTAGCACGCATGGTGTCGGAATACTTCCCCTCAAGTTATGTTCGATCTGGAGGAATTTAAATAACAATTTAGATCCTTTTACAACGAACCGAGTTCACTCGTGTTTTGTTGAGATTATCTCGCCCGATGTACTAAAATTTGGTTGAAAATCAAGAGAGATTGTGAGGGGAGTGAGCCTTCACAAGAACGGACGTTTCGGAGATGCAAGAACTGTGGGGAAACAATTTGAAAATCAAGAATACCCCCACCTGGGGCCTGGTCGAGATGTAATAAACGCAAAGAAAGAAGGGCAGATTGCGAATTACGACCCCACCAAAGATTATGGACGTTCCCACTTTGTTCTCGTCACGTCTACCCTCCGAGGTGGCGCCCTTCTTCTCCTCCTGCTCCTTCTCCTTCTCTTTCCTCGCGCGTTCGTTCAAGAAAGCATGCAAATGGAAGAGGGCAAAGCTCGCCCCTAGAGAGGGGCTCCAGATCATTCGCGGGCGCGTTTCTGTGATCGTCCCGCCGACACCCATCTCTTTTCCGCCTTCAAGTTTCTTGATTTCCCGGTAAAGGTTCGATTTTTTTTTTTTTGGACACGCCCGCGTCGGTTGGTCGCTCGTTTCGTGAGGCGGCTTGTTGGATCCGGCATTTCCACGTTCGTCCCCCGATTTTTCGTGGGTTCTCGATTCTCTTGTCGTTAGGACGTCCCAATCTTGATCCTGAGGGATATTTGACTTAAGGGGACGTGGCCGTTGTGGATCAACGAACAGCAGCAGCAGCAGGAGGAAGAAGAAGAAGATAAAAAAGCCATTTGGGTTTTACGTGGCGAAGGTGATTCTTTTTACCCTCTACCTTTTTGGATGGTGATCAAGACAAAGTCGTGAGGGAATTCAAATTGGATGAAATGAGAAGAGAAGCGAGAGACTGGCAATGTGAGAAGGAATAGAAATGAGAGTCAAAAGTGGGCCGGTCATTTTCGCGATTCTGCTATGTGCATTGGCCACTGGGAGCTCGGAAGGCAAGAGAAAAGCTGGGCACGAACTTCTCGGAAATGGAGGCGCTTCATCGCCACCGCAGACGAGTTCCTACACGGTACGAGGATTGTTCGCATGTCTTTTTTTTTCTTTTTTCGCTTTGTTGAATTTCGACAATTTCTTTTGCCTGCTTTGGAGCTTAATTTATAGGTAGGTATGTGTTTCCTGGTTGAATCTATTTAGCTGGTTTGTCTTTTGTTGGAAAAGCTCCTGGAAAAAGAAAAGCTGTTCCTAAAGAATTTGTACTTGCCTAGATGATCGGATGGCCTATAGAGTGCGGAGTAATCTTTGATAAAAAGACAAATTCGAGCGTCCCGCAAAAAAAAGAGAAGAAAAAGAAAACAAAGACGTATAAGAGGAACAGAATTGATTCATCAGGTGTTTCGCAATGCATAAATTTTCGGGATGTGAGTTAATTGAGATGTTCCTGGGAAAAAAATGAAACGGTAACTTGAGAGAGAAGAATCTGAGAATCCATTTCAACTGAGACCCATTTGTCTGTATGACCGTGTACCCTTCATTCTTCAATTTCCTGCGAGTTTGATGGTGCTCCATCTACGATTTACGTGCTAAGTCTCTCCTGGCTCTAGATAGACATTGCAATTAACCTGTGCTGCGTATTCTTGAAAGAAAAAATCACTTTGATTAGATGAAAGAACCCTTTTGGAAACTTAGTAGCTGGATATCTAAGGAACAATGATGATCCTTACACATAATTTGACTTGACAGCCCCATTCAGTTGCACTTTGAGATCAAGAATTCCCCTTAAACTCGAATATGTCATATGATAACAGACAGAGCAAGCATGGATTGACTGCGAGAATGAACTGATGGCCAGGGCAGAGGTGATTCAAGATTTTGACATATACGTACTGCGGGAGGCAATCCATGGCCTTAGATCAATCAAAGGAAACATGGACAGAGCCTCGAGAATCCTGCCGCCCGATGTGAAACGCATGCTCTTGGATTGCTTAAGAGAGAACAATCTCCGAGCACGCACTTCCAATGGGGAGCCGAACACGAGGAACTGGTTCATGGAGTGCATGGAGTTTCTCTTCTATGGACCAAATATTCCTCGGAGAAATCTGGTAAGCAGGTCACATCACCAGATAACATCAACCAATATACTAGCATCAGCTCCATCAACATCTCCACGTAAAAATATCGTGCCAAGTCCTGCTCCAACTCCATCTCCGAACCAAAATGTGGCAATAAGCCCTTCTCCGTATTCTGCAACAGAATCTCCGAGTACCAGTCCAGCTCCAACTAATCTTGCTCCAACCATTTCTCCGTCCCCAAAACCACAAGCACTCGTGGAGTCACCAGAGGAGCCATCTTTACCGCCAGATACAAGTGAGTCACGGGAGCAACCACCAACTAGTGAAATTCTACCTATAAGGACACATGTTGCTCCAAGCCATACTCCTAAGAAAGATGATCACAAATGGATGAAAAGTGCAATAGCTGCCGGGTGTACAGCAGCTGGGACGCTATTTGTTGTCGCACTGATCTTATTATGCTGTTCCAAGGGCAGGAACAAGAAAGTTGATCCCAGAGCCGGACAAAAAGATGATAGACCTCTTCTAAACTTGAGCTTGAGTGATTTCTCTGCAGGTATTCATTTATCAGGCGTTACTTTTATCATTGTCATGTTATCATTCTAAATTTCTGATGTCTGATCTGACAATATGTGAACTTTATCAGGTTCTTCCCAAAAATCCTATAGCGTTGGAAATTCAAGCGGTAAACAACTGAGTTCTAATAGTGGAAAGACCCCATCCTTGGCGAGTCATCTTTCCATAGTATCCAACCATCATGATTCGTCGCAGCCTGAAGTATCTTCCCTGGAAACAACTGGAGTAGTACCGCTTCCTCCATTGAAGCCACCGCCTGGAAAATCAGTTCAATCACCTCCTGGACCACCACCGCCACCACTTCTCAATCCGCGGCCTCCACCACCTCCAAAAGGTGGTCGCCCTCCACCACTACCTCCTAAAGGAGCTTCACCTCTTAGACCCAACCAGCAGGATGACCACGATGCAGAATCTGACGCCCCCAAAACCAAGTTGAAGCCATTTTTTTGGGATAAGGTCCTAGCAAATTCTGATCAGACAATGGTCTGGCATGAGATCAAATCTGGGTCCTTCCAGTAAGTCTAGGATCTATCTTAGATTGACTTAGTCAATTAAGTACCCAGTATGATTTGAAATTGACTTGGTCAATTAAGAACTAAGTATTCGACTGGTCATTGTCATGATATTTTTCACAGGTTCAATGAGGAGATGATGGAGTCATTATTTGGATATAGCACTGTGGATAAGAACAAAACTGGCCGTAGAAAAGAACCATTATCACTGGAAACTCCTCAGTATATTCAAATTATTGATACGAAAAAAGCGCAGAACCTCTCAATTCTACTACGAGCACTTAATGTGACAACAGAGGAAGTCTGTGACGCCCTTCAAGAAGGTAAACTCTATATCTGGATGGGAATTCATGTTTGCGTTGCATCTGTGCATTTTAGTCGTGCTTTTCTCAGGCACTGTATCAAATAACCTCATTTGATATGATAGCATAAAAGAATATTCTTTTCATAAAATTAAAAAAAAATTAAAAAAAAATTAAAAAAAAAAAACTAATGCAGAATTTCACGTCCCGTGCTTTTCTCATATCCTAAACTACTGCTAAATCTATTGAAATTGGTCCTGGAAATTAAATGATCATAGTGACAAGTATCGATCATATTTGCCTCTACATGTAGAGCCTCCTCCCTTTTATGTTGATCCTCTTCAAGAAATCACTAGATAGCTCTTAGTACATACTTTGTAGAATCTGATAACTAAGCAGTATGACATCCTTGTGTGTAATTGAGACCATGACACGGAGACCAACTTTGCAAAGCCTGACGCTTCAATAGCTCACGGCCTAGGTTTCATGACCTGAGAGAGATCATGATCTGGAGGTTGGCGACCTATTAAAGACTATCAATTTTCTTTGTGCCCCGAGACTATTTGCTGCTGTCTGCAAGACAACAAATGTAACTGAGATACAATCCAGATATTGAATCCTGTATATGCCTTGGGAGTTGGTAAGCAAACAATGACTAGAAAGGATGAGTTGCCATTCTCAAGTTGTTATGTAGACCAATTCACTGCTTTTATACTAAGGTCCGAGACGTTGAGTTCTCGACTTTTCACGGATATATCATTCTTTATTACTTGTAAAGGTGATGGCTGATTCTTATGCTTGTAATACTACAGGTACTCAGCTTCCGGTGGAGCTTCTCCAGACTCTTGTAAAAATGGCTCCAACTGCAGCAGAGGAACTGAAACTCCGATTGTTTAGTGGTGAAATGTCTCAACTTGGCCCTGCAGAGAGGTTTTTGAAGGTATTGGTTGACATCCCACACGCTTTCAAGCGAGTGGAAACACTACTATTTATGAACTCCGCTCAGGAAGAAGTATCCAGCATCAAAGAATCCTTAACAACTCTAGAGGTAAATGATTACTACTTAGTTCAAACTGGATGTTTCTTGCACTTACGTTTCTTTAATCTATACATGATATTCTGTCAAGCTAGAGTCAGCAGAGTGCAAGACATTCCCATCATCATTTGTCAGTCATAAGATAGGAAACTTAGGGCATACCTAGCTCTAATTCGTATGCAGTTCTGCACAGAGATAATATAGATTGATCATTGTCATTTTATAACCAAAATTAACCTCTTTTAATTTCAGGTCGCCTGTGGTAAACTCAGAGATAGCAGACTGTTCCTTAAACTCTTGGAAGCAGTCCTCAAGACCGGTAACCGCATGAATGATGGGACGTATAGAGGTGGTGCGCAGGCATTTAAGCTTGACACACTATTGAAATTGTCTGATGTCAGGGGAAAGGATGGTAAAACCACCCTTTTGCATTTCGTCGTTCAGGAGATCATTCGTTCTGAAGGAATTCGGGCTGCTCGATCTGCAAGCGAGAGCCAAAGCATGTCTAGTGTTAGATCAGAAGATCTCATGGACGACTCAAACCATGATTCAGCAGAACATTATAGTGCTCTTGGGCTGCAGGTGGTTTCTGGAGTCAGCAACGAACTCAAAGACGTGAAAAAAGCTGCCGTAATTGATGCTGATGGTTTATCGGCTTCAGTAGCAAAGCTGGAGGTCTCACTTGCAAAGACTAAACGGTTCCTCAACACCGAGATGGAGAGCATGGAGGAAGAAAGCAAATTCCGTGACTCACTCACCAGTTTTGTCGAGTGTATAGAAGGTGATGTTGCATGGATATTGGAGGAAGAAAAGAGGATAATGGCTTTGGTGGAAAGCACGGCAGCTTACTTCCATGGAAGCACGGGGAAATCAGAAGGTTTACGTCTCTTTGTAATCGTACGTGATTTCTTGATAATGTTGGATAAGGCCTGCAAAGAAGTGAGAGACTCGGGGATGAAGACAGTTAAGACTTCCAGAACAGAGACACCAACTGCATCACCTTCACGAGAAAACCATCAGCCATCACCAGATATCCGGCAGCGACTATTTCCAGCAATTTTAGACCGACAGATGTATGATTCTAGTTCAGATGATGAGAGCCCGTCTCCATAGTTTTATATTGGTTTGCTGGTCTTTATTCAATGAGAAGTTGGTGGAATTCTAAGTATAGTCATCTTTTACTTGTAAGAGAAGCGAGTTGAACAGACGATGCAGACTTATGCATTCAAACTCACTGAAACTGATTCTAATATAGGCAGCTTTTCAGCTTTAATTATGTTTTATTAAATTAAAAACTTTGTTGTTTAGGGGTTTGTCCAGTAATTTCCGCTTGAGAAAGAAGAAATGCTAAACGGCCCTTTTTATCGAGGAATATTCACATGACATCACTGATTTAAACAAGAAAGAAGCTCGCATGAGCCGAAGACCAAGTGCACATGGTACTGCAGATTATTTAGACCAATTATTCTGCAACTGATGAATGTACTCCAACATTATTGAGTTAATGCAAGAAGCACTTTTGTCACCTCACTTGTCCAGCCTCTCCTCTGTTATTCATAGATGGGAAAACTTCACATACAAAATCATTAATTGTTTGGGACAGAAAAATGGAACTTCAAAGCAAAGACAGATCTGCGTCAGGCTCATTACACGGTGCAAATCAACTGGGAATCAACAACAGTTTATATGGCAACAAGCCGCACGTGAATACTAACGATCTCTCAGCTACCTAGTGTCTGTAGGCCCTTATTTAACAAAAAAGAGGTCTTTAACTCAGAAGAGATAATGACATCCATTGATGCACCTTCATCTTATTATTCACTACCAGATTCAGCAGCTAAATCAGGCCAATTAGCATATGCTGAGGCCAAACCTACTAATGAGTAAAAAAGACTTTACAGCAACCGCTAAAGCTTTCTCTTGCTGCAGAAAGGTAAACTTCTCCAACATCATGTTGCTCTGCATATGGTGACTTCACTGCTGCTTGTGTCAAACCAAATTTTCACAAACTCATGAGAAAAATAGAGTGTCAGACCCATATATACTCACGTTTATCTTCGAATTGCCTTTAGTGATCATGGGCTAGCACCGTATTACCGTGCTTAAAAGAATTGCCACTCAAGTTGTCTCCATGCCAGCTTCTTTTACTCAATCCACGATAACATTTCTGATTTAGGAACACTCCGTAAATCGTGTTACTATCCAGAGAGGAGGACAGCAAAAAAACTTGAGCTCAGCCCATGGCTTCCGAGTCTATCACTCATGCAAAGGCATGCTGGATAAGCTCCATATGATCCATTCTAATGCATCTGCTACTATAGAGGAATTCTCTCCACTCACAAACTCTTTTATAATGCCATTTACTTCTATTGAACTCTTCCCTGTTTCCTTCTCCATACTTCTGTTCTTCATAAGTTTCCATACCCTCAATGATTCCTCCTGCAAACCCATATCAGCATAAATATTGGATAAAAGAATGTAAGTCCCACAATCATCAGCTTTTAGCTCCACAAGCTTCTTGACTGCAACTTCTGCAAGCATTACATCTCGATGAGTTCGACATGCTAAGAGCAAAGATCCCCATAAAGCGGCACAATTGGGTGTCATAGGCATGGATTTTATGACTTCTCGGGCACTATCTAATTGGCCGGACCGACTAAGGAGATCAACCAAACAGCTATAGTGCTCAAGCTTGGGTTCTATACCATAAGCTCCTTTCATCTGTTCAAAGATACAGAGACCTTCATAGACGAAACCTGCATGACTGCATGCCGTAAGAACTGCAAGGAAAAGCATATCATCAATCCATACATTTCTTTCCCAAACCATCTGCCTGAATAATTCCAAAGCTTTCTTTCCATGGCCATTAGTACCATATCCAAAAATCATCACACTATAGCAAATGGCATTTCTCTCAGACATGCTATAAAAAGCCCTGCTGGCTTCATTGACGCTCCCACATTTCATGTACATATCGAGAAGCGCAGCTTGAACGACTATGTCAACGTCGATTCTGTTCCTCTCCACATATATATGCATCCATCTCCCTTGAACAAGTGCCCCCAGCTGGGCACATGCTGATAGTGCTCCAACCACTGCAACCTTGTCAACCTTCACATGTTCCAAAAGCATCTGCTTAAAAAGTTTCAATGCTTCCAGGGGATTTCCATTCGAAACATATCCATCTAGCAGAATGCTCCAAGATATCACATTTTTCCCTGGCATCATATCAAAGAGTTCACAAGCAGCCATCACATCTCTCCCCTTTACATATCCAGCAATCATAGAATTCCATGAAATAGTATCTCTGATAGGCATGTTATCAAAGAAAAGTCGAGCCCTCACAACATCACCGCTTCTCTGACAAAATCAAAGAAGGCCTGTAAGCACAAATTCTCTGAGAGATAAACGATCACTTGTATGCATCCCCATTTCAGGAGGAGAAATTACTTCATGGAAGATGCAACTTTCTTCCAGTTTCATCACTTCAGTTTAATAGAAGTTGCAATTTATATCTTATATACTCTGAAGCCAATTCCTTTCCATCTCCTTTGCACGTAAAAATTAATTAAGTTCCTAACAAACTCAGGAAAATAACTTCGAATATAACCAAACCAGCATTCCAAGGCATCTATTAACAGATAAACAAGATATGAAGTATCATTATTTACTCTTAACTGGGGGTAGAAAAGAAGATAAAGAAACAGTCATAAGCAACTATAATATTCCATTGACATTAGATAGCCAAATGCCTTAAGTCACATTCAGGTGGAAAAAACGGCAGAAAGGCAAAACCTCAGGTAAAACAAACTTCTCTGCAACCCCAGAGTAACTACTTAATTAAAGAAATCAGGTGGAACAACAGACCTTACCGTAAGCATCTATCATCATGGACCAAGAAATCACATCCTTTTCTGGCATTTCATCGAACACCTTCTGGGCCTCTTCTGTATTCCCGCACCCTACATAAGCACTCAATAATAAATTCCAAGACACCGAATCTTTTTCCTCGACCCCATCAAAAGCCATCCTCGCACAACCCATTTCTCCACATTTCCCGTACATACCAATCAACCCATTCACTGCGAACACATGACAACATCTTCCTCTCTTCACTAACTCCCCATGAACCAGCCTTCCCTCGGCCAAGCCCATCATCATCCCGCATGCTTTTAACACAAAAGGGTACGTGTAATCATCCCCAACAAGGCCTTTTCTTCTCATACCCGCGTAAAAGCTCCAAGCTTTTTCTGGGTTTGAGCTGCCGACGTAGCCCCTGATCATGGTGTTGTACGTGAAAACACTCCGCAGGCGAATTTGGTCGAACACAAGCCGCGCGTGGTCCATATGGGGCGTGTTCAACGACGTCAGGGAAGTGAGTAGCTTGCCCGACGTGAAGGAGTCGGAGATGAAGCTGGTCGTGATCAGTTGGGCATGGATTTGGAGGATCTGCGAAGTGCTTTTGGATCTTTGGAGAAGTGCGATCAGTGGGTTTCCGAGGTGGGATGGGGACGGAGAGTGGACCATGATAGGCGCAACGAGAGACCGACATCACCTCTGCTGAACTCGCATCGAAGACGAAGAGCTCAGATTGAATACTGAAGAAGCGGGAAGTTATGCCTTAATTCTACCGGTGCTGCGATAGTCACATGCGCAAACTTGCGAGCATTTGTCATCTTGATTTTTCCAAAAGATATTGAAGAGTCTAATTTGCACTTGGCTACTAACTTTGAACATTGCTTAACCATCAAATTTGTTTTCTTCTTATGGTAATCCATCCACTTACATGTTGGTATTATGACAGAACTAACTTAGGAAAGGACCATGACATTGTCGGTACCTGCATGATGGTGACGTGAAATCGATGTCCAGATATTAGGAGAGATTCACATTTAAAGTAGCAGTGTCAAATTGCTTTCGGCCTCGATCTGAAGCCTATGAATGGACTTGGAACAAGAGGGGAACAAGAGACTTTGACCTATTTGAACTCGGTAGAGAGCGGGAACGGAACAGTCATGGTGCAACTTGGCAAGTATTAGGAGAGAACAGTTACTGTTAATGCAAGATGCATGTGACACGGACAGGATTCTCCCTTTAGTAACCTTTTGAGTGGAGCTTTGCGGCAACGAGGTGAAAAATTAGTGATGCAGGAGTGATGATATAATTGGTTTGTAAGAATGCCATCAGAGCGTTTGTGCTAGGAGTGCTAGCATAGAACAGTGATAATTTTGAGGAGCTCTGAAGTCGGAGTTGGAATCCCATGCACAAATTGGTCGAGAGTTGATGCCGCTCTCCTGATGAAACTATATATGGCACGCCGAAATCATTATTGTATCGAAGTAGACTATGTATCTTCCGAGGGACTGGATGCTCGAGCTAAACTAGTGGTACGATTCGATTTGTGAATATTATTTGCCATACTATTATGAGGAACAACAATAAAAGGAAGGTTGGCCTAGTGTTATCGGCTCACCAGGCGCCAGACGGGCTATTCTGTGGCCAAGAATCTGTTAGCCTGTGACACATGTCGGACATGGAACAACTATTGTATGGATGTCGTCGTACAATATAGCGGTCGGCCGCCTAAGCATGCCACATAGAACGACTAATGCCGACTGAGCGATTTCTGATCAAAATTAGCTAGATCTATTATAGTGGAAAATCGTCAAAATGGTTTAGGACTAAATTGACCAAATTGAAAAATTAATGACTGAGTTTGCGTTTTAAAACTTTTTTGGACAAATTTCCCGTGAATTAAAGATGGATGGCTGCAATTCATTGGTACACACGCCTCTTAACTTGAGCATGTCACGAGTTTCTGCCTTGCTCCAAATCCATTATCGACCCGTAAAAAGATGAATTAGAGTGTCTCAAATTGAGTTCACGATCTGGAAAAACAGTCTTGGACTGCATCCAGAAGTGGTCGCCATCATCATCTCCTCCGTTGTTGAAGCAATCATCGTGTACAAACTATGCGGATTCCATGGTACTTTTCGCAGCGGCCTTGATCATTTTTTTGCTTTCTGCCACATGTTTTCTCAATGTATTGAAACCATAGTAGAGGCGGCATCCATTGATTTCTATAAGATGGCATAATTGGTGGATTGATAGTCGAGACTCTCGTCTTATGTCGAGCAATGGAGATCGAGTTCTGCAACATTCTCATCATGCTCAACCGACCTCCTCGGATTCAAAAGGAGACCATCATGTCGGATCATAAAAGAGACCATCTTTCATTCATTTTATCCAAAAGAAAGAAAAAAAGAAGTATGGATACACCCCACTAGTGAATGGAGGTCAATCTCAGACTTCTTTATTCAGAAAGACCGAGTGGTGAAGGAACCATCATGAAAGCAATACGTTTAATAGTAAAGTTAGCACAAAAGTTCGATTGTGAAAATATTGGCTTCGTTGTTAAGAAACGAATGTGCGTCGTAAGTTAGACGAACAGTACGAGTTTGATTCTTGTAGACAGGTTCCCTTTAGACTTCGTATTCAGATTTCGAGAATAACAGAGTCCGTAATACATTCCGATGAACGAATCATTCGTCGCTAAGAAAAAGCAAAACGAGTGCATCGTATAGTACGATAGAAGTCCCTGTCTTCATAAAGATTCTACCAGTACATAGATCAGTCATCTACCTCCATATGCATTGCTCAAAACATCAGGAAGTGCGACATTGGGGAACAGAACAACATTAGTCAAACCACCTGAAGACCAAGTTATCAGGACTCACGACCCACCTCTTCATTAGCCTTCAGTGGCGGTGGCGGAAACGTAGTAAGCGACGCAGAAGAGGCCGTGGACGAAGCAAAGGATGCCTCCGATGGAGAGGAAGTGGTGGTGCGTGAAGCCGCAGGAGGCTCGCGACTTGTGGTTCGACAGTGTCCCGACGACCAACATGGATAGCCCGACCGCCAGTATGATCCTGAGCCATTGATCCACGTTTAATCTGCAGCCGAAATCAATTGATAGTTGAAAGAGAGACAGTATACCAGGTGAAGACGAGGCAGGCCATGGTGAGTTGGCGATTGGGGGAGGCCTTTTGGAGGTCGTCCTGGGAGCAAATGCAGTTGTAGCAGCCACCGAGCAGATTGGCGAGGACATGGGCTAAGCCGAGGAACGCTGCCGCGCCTAAACCGAGCTTGAACGCCTCTGGGCTCGGCTCCTTGCACTCGAATATCCACAGCCTCAGGTGCTTCTCCTGACCACCACGAACACTCCCCGGTTATTGCATCTTGAAAAGACATGGTTAAAGATGCCATCTTTTCTTTCCTTCATTTTTTCTCTAGTTCAGGTTTACCTTGTTTTGCTCAACCTCAGCTTCCAGGCCAAGAATACCGGCTGCAATATCCAGGCCTATGATCAGGATGCACACGAAAATGCCCCCTGCTTTCACCATTTCTGAGAAACTGTGCTGCTTGCTGCTGCTGTGTGTGGGTTTGTGTGTGTGTGTGTGTGTGGAAGGAAGAGAGGAAGAATTAGGTTGTGCTTTTCAAAGAGAGGCAAAGAGGGACAAAAGTCATCGAGACAATTGCATGGGGTCTAGTAAAGTAATCAGAATGTGTTGTGCCAAAGGAAAATGGGAAAAAGATGGGAGGAGAATGTGGTGAGCTGTTTGAAAAGGAGGGCAAAAGCTTCTTTTGTCCCCACAGTGCAAGACTTTTTCACTTTGCTCATCTTCTCTTCCTTTCTGCAAGATGCCTTTCATGGGGGAGCAAGGAAAGCAGAGAATCAACCAAGTCACGGACAGGAGAGTGACCGGAGATGTGTCGATGGCAGTCTTCATTGAAATCATAGCATCACTACCTATCTATACACATGACAATATTCGAGGTAGTCTGTCATCAATAGTGACTGCAACTGTAGCAACTTTTTTGTAATGGTTCAATCATCATTGTGACCATCTCAGGGAGGAAAATCTTACTAATAGGGCAAGTTTTCACATGGGAAAACAAGAGCGACCTGATCCTTCTTAATACTGAACTGTTCTCTTCTTTATTTTTGGCCGATGCGATTGAATTGTATCTTAGACTTGTGAAGATTAGGCGCACAAACACAACGAAATAGAAAATAAAGGCAAGAAAAAGAAATCGAGACATAAAGCGTATTCCGGTTCACTCCTTAAACTAGGACTACATCTAATAGAGGATTCCACAATAATTAGCACATTTAACAAGAGAAAGAGATTATATATAGACAGCAGCTATTCATGGGCCCAAGTCTAAACAATCAATAAAATATGGATCCAAACTATAAAAATTTTCTATCAGCTTGGGAGCGCTGCCCTCGTGACCTGCTTGCCTCCCTATCAATGGGGAGTATGAACCACACTCCAACAAGACCAGTTGCACGGGTCAGATTACCGCCCGTCGCCCACTCTTTTCTTCGCGATTGACGACGACTCTTCATCGGCCGAAGTATGCGAAACGAAACCGATCGCACCAATTCCACAAACCGAACGATACAGTGGGGCGGAACCGATTTGTCGATTCGCTTGATACATTAGATAAACAGATCACGAACATTTTGGCAGAATAGCATTCGCCCTCCAAAAGTGGGGAAAACGTATGAGGACGATGGGAAAAAGCAAACCGCGTAACGGGGGACAAATGCGGGCCCGCGATTCGAACCCGCAAGCGTCGGGTCAAGAATCGGTGGGATCCGTATCGCCAAGGGTCAAACCTGGGTCGGGTCACCATCATCCACCTCCTCGAGCTTTGTGAAAATGCATGACCAGAGCACGGCCAAAATTAAGAAAAGAGGAAATTACGAAGACAGGTCTTTGGCCTTGGGGTAAAGTGGATTTACCATATTGCCATCTCTTGTTATTTGCCGTACATTCCTCTGTTTTAATCCACTTTTTTTTTTTTTCCGGACGAAAATGAAATGAAGAAATTTGTTCATAGTGCATTCCGACTCTCTCCGTCTCCCTTTTTTTCCTCGAACGGAAATATGAAAAATTAGATAAAGAAATTTGTGTCTACATTCGAGTTTAGTTGGCATGATTAACGTGGCTTCCGATACATGCGCGGATTAATCGCCCATCCACCAAAAGACAGAGAGAGATTGGGGTGGTAAACGCTACGATGAAACAAGCTACCAAGCTAATGTGCTTCATGTGTTGCAAGAATGAATTAGTGTTCCATAGATTTTGCCAAAATCGTCCAATTATAGAATATTTATTATGGCCATTAGTTAATTCGAAATTTAATGGCACGAGATGGAGAATGTTGATAATAAAATGACTAATCGATGCTATTTTTGGAGAAGATAAAAATATATATATATAAAATATAAAAAGCCTTGTGATCCCTCAAAAAAGTAGAAATACGCCGTCGTTTTCTTCATGCCGGGCTTAGCGTCATTTGGGCCGTCGTCAGATCTTCCGCACCTTCTCCTCTTCGGTTCCGCCATGGTTAGAGAAGGGCTCGAGCCCATTTCAATGGCGGGTCTGTTAGAGGAGATCTTCATTTTGATGACCAACCCATTCTCGACAAGAACGAGGTGAAGATTTTATATGGGTGTCTTCTTTTTCAACTTCTGTTTCTTTTTGTCCTTTTGCACGCTGTACTGGATTCAGAACGGGCATGGATGATGCAAATAAGAGGGAAGAACCAGACCAGGCATGTCGGACAAACTCGAATGTGCGCAGTCGATGCTCTGTGATCTGGTAGCGATGATGCATGATAATATGGAGATGTGCGTGGCGCTCTGAATCTGTCTCAAATGAGACTCCTCCGTTAATTTTAACGTCATTAGGCGCAGCAAAATGTCCAGAAGGATCGGACTCCATCGTCATCGTCATCATATTCATCATGTCACTTTCGCAGGTGAAGCATGATGCCTCTCGATTACAAAATGGCATGTTCATCTCTCTCTCTCTCTCTCTCTCTCTCTCTCTCTCTCTCTCTCTCTCTCTCTCTCTCTAAAGTATACCAACTCCAAAGACAAACTTCCTAGTCCTTACAAGAAGTTAAGTCTTAGAACTAACAAGAAGAAGAAGAAGAAGAAGAAGAAGCCATGCCCGATTCCTACTTTCTAAATGTTTTTTTGGGGGCCGGAGCCATATCAAAAGATGGTTCTATTAGCTTTTACCTATGGATATAGACGCGAGACTCAACACAAACCTGAATAGCCATTCCCCTTTCCCACCCAGAGACGTACTCCATGGCGCTCGCCCTCTTCCTTCAAACAGGGGATTGATATGGAGGAGCTTCAAGATTCCACCACATCTGCTGCTGCTGCATCTCCATCCTCATCGCGGACGCCGCCTCCTCCTCTTCCTCCTGCTGCTGCTTCAGCAACAGCCATTGCTGGTTTGTCGCCGCCCCCACGCCGTACTCCTGATCGCACAACACGGCCTGAGCCGGGGGCGAGTTCACCATCCTCTCCAACAGATGCTGCATCGTCCACCTCCCAAGCATTCCGCTGCCGCCGCCGCCGACGTCGTCGTCCGTCGGGCAGCGAGGGGGGAAACACGGGGTCGGCTGCGGCAACTCGTGGGGCATGAGCTGAAGAGCGCTCTTCACCAGCTGCTGCAGGTACGCCACCTGCTTGCAGGCCTCCTCCAGCGTGGCGAGCGTGTCCATCTTTCTTTCTACCTGCGGCATAACCAGCTCGTGCAGCTGCCTCATGCAGTCGCCTATCTTCCTTCGCTTTTCTCTGGCCCGCTTCGTCCTTTCTGGGTCGGCCGGGGAGCGCTTGCGAGCCGGACCGGGCGCGGCTGCTGCTGCTGCCGCTGCCGCTGCCGGCGGCGGCTGCGGGGGCTGCGGTTGGAGCGTTTCGAGGGAGCGGAGGAGGTCGGAGAGGCGGTGGAGGGGGAAGCAGAGGGTCGAGTCGTCGGCGAGCGAGAGGGAGTCAAACGGGGACGAAGCGGGAGCGAAGTCGGGGAAGCAGTGAGGGGGTTCTTGCTTGGGCATCTTGAGAGGGGACGGCGAGTAGCGAAACGAGAGGTGCTGATGCTGCTCGGGACTCGGAGAGAAGGGAGAGACCGGGGACGGCAACGGCGACCAGAGAGGGGACGAAGGAGGAGGAGAAGAGGAGTAGGAGGAGGAGGAGGAGAAAGGGGAAGGGGATGATGAGGAGACGGGATTGTCGAGCAAGAGGGACCGGAGGCTGACGCCGGAGAACATGGCGTCGAAGTTGGACAGCTCCTCGGCGGCCGCCGGGGGGAACGACGGCGGCGGGAGGAGGAGGAGGCGGCGGCGGCGGCGGCTCGAGGAGGAGGGCTCGCCGCCGAGGAAGGCCGAGAGAGGATCGCCGTTCATGTCGGGAGACGGGGGACTGGGAATGGAAAATAGCGAAGCGAAGCGAGGGTGCGCTTCCCCCGTTTATATTATACGAGAGGGAGGGAGGGAGGGAGGGGGGGTGTGGCGCGGCGCAGGCGATGCTCGCTCTACCCTTGGGGACACGTGGCGGAGGGTGATTAGGGAGGGGGGCTGGGGAGCGTACGGAAAAACAGAATCAGAATCAGAAAGGCGGCTCCCAGGCTACATGGTCGAGGACGATTGGGGGGAGGGATGTTCGTTCTCTCTCTCTCTCTCTCTCTCTCTCTCTGTGACATGCTTTGTCGTTTTGTTTTCTCGTTGCCGTTTGTATGTATTCTCCCCCACCCCTCTCTCACTCCCCGGGGAAAATGCGATTTCGCCTATTGCCCCAAACAAAAAAAAACTAATTTGGACCCTTTTCTTTTTTTTAATTTATCTTTTTACCCAAATGCATTGGCGTCTACTAGGCCTACGAATTAAAGGAGTGTCCTTCCGTATGCATACTCTCAGAAGACGCTAAAAAGAGAAAGAAAGCAAGAAAATGACCAAAAAAAAGGAGAAAATATTCGGTGGTTACATACCACCGTGTCATCGTCCTACATGACATACGTGAACCATTCAAAATTCGACATGTGTGCGATGACATGGAATTAAAAAATTGGATTCTGAACCTCTCTTTGTGTTTCTCTCTATCCTCTGAAGAAGACTGACACACGCAATATTAATTACTTTCTCTTTTCCCTTTTGTGAAAGAACTCTGTTTCAGATGAGGAGGTCCTCCTTCTCTCTCTCAAATTTCAAATTTCACTCCCTCTCTTTGCGTCCGAAGACACACTCTCTCGCCTTCGGCTCCGGCACGTCGCCTCCGCCGTCGCCGCCACGAGCCCCATTGCTGCTGGGTTTGAAGCTCGTATCCGCCTCCGGCACTGCGGCTCAAATCCGCATCCGGCACGTTGTGACTCTTTTTCTCGTGGGTTTTGGCTTCCAAAACTAGGTGTGACTTCTCCTTCAAAACCATGGAATCTTGCACTCCATGGATGAGGCCTTCAGGCTCTCGGTGTTGCATTTTGGGGTTTCTTGAGGTTTCGCAGACTTGTGAGGGAATATCTCTGTCTGTTTTTTTTTTCTTTTTTACGAGGGTATAAAAAGTCTGCTTCTGACCACCCGCCTGGGTGGTGCTGCTGGAGCGCGCACTCTTCCTCTCGCAAAAGGTTGAGTGTTCGAATCCCGGGCGTCGCAGGGTGACTTAACCGGTGGCACGTGTGTGGTGGCTAGCACGTGTCGCCCTCAGGGTTTACTCCCCGGCTGTCGGCCGTGCGGTGGTTCCCTGGGTTACCAAAAAAAAAAAGTCTGCTTCTGTATATGGGCATTTGGCCTTCTTGGGGGCTAAAAAATTGTGTCTTTATCGGCAAAATCAAAAAAGAAGAGCATGAACTGTGCAAAAGAAGATCGATGTTGTTCCTGAATGCCAAGATAGAACTAAATTCTGGTTAACTCGGTGAATCAAGACTCGTTTTAGCTATTTTAATATTACAAAGCCCTTGAAATATGCTTGAGAAAATAGAGAAGGCAGAGATGCAACGGAAGGCCATACGCGCACACTGCTGCAACAACTGACACTCTTATCACTGTCAATGTCTAGCTTCAGTTGGGGATCGCAACAAGCTGAAGATATGATGGACATGCATGGTGCAACTATGGAAACAACAGTAGTTCTATGCGTGCACAGGCATCTGTACAAATCGTTAGATTGGTATTTCGATTTTGAAGTCATAAATTTTGAAGTTTATGAAACTTTGGCATTGTATATGTCAAGCATGACTTATATAAGCATAGATCAGAAATTGCTGCTTCAAATTTAGCTGCTACGACAGAATTCTTGCTATAAACTAAACTAGGAGCGTGATGGATAGCCCATTTCAGCACCAATGCTTGTGACCTGAACAAACCAACAGCATCACCACTTCATTTTGCCAGAAAATTGTCTTTCTATCTCTATCATGTTTCACCTATAAGGAAGCATATTTTCAGGGCCCCTTTTTTCCATTTTCAACTTTTGGCTTATTGAGCTGAGACATAGCTTACCAGAAAAAAGATTCATAACTATTAGTTATGCTCAAAGTTAGAGCTTACCAGAAAAAAGATTCATAACTACTGATTATGCTCAGCATCTTGAAGAGTTAGAGTTGGCCGTCAAAGTACTAAATTGAGATGGTTACTCAAATTGTTACAACATCAAAAGTACCTTGAATGTGACTTGAGTGTATATACATTTGCAACTAGAGATATATATCACTCTGGCAAACATCGTACCATATAGGCAGTCGCATGTCTATGCTAAGCGAAGCAACCGAGCGTGTAATAAGGTTGTAAAGAAAAGGATTTTAAAGAAAACAGCTACACAATTGAATTCATATAGAAAAACTGAGATCACAACTACATTTCTGAAGAATAATCAGTTTGTTGTTTCTACTCTATCTCAGATAATGTAAAAATTATCCTGTGATCGAGGACGGTTCACTCCATTTGTTGAATGAATGTTGCTGTTCCTGTTGAGGATCGAGCAATTTGAGCTTCTGGCAGATGAGAAGCACCATTCTCTCGTTCTCGAGCTTGGCTCTCTCCATTTCCCTTTCCTTCTTGTTGCTGAACTTCACCCACTTCAGCCGCTACCTTTTCGAGCTCGAACGCTTGCAGCTGGTAGCTAACTTGCTGCTCCTCCAGCTACAACACCTTCGCCTTCATCTACGGCTTCTTCTCCCACAGACTCCTGTTGCCGTCTTGCATCATGCTTGTCACCTCGCCGCTCAGTTGTCGCAGGAGTGCCATAGAGAGCGAGAGTAGGCATTTCCTCGGCCTTTTGCGCGAAGATGTCCTCTCGTTGTGAGCGTTTTCATCTTTGTGTCCTTGCCCACTGTGACCCCTCGAACCACCTATTGGTGCAAGGAGTGAGGGTTTTGGGCATTTGGGGGCTTCTGTTGCTGATGCAGAGGCATTTCTAGACCTAGCATTCCTGGACCAATGCCTCCAAAGATCCCGCCACCTAAACCATTGGGTTCCATCAACATAATATAAAACGAAAGACATATTCTATCTTCAGTTCACTACTACGAATCTTCATTCCCTCTCAGAAACGAATCTCCTTCTTGATTTTGCCAATAAAGACACAATTTTTGAGCCCCCAAGAAGGCCAAATGCCCACATACAGAAGCAGACTTTTTATACCCTTGTAAGAAAGAAAAAAAAAACAGAGATATTCCCTCACAAGTCTGCGAAACCTCAAGAAACCTTGAAATGCAACACCGAGAGCCTAAAGGCCTCATCCACGGAGTGCAAGATTCCATGGTTTTGAAGGAGAAGTCACACCTAGTTTTGGAAGCCAAAACCCACGAGAAAAAGAGTCACAACGTGCCAGATGCGGATTTGAGCCGCAGTGCCGGAGGCGGATACGAGCTTCAAACCCAGCAGCAATGGGGCTCGTGGTGGCGACGGCGGAGGCGACGTGCCGGAGCCGAAGGCGAGAGAGTGTGTCTTCGGACGCAGAGAGGGAGTGAAATTTGAAATTTGAGAGAGAGGAGGAGGACCTCCTCATCTGGAACAGAGTTCTTTTACAAAAGGGAAGAGAGAGAAGGCAATTAATGTTGCGTGTGTCAGTCTTCTTCGGAGGAGAGAGAAAAGAAAGAGAGGTTCCGAATCCAATTTTTTAATTTCATGTCATCGCACACGTGTCGAATTTTGAATGGTTCATACATACCACGTAGGACGATGACGTGGTGATATGCAACCACTGAATATTTTCTCCAAAAGAAGAGGGGGAGAAGGTGATCGGCGAGTGCGTGGGATGCACGAGCCTGACGTACGGTGTTTCGCATTAGCTTGGCAACCCGACGCCTTCGTCCCTGCCGTTGGTGAATGTCGCTGTCTTTGCCAGCGCCGCTACCAATTCCACATACCAATACTACCCTTTAGAAGACAGATGCGAAAGACGTGGCCCTCTTTTCCTCCCGACCTCTCGTACGCAGGCAAAAGGAAAATGTCCATTTTCTTTTAATTTTCAAGGAGAAAACTCGCGTCCATTCGCCAATTTCAAAAAACGAGAAGATTGGCTCAACAACTCAATTGTGTGAACTTCTCGCCGTTTATCTATGCAACTATATGTAAAGCCCAGCCCCAGAGTGAGCTTTAAAAAAGTAAAGTAGAAAGACAAGCTTATGTTTTGGCACGCACAAAAAGTTTCTCAAGCCAAATTCAAAGCAAATGCACAAAACTGCACGGCCGATTTGACAAAGAAAAAAAAAAAGAAAACAGAAGTAAGGCAAAATCACAGATCTGAAGGAACAGAAAATCGCAACGGGGAAGGGCAGATAAAAAGAATGACGATGCACTAGACTACTTCTTTCCCTTTTGTTTCTATTTTTAGATTACAGATATACCCAAGATTAAAAACAAAAAATGCACTACCACTAATTGATGAATTACAAGATTACAGAGGTAAAAAAAGAGAGAGGCAGGGAGAGAAAAACAATAAGAAAGAGACTGTACACAATAATGATGCCAGGGGAAGCAGCACCACCCCCTCCTCCCGCTTTATCAGGGGGCCGCCGAACCGAGCTGTGAAGTTATCTTGGGAGCTACCGGGAAACACGAGTTGTTGTCAGGTTAGTTATTCGCGGTGCCGTCTTTCTCTTCCCCTGAATGCAGAAATTGAGGAGGTCACCGATCCCACATTGCCTGAAACACCATGGGCCTGTTCTTCAGCCAATGCACCATCTCTCGGTCCATCGTACTGTTGTTCAATACCGCGTCGAGCATTGGGCTCCCAAACACTTTGGGAGAGCTGCTAAATGACCATATCCGGTCCTTCGGCCACGGTCTCTGGGGCTGTTTCTCCTGGAGAGACAAAGTGAGCTGTTAAAGGACACAGAAGACTGTTGGAACTTCTAATGGTATTCTCAAACTTAAATAATCGCCAGACTCCTTTTAGATTAAAGGTCATGGGTTTCACTTCGTTTTCAAACCATTCAACAGCTACTGCTCCTCGCAGAAATATTCATAACTTCCACACCAGATTACCTTATCCCAAAATACAACACAGCTTTGTCTATCTAACAAATTTAGTTTTCTGATCGCGCCCCAAATCATAGTGTTAAGGAGTTCGAAATCCTTGAGCATGTTAAAGTGAGTGATTTTCTCCCTGAACCAAACAAAATTATGATCCTAAGCAACAGTTCAACATGCTTTTTAAGAAAAGGTTTTCTCGTCCGTGTTGCACCACACGAGACATCCTTGCAGGGCAATTTCAAAATGAAAGAATATTCCAGAAAATAGAAAAAGGGAACTGGCCAGCCAACGAATTAAGAAAAACCAAAGGGGGTAAGAACAGGTTGAATGAGAGGGTTATCTACCGATATGAACACTTTGGGATCTTAAAATTTCATGTGGGTGCAATACCTGCCTCAGTAGAATATTTAAAATCACATGAGGTGTTCGTGCTGTTTTTAATATAAATAAAAAGGAGAAAAACAGCAATAGACTTACCATTCGTCCCAGCATAAATCTCATCGTCTTTGGGCCGTAAACACGCTGTCGTGACGGCTTCTGGACCTTGGCATAAAATGAACCAATATCAGGTAACGACAGGCATCCCCTACTTGCTCTAAAAAGGCTACCATCTGGCTCGGTGTTTGTCTGGATCTGCCAAAAAATAAGTTGTCCTAAACAGTAATTCTCTCCATATGTCTTGCGATACTCATGAGAACCTGGGCCCAACTTATCACTGAATTTTGGGCCCAAATCAAGCGGAGAAATGTAAACTGGTGGGGACGTCACAGATTTATATCCCTGCGTGAGAATGCAAGAAAGATTTTAGAAGCCAAACAATGAATATAACTTATGTCAATAAAAGTAACCCTCTAATTGAACACCCTTTCGAGGTCTGCCAAGAACAAAACTACCAACTTTAGCTCTTTTGGTAGTGCACTCAATAAAATACAAACCGACACATCACATAAATATTTCACCCAATCATTTCTAGAATTTGGAGAGTAGTGGTAAAAGTTTCTAATATAGATCATGCTAGCCATTTTAAACCATTAAAGCAGAACTTCGAATTGATTGATAGCTATCTCCTTTTAGTGAGGGGGCTTCAGAACAATTCCCTGATAACACTTCCAAACAATTAGATAGCTTCGGCATCTTACTGTAATAAATCTTACCTGTATTTTAAAGAAGCACTTTGTGTAAGCGTAGACATGGATCAAGTCAGCGGCAGCGTCATGCCGGCATTTGTAAGTACATGGAAGATCGCGGATCTCATCCCTCAACCTTGCATATTAAAGACAAACCATAAGACCAAAAACATCCACAACATCATTGACAGAAAGCAGAACATATAATAGCATTTCAAACATAAATGCTTTTGTTGCTCACCACAATAAGGATTGTTTTAGCTCTTTCTGGATGTCATCTGAACGAGAAGGATCATGATCACGAATCTTTGACTTGAGATCATTTAGCACATTATCATCCACGTGAGGAGCCATGCACTGAAGAAGTTCCTCCACCAGCGATCCTTCTCCTTTCCAGAGGAAGGAAACTACTTCTTTAGGACTGAGCCTTACCAGCGGAGGTGGAGCCTTGTTTGGGTCTCCAAAAATACATCTCATTACATACCGCACCTGCATCATTCAGGGGAATATCAACAACTGAAAAGCCATATAAGCTTAAGCAGAGTCGCAGAGATCATCGCAGAGGAGCCAGAAAAAAGATAAACTTAAAAGCAAACCGAAAAGATTAAAGTGACCTTGTCTAGAGTAACAGCCAAATTTTGAAGCCTCTGATTATAGACACCCTCAGCCTGCGACATGGTTCAATACAAATAAAATTGATAAGCATGCTAAGAAAAGATTTTGCCACTACTGAAGATGAGATTGTGGCATCAGCTCCCACCCACCCAAGAGGTAGGAAGGGTGTTGGTGGGGAAAACTGGACAAGACAGCAAGAGGAACAGTCAGCCCCAGCCACAGGGAACCTAAAATTGAATAAATTGATTCACCTGAACTTCGGCATCACTCTTCTCTACTTCAAGGCAAATATCCAGAAAATATTTCCTCTTCTCCTCCAAATTATGCTTAAGAATCTCCTCAGGAAGTTTTGTTCTTTCAGAATTTATAAACCTCACCTGCCCCAAAAGCAATATGTTCAAGAGAAATAAGCCACAGAGAATATAACCAAAGAAGTCGACAATGATGAGAGAGCAATAGATGCAAACCAAGCGAGCAGAATAAGCAATTAGCCAAGCCGGCAGCCCGCCTAGCAAGCAACTGCCCAAACCCGCCCTTCCCAAGTCGTAGTAATCTTCTTCAGACACCGAGTTCTCCTCACAAGACTCTATCATTAACTGATGTCTATCCAAAATCCCATGCCATTCCTCCAATACCTGATAACAGTTCCTCAAGTTAACAGATAATAAATTTGTTCGGCCGAAAATATCTGATATTAAACCAAACAGCGGGAGTGAATATACTAACGAAAGTTCACACACACACACACAATAATGAAAGTGAGCCCTTGTCCAAAACAAATTACTGATCCAAGAAACCCAGAAAGTAGGCAAATCCTCTTCATTTATTTTCTTTCTTTTAGCCTCTGAAGTTAAGTCCACATATATCAAGGATTAAGCCAAGGTGGCATAGGGCAGAAAAAGAAAATATGGCCATGCATTTCTACCTTTTGAAAAGCTCCCTCTCCAGTCAAATTGAGATAGCTCCCACGACAGACTTGGCTACCACACAAACAAACAGAGGCTTCGTACTCCTCTTTACTCTGCAAGAATTAAAAGGCCATGATCATCGAACAACAAAGACGCCATATGACAATAAAGTGAGTCAACAGAAACAATCCACATACCTCTGTGACCGAATTGTAGTCAAATGTAATCTCCTCGCCATATTGGATTTTGCGTACAGAATATATTCCAATTTGATACTGTCCATCGACTGCAGTGACCCTGTATTAAATATAGTGAAAGTAATACATAAATCAATCACCAAGATATCTTGCCAAAGCAAATTAGAACCATCTATCATAGGGATAAAAGCATTATAATATCACTGGCCAACTATATCTGCATGTCAAACATATAGCAGAAGAAAAGAAGAGAATAGGTCGTGGCATCATTGAGAATTCAGCAAAGAACAAGTTTAATGATTGTATAGGAAAAACAGCAACAGTTTTATTTGCAACATCAAGTTGCCAAAAGTCACACAGATTAAGATTCTAATACTTTTACGGAAAGAATGGGCTTCCTGGATAAGCCCAAAACCCATTAAAGGACATAACTTTTTGGATAGTTAAACTTTTAAAGGTAGCTTAATGCCTGAATTCATAACTTCGAGAAATTACACTAAAGTTATGGAGCTGTCACTTACTTTGCTTCACAATTAGGACGACAAGAGTGACAGATTCGGCTTGCATAGTTTGCCTTATGCATGGCATCAACAACAACTAAATCATAACCATCAGCGTCACCCTGGCAAAGGCATAAATTAACAAGCAACAAATCGTCAAAATAAGGAAAGATTTTGATTCGAATGAAAAGGTCTTGACAGAAGATTAATAAGTAAATAATATTTTGATACCTTTGGCCTCTCAAGATAAATATTATAGAACTCTGGAGCAGGATCCTTATTGTTCTTTTGCAATGATCGAATACCATCTTGCTTCTCAAACCATTTCCAGGTAGGATAGACCTGCAACAGCATATTCAGGGGGTCAGCTGTCTTCAGCATATTTTAATCTCTTAATATAGGGACAAAAAAGGTGAGAGGCTCATTTCTATTAAAATGGATTTACAAGAACTGCACCAACACAAGTTAACCAGAAGATGAAGAAAAGCTTGCAGCAAAGTGAAAAATATGAAAACAAAGACAGCCATAAAAGATTCATAGTGCGCCTCAAAGTCAGAACTCATCTTCAAAGAGCCGCTGAATTAATAATCAAAAACAGAATATGCAAACATATACAAAAAAAAAAAAAATGCTTTCCCCAGATTGTACACGAACATTAGAAGACTGACAGTCGATAATGGTCAAACAAAGCAAAAATGGAGAGAGATTAAAATATATATTTATATAGATAAATAGATAGATAAGTGCATAGAGTAGAGCTTCGTGCTTGTGCCACATCAGCACAGTACCCCCCCCCCCCCCCCCAATTATTCTCATTAACTACAAAAGAACCAGAAAATGCTTAATTACCCCACTAATGGTAGGATTAACATAATTCAACATTAATTTGTATAATTTAATAATTAGATTTACTTTGATGCTTGATAGTTTTATCAAGTAGATTGGTTTGCTGGATATTTCACTCTTAATTATTCATCTTATAATATGATTGAGAAATCTAAACTCCTCCAAGGAAATGCCATAAGAATGAATTCTTTCTTCCTTCTAGCTATTTAGAAATATAAAATCTCAAAATAAAGTTTTAAATAACAATATTCTTAAAACTGTGTATTGCACGGGACTTCTACTTGTTCCATGGCTAAAATACCATACCCAACAAACCTAATAATATTGAGTAATGATAAACTTCAATTATACCTCTCCCAAGAACTCCACCACAAAATCATCTTCACCAAATCCTTCTTCTTTGTTGCAGACAACGCCAAGCCCCTAGTCAGTTCATATCACAGGATTAAACTCGCGGCAAAAATATTTAACAAATTGGTATCAAGCTCATGAAAAAGCGTGCAAGCAAATACCTTTCTGTAAGCGACGTATTTGTCTTCTGGACGGCTATCAATGGCCCTCAAGATAGACCTACAAATTCTCACAGTCCGCATATCGTGATCATCCTCAGCCGTCCTTTCAATTTCTTCAATAACAGGCTGTAAAGGATAAATCATTGGAGTGTTTCCGGTGCCTGTAAAGTGCCTGATTTGTTTGTTCAGACTACGAAGAAGTACATCTTCAATGAATAAATGCTTGTCTAAGAGAGTCCAATCCAATTCCTCTGGCATTGAATCAAGTAAAAGATTATGCGTATAGGGGTCAATTCCATACACTTCTTGCTCTATCACTTCATCCCCTAGCTGCTTTCTCGGTTTGTAGTCTTTGACTTCTGGAAGTTCCATATCCACCTCCTCAGCTCCATTCTTCTGAGCAGTGAGTTTTTCAGCATAGTCCTCTGGTAAAGATACCTGCATCTTACGCCTCACATCATCCTCATCAGCTACTATGACATACTGATCAATAACTTCATATTTTCTCGTAACAGGAGGAACAAGGCTTGCTTTTGTCATGCGGGCACCCCACTCACGGTCGTCATCGATACTCTCATCCGCCATGAAATTGCCATCTTCTCTTGAGCTTGAGAGCACAGATCGATCTTGCCGCAATCCCAAGTCACTTTCTGTGTCAGAAACAGTAGTCTCACTTTCAGACTTGCTACTTTGAGAAGATCCGCCAAAGTCATCAGATGTGTCACTATCTGAATCCATTGATTTTTTATTCAATATGGATAAACGCCTTCTAATTTCCAGATCAGAAGCATACTCCCCATCATTTAAAGCACCATTCACAAAGGAGGAACCATTGCTCCTACTTGCATATTTTCTCTCACTATCAGCTCTGCTTACTTTCCGTCTATACTTCGATGAAGCAGAGAACCCTTCCGATGAGTCATCTCTCTCTCCCAAATGAGTGGCGAGTTGGATAAATAATGATATGACATGGTTCATATCCCCTGTCTCACCACGAGTCTTTGCTCTGCATCAAAAAGTTACCGTAAGACTTAAAATGGAAGATAGACTAGCTATTGATATGGTTGATTGACATACAAACCAAAACCAGAAACAACAAACAGCAAGGGGTGTTAGAGACGATAAAAGTCTGTCTAAGGATTCATTTTCAACATAAATGAATGAAATGTATTCTTCCTTTACATATAAAGAGATCGATGGGACATAGACACCAAGACACAAAAACATATCGGTGCAGACTAGTGCCACTTACGAAAAAAAATGCAATCACTGGTTACTCATTCAAATGAACCATTACATAATATCAGGCAAAGAGTCAACAGCTTAATTAGAAGAATGAGTTAAGGCTGCATTTGGTCGTCTGGATTTTTAACCAGGATAGGACTTCAATTTCATATTCTATCTGCTATTTGGTGAATCGCAGTAATAAAGCCAAATATTTTCACATCTTACCATGTCCATTATTTTCTATGAACGTCATATCAGTGTAAATGAACCTACAAACTACACAAATGGAGATGATAAAAATCTGTCACAACACTCTTACCTACTTCATTTTTATTTGCTTATTTTTTTATTATTTTTCCCTCTCTTTTTAATTCTTTTCGTTTTTATTTCTTTTTTCTCCTTCCATCATTCTCTAATAACATTTTATTAAATAGTAAACTATACTAATATACCTAAAATATGTAATAAATATAAATGCTAAATGCATTTATTTATACATATGAAATTACAATATAGAAAGAAATTTGATATATAAATAAAAATAAGAATCAATATAAACGAAATTATTGTTATTTTTTTGTTATTTAGAATTTTTATATTAAAATTCAAATATTATTTTTATTCAAACATTATTTTAATTTTATTAATTTAACAAGTTTGTTATTCGAGAAAAGTAACTTTTATATCATGCATATTAAAAATCCGATCCACCTTTATCCCACCTCCCCCATGGGATAATTTTATCCGGGTTATATCTCTCCTATATCCGACTTTATCCTGTTTTGAGCAGGCACCAAACACGGGATAGGATATCCTGAATTTTATCCCAACTACCAAACGTAGCCTTAGGTTTCTGCCATATAATACAAACAATCTGTAGTTTGGACATTAAATTGCATACCATTATAAGGTGGTTCTAACTATGGCTCTGTCAGTGAATAGAAGACAAATATTAGGAACATGTAACAAAAAGTGAACAATGGAGCTTACTTTATGGCATCCCGACATATTCGACGAATATCCTCCTTGATAGAACTAATCCCATTGCGAATATAATAACCATTCTTCATTTTCTCTTCAATTTTAGCAACCTGAACCCGGAGAAGAAAAGTAAGAAGCAATAGATTAGAGCTCTAATGGCCTACATGTCAAACATTTGAAAACAAAAAATTCCAGTAAAACCTTGGGCATAAAGAAATCAAAAGTGTTTTGCTTCATGATGTCCTTCAGACTAGAAGCAAGAAACTCCTCTATCCTCTTGTACCCCTTTTCAGATTTCTTAACAGCCCATCGCCTCACACGTGCATCCCTTGATAGAATGGAGGAGGATTTTCTCGCATCGAATAATTTGGAACGCTTATAGAACCCTCGGCGGAAAGAATGACCAGCTGAATCTCTCCTATCCACACTATCAAAATAATCTTTCAAATCACTAAAATCATCGACGTCACCACCTGTACCCTTTGCTCCAGAGTATGCTGAGTTTCTGTCTGTTAACTGGTTTAGACTCCTCATTTTGAAGTGCGTATCCCCAAATTTCTTTCGGCTCTTCACCCAATTTATGTTGGAATATGTTAGGGTCAAGTCCTCAAGCTGACTGCAACCTCTGATATCTATGTCAGATAAACAAGGACACAAACGCAAAATATCTTCGAGCATGCCTGGAGTTATATTGGTGCATCCAGTCAATATCAGTGACTTTATCTTTTCTCTGTCATAAACATTCTGCAGGCAATAACAGAAAATTAACTTCCCAATTAGGAGATACTGGTACATTCCAAAAGAGAATCTTGAATTACCTACCATGACTGTCCAGATTATTGAGTCAGTACAGCTATGACCCAGCGATGACAAATTAACCTGTCGGGAGATATCCCTGTAAAACCTTACTGCAGCCCTCCACTGCTTACAAGTAGAAGAAGCAATGGCAAGGGATGTCATGTCCGACCTAAGAAAATGGAAAACTCGAGCAAGCACATGACCATCCAATAAACCCCAAGAGCCCAACCCATTTTCTAAAGAAACAATTTCTTCCCGATTGAAAGCATTGCCATTACATAGATCCTCAAATGAGATGTCATCCCTCTGAATTCTCTCAGCGACTTCTTCATTGTCACTCTCTTCTTCGGTTTCGTCATTCAAACGACGTGCTCGTTTGCCAGCATGGTAGTCAGCATCTACAATTTGGTCACAGTATCAATCGCTTAGAAGTAACCATGAGGTGCAGAAGAATTTAGCCAATCGAGTAACAAAAGATAAGCAAAAAGGAATCATGCGTAGTATAGGAGGCGTGAAAATGTCCTCCAATTAAAGATTAAAAGAAAAGTAACGCGTCATATTCAACATAAAAAGTCCTCTCTAACTAACTATAAAAGGTAAAAAATCGAAAGTTAAAGTGTCAGCCTAGATCCCAGCATGTATTTCCCAATCCTCAAATAAAGCAGAAAATTAAGAGTTATGACTATGCGCAAACCTGATCTTCGATAAATCTGCTTGTCAATCTCTTTCTTTGGCTGTTTGGCACTGATCCATGGATCTAATACCTCATTAATCACGGCAGCAAACTCCCTACTTTTATAAGATCTCATCACTAGTTCATGTAGCTTTCCCCTCATATAACCAATAAATTGTGGGTGCATACTGTGGAACGAAGAGGCAGCCTTACTGCTTTCAATCATACCATCTTTCAATTGTGGAAAAGCAGGTCCAGAAGAACCACCATAAGAACTCTTCTCCTGTTGTATATTAACAGAAGTTTCCGAAGTCTCACCAGCCGATGTCACCGGAACCCAGAGTTTATCAAATTTCCTGAAAACACTGGTATATTTCTGAATGGTACCTCCATCAACTAGCTCCTGAAGCTCTGAATATGAAGAAGGCCCATGTTCTTGTCCAGCTCCATCAAAATAGTACCAATCACCTAAATGCAATTGCAGGTCATGGACAATGCATACTCGGTCCTTTGGAGTGTTTATGGTCACAATGCTCTTCCTCGAGCCCCGCACGCTGTGTTCATCAATAGATCTTGACCGGGAATCAGTTTCTACAGAGGATCTCTTGGCATCAGAACTTGAAGAATGTGACCGAGCAGACCTCGAAGAGTACCTCTCCTTTGCCCGGGCTTTCATTCGAGGTTCAGAAACAAAAGAACCCTGATCTCTCACAACACATGCATTTATCCTGACCACAGATAACATTGTACCTTTGACACCACGCATGATAGCAGGCTTAACTTGCAATCTGCTAGCCGGGTCATTCTCGCTCCTCTCATCTGGCCAACTAAATGCCCATGGAGGCAAGTCAAGCCTTCTGGCCAGCAAAGGATGATATAGTTCATCTTTCTGATGCCACCTAGGATCCTCATTACCAGACTTTGGCATTTGGCATAGGGGAAAACCATCATTCACTACAATTTTCTTTCTCAAAATTCTATCTTGCGCAGCTTCCTCATTCCTTCTCCAATCTCCACCTTTGCATGACCAGAGGCCGGAAAACCAATCGCTAGAGTCACCATGGACAAATGAGAAATCTTTGTCCGAGACTGAACTTTCCCTTAAGTCAGCTGATGCAACATCAGAACATCTTGATGCATCATCTGCCACCCTATTTGGTCTTTCTCCAATGCAAGCTCGATGCCAGAAAAAATCTAACAAATACAGGATAGCAGTGGTCATAAGTGCTGACACATAACTTACTCAACGTGTTGCAAAGAGGAATTACATGCAGAAGCAGATATTGATGAAATTTTACACATGCAAAAGCAAAAAGAAATTAAATAAAAACACCAGTGCCCTGTTCCTGAAATCCACATGTTTCAATAAATGAAGTCACTTTCCAGAGCAGCAAAAGAAGTAACAAGGAATTATAAAAGGTAAGTACTGTCAAGATCTCTCTATCGGGTCCACTGTGGGTTATACTCCCATATCTAGCACGGGAACCACATGGAAATAAGAGTGTAGGACAGTTCATCACGAAGCATCTAGCTATATAAGACATTTAATCAATTAAAGCTAGGACCTAAAGGAAGGCAACCAAAATTTTACAAAGTAAAAATTTCTCCGTCTATGGAACAAACACGACGTGCAATTCCAATCAAGATTTATGAGGACAAATTTTAAAATGAACATCAAATGGCAAACAGTTATCGGAAAATCAAAATTTGAACATCTTGGAACAAACAAGAAATGTCATGTAAATATCCATTCCGAAACTAAGCCCTTAAATCATGTATTTTCATAAAGGAAGATAGGTCAAATCTTACTCATCATGCCGCAACTCGGAACTATTAAAAAGGAAATGCAGAGAAAATAATGAAATTTACAGATTTCCTTTCTAATTTATTCCATCTTTTCATTCCCTACATCAGCATTAACTATATGACATCCAAATTGCAAGCTGTTTTGCCTTTTCCCAACAGGCCATGTGTTTCCAACTAACTAGCCTGGTTCAAAAGATCAACAAGCATCACAGAATTCAACATATCATCAAGGTATAAACTCTGATCATGAAAGACATCAGGAACAACACCAAATAGAACTTTCGACAGAGGAGCATACTCGCAATCCACATAATTTTAATAGAAATTAGAATGAGCACTGTCAGTATGTGGATTGCAACTCCTTAAATTCAAATTAATTAAAGGAGAAGAAATAAATTAGTATATGCATGAACAACCAAAACATATGCAATTAATGCCAGAATATCATACCTTCAGGGCTAGAACATTCCTCCCATTGTTGATGCTCAAATGTCATCTGCAAGGCTTCTGTGAAAGAATAACGTTAGACTACCCAAAAAAAAAAATTCTAGATCCAAAGAATTAAATGCAAAATCCTTACATTCAACCATGTAATTCTAGAATTGATGTTTATAAGAATACCTCCAATAGTTTCAAGTTCCCTCCCTGGAATAAAAGTGAAACCGTCAAGCAGAAGTCCAACTCTTTTGTCAATGCAAAGATCTTCCAGAGGCTCAGTTGCAACAGGCAACTGCATTTCTTCAACAGTCAGACTACCAGATTGACCACCATCGATAGTATCGTCCAACAGGTTACCAGGAGCTTCTGGAGGATCTACCAGCTGCGTTATACTTTCTGATACTATAGATGGAAAAGCCACAGTTACCAAAGGGGAAGCTGCATTTTCAACAGTCATCCACCTGTCGCTATCCATGTGTTTAATAAAGTGATCCGAATGAAGAACACCATCTTGAACAAGTGACTTGAGATCGCAGAGTTTCGAAGGGCCACGTTCAAAACCCAGATAATCAAGGTAAATCCACTTCCCCACTGCTGAGTCGGCCACCAGAGGCACATGAGGTGGTGTATCACATATATCCATATCCTCTTCCATGGAGAGCAGCTCTTCTGGAGGAACCCCATTGACATTTGGAGATTCCTTGCAGTCAACACTTGGACTCTGAGTCTGGTCCTCCTTGTGAGATTGAATGCTACCACTTCTCTCCTCGTGAGATGATGTATCTGTATTGGGCATACTGATTCTGACATCAGATTCCTTGATGGAATTATCGGCCCCCATTCCAGTAGAATTCCGTTCATTTGGCTTCTCTTCTTCCCCTTTGTTTCCCGGCTGAATATTAGGCTTTTCCTTTCCACTCTTATGGCTCGTTTCGCGATTATTATTGGGCCTACCTCGATCAACCTGGGACCGCTCGTTATTATTTAGGTGTGTCTCCCTGCGGTCCCGATTCCTACCTCGATCTTGCGGAGACCGCTCTGCATAAGGACTTCTGTTGCGGCGATCAAAGTGATGGCTGCGCTCATATGGGGATTTGTCACGACCATAGGGAGACCTTTCACGGGCATACGGCGTTCTTTCACGACCGCAAGGAGACTTCTCACGGCTGTATGGGGCATTATCACGAGCATATGGAGATCTTTGGCGGCCATAAGGAGATTTATCACGATTCGATAAAATTCTTCCCTGATAACGCGGAGATCTCTCACGGTTATATGGTGATCTCTCGTGATGAACTGGACTCCGTTCCCTGTGATCATGATACCGAGTTCGACCACGCGGGGACCTATCAGCCTGGACTGGACTGCGGCCATGTCTGTCGTAAGCTCCTCTCGAAGATAAAGAAAATTCATGATGTTTGGAAATATGCTTGTCAAATGAAGACAGCCTAATAGAAGAAGAATTTCTATGAGGCCTTTCCGGAGAGTGGCGAGAATAGTGTTCTGGCTGCGCAGGACGAACACCGTCATCAGAAAGCCTCCGGCTTTTCGAGCCTGCATGATCAGCATAATTGGCATAGTTCTTGCGATCGCGATCACTGCTATCCGAATCCGCATCATGTCCATGGCGCTTCAGCCGACTGCCGGGAAAGTAGTCTCTTCCCTGGTTCTTACCGTTGTGATAGTCAACCCTGTGCGAACCGCTTTCATCCACAACTTTCGACCCCAGTTTCACCATTTTCTCCTGGCCAACCTCCCACTTGAAAGAATTCTTGCTCTGCTGACATACGCTTCTGCTGAATTCTTTCTTACGATAATTATCGTCACCGGAGTACTTCGCTGAACTCCCCGAATGCGAAGGTGGTGTCTGGTCGAGGTCACGCCTCCAAACCTTGTGATTCAAAGCCTCATACCTGCGTGATCTACCGTAGCTGTAATCATCCTTGGTCGCTTCGCCTTTACGCCATCTGTCAGGAATGAATTCTCCTTTCTCGACATCGTCAATGGAGCCTCTCCAGGGCCTGAATTCGCCTTTCTCGGCTTCACCTCTCCTGCTCTTTTCCAAAACTATCTCCTCCTTCTCCACCTCCGTCTTTCTCGGTCTACCAGAAACGTATTCCCCATGCTCCAGTTCTCCTTTTCTCGACTTCTCGGCAACCGCCTCTTCCTTGTCAGCCTCGGTTTTACGCGGCGGCTGCTGCTGCTGCTGCTTCTTCTCCGACGCCACCTCCCCATTCTCCACTTCCTTAGCTGGCCACTTCAGAGTGCCCAATTCACCCTCTTCCACGTCATCATTCTGCGCCTTATCCGCAGAGGCCTCGCCATTCTCGACTTGCTGGCCGCCCTTATCCTTCCTCGCCAACGCCACCTCACTCTTCAAAGTCCTCACCTTCCTCACGGTGACCACCTTCTTGACCTTCTTCATCTTCTTCTTGGGCTGGGAACCTTCCAATTTGAGCGGCTTGGTGCCGAACCCATTGCCTCCGCAGAGCGCTTTCTCCGGTGCTGAAAGCCTGTCCATGATGCTGTGCCGATGCTGCAAAGGCATGCATGCGACTCCTCCATCACCCATGGAAATCCCGCCCCCTCCCGGAATCGGAAACCCTAGCTCTCCCCTCCCCCGGGGCTGTCGATGCTCATGCTTCAACAATTCGCCTTCTCCTATCTCGCTCCGGTTCCAGCCCTCGGCGTCCGAGCCCTAAATTCCACGAACAGAGAGAATTAGAAATGCCGCGCCTCCGCCGGAGACGACCGCAACAGCCGGCGCCCCACCCCCGCCGCGGGGGAACGCATCAACCCCGCGCTGCCTCGATTCGCGGGAGCCCGGAGCGAGCCACGGAATCGAAGCACGCGGCGGAGCCGGAAACCGAACGGCGAAACGAACCGGAGGGACGCGAAACTGACCTAGAAATCGAGGAGGCCGGGGCGCGCGCTAGATCGGGCAGAGCGGCCGAGGGGAGCAGCGGCAGCAGCAGCAGCAGAAGAGAGCGAGAGAGAGAGAGAGAGAGAGAGGGAGCCGGGCCTCGGCGGAGACTCTGGCGCGCGCGGAGGGGCGGCGGGGGATCGGGCGGAGGCTCGGCGGGGGAACAAGGCGTCGCCGCCGCGAGGGGGAAAATCTCCGGTGCGCTGTGTTCTTTTTTTTTTTTTCCCCCTTCTCCTCTTCTTCTTCCGCTGTGTGTGTCTCTCTCTTTCTGTTGGTTGCGCTTTGGTATATATATCCTCGTGCTTTTCCCTCTCCGTTGTGTTGTTCTCTCTCGGGCCTGAAAGACGAGCGCTCGCGTTTTTGCCCCCTCTTTTCTTTTCTCTTTTCTTTTTTTTTCCCCCCCTTTAATTAAACCGAAAATCTTTTCTTTCTTTTTTTTTTTTTCCTCTTTTTTCCAGCGACGTCGTTCCGAAGGAGAGTGAAGTTACCGGGATGCCCCCCGTGCCGGACGTGCCCGGATGCCCTTGTGCCGGACACACCGCCCCGCTCGAAGCTCGGGTCGTCGAGCCGGGTCGACGCCGGCGGTCGTGGACTGGTTTCTCCCGTTAGGAGAGGCCGGCGAGGGCGGACGACGTGAGATCTCGCCGGATCCGGCGACCAAATCCGTCTCATGCCGATGATTTTTTTATAAGATGAATGTTTGTGCTGGGCGGCACTTAAATGACGAGAAAATCAGAGTGAGATCGCCCGGAGCAAGAGCGCCCCGGTGTAAAGTGGGAATCTGTCTCGAGTCGTCATCCTCAGAAGGAAGGCAATCGTCACGCCGAAAGGCGATAACAGTCGTCGGAATGGATCGGACTCTCTGATAAGCGGTGATAGACAGAGAGAGCATAGAGTTTTGTACAACTTTCGGGAAGCAGGACGACGGAGACAAGGGCACCGACAACCTAGCTTGCAAGACCTCTCGAATTGTTGAAAAAATATAATTATACCGACGAATGGGTTTGAACGAATGGGTGACCAGATCGGCGACGTATATATAGTGAAAGAACACAACGGCTAAATGTAACCCGATAAAGCGAGTTAAGTTGGACATGGGCTTTCTTAACGAGCCCAATCCACTCCGCCTTCTTAAACTAGGGCAAAAGGAAAATTAAATGGGCAAAGAGTCATTACCTAAATCGCAATCATGCCAATACAGGAAGAAGAAAAAAAGGGAAAGAAAAATCAAAGCACAGTTTTCTCTCCATAAGAACTTGCTGTACTTGCCCTTTTTATTGACGAGCTTGAGCCAAATGAAAAAGGGAAAACGGGAAGCCTTTGGAAAGTACTTGTTCCACGAAAGGAATCACGAATGGGACGTAGTAAGATTCTATCATTTCCAAGCTATCCATCCATACCATATTCGGCTCGAATTTCCAATCTCGCCGTGGTGTTTAAGAACGCGGCGTTTGTGGACGGTGGCCGTGGCTTTTTCGGGATATGTTTGGGAGACCAAGGAGAGATTTGGTAATTCGATATGGTGTTGGCACTCGATTTGAGGATCGAAGCTATATCCGGCTCACAAGATGTAAAATATTTAAATTGGGTATTGCCGAGTTACAGGATAAGAAAAAGATACAAACTAACAGAAATGTTGGAGCGTATGGGCACCGATTCGATAAAATAAGGAATGCATGAATGCAACACACCCACAGGTTACTGGGTCAGCGGCTCAAGCCCCCATTGGCTACGAACTTATGGGTAATCTCTAACCTTGCCCATAAGTGAGCTTCCCCTGATTGGAGATCCTACCATATTTGAGCCCAAATTTCCAATCTCATCATGTTAAGAACGTAGCGTTTGTTGATGGTGCCCGTGGCTTTTTTGGAATATGTTTGGGAGAGCAGGGAGAGATTTGGTAATTCCATTTGGTTTTCGCACTCGATTTGAGCTCAAGTTACTTAAATATATTTTAGGAAGTGCTTTCGTTCTCCTAGGTAATCCCTTAAGCCCAGATCGAAACTATTTAAAATTAAAATACTGCAAACTTTGTTACACTCCTGTATTGTAGGAAGCCCAATATCGACGTGGCCATGATTGGCGTTGCATGTTCAAAGAGGAAAGGAAATAGAGAAGGAGCTTACATAATTTGGGCAAATACAATCGGACTCAATTAGGAATAATTTCCAAGTAGCTCATTAGCGTGCCCAATCGGAGGCACGTTTAGCTGCTCGCTGTTGCTGCTACTCTTATCGAGACGGGTTGGATGAGGATCGACCTGAGGTTGTCTTTCGTCTCACGATCCGGAATCCCGTGGCCGTCCCCGTACTGATAGAACAGCTGCGACGCCCGCGCGAGGTTCAGGCACGCGCCGAGGAAACGCCTCGACCCCGACCCCGAGCACGGGTTGTGGCCGAGGGCATCCTCGTTCATCTGTTTCCAAGCTTCTCGCACCAATCTCTTCAGGTGATGTCGGGTTGCCTCTTCAGAAGCTCCGGTTTCATTCATATAGCACTGCAGCGACTTGAAATTATCTCCCCTCGCCAACTCGGCCTACATAAACACATTTTCCTCCATCATCTAAGTCATCGTAACTCGGACCGTGAAATCGGGCAATCGACATGATAGAGACTTACCGATGAGGTGCTCAGATCGTTCGTGAGCCGAAGAATCAGGGAGGAGCAATACATAACGTTGGGGATGCTGCATAAGTATTCTAGGGTCTCTTTGGACAGCTTGTCTGAAGTGGCGAAGTAGGAGCAGAACAACACAACATGTCCTCCTATTGATGTCACTGAAGCGTTGAGATACTCCTTGAGTGATGGTTTGTAGCCCTCGTGATACCACTTTGCTTCTTCTAACCATGACTTACCTTGATTTACCCACTGGAGAAATTGGAAAAGGAAGAAAAAATCAAGAAAAATCTGTGTGATCCCTAGAAATGTTAGTAAAAGGGAAACTGGTTATTGGAATATTTACTTAAAATAGATTGGTATAAGAGAATGCACTGGTTAATAGGGGCACACATCGGTCTCGGTCTAATCCGGGAACCGGATCGGACCAAACTGAACCGCCCAGTTCTGGGGGGTTCCCAAGGGGACCGGTCCAGTTCCGATTCCCAAAAAATTTGGAATAGGGAATAACTGGTGCCATTCCCAAAATGGACTGGCCAAGATTTCTCGATTTTTTTTATTACGAAGCAAACCCTAATTTGTAAATTACTTTTTTCTTTTAATGTTGAAGAAGAAGAAGAAGGTGGAAACCGATCCCCCCTATTAGATAGTGTGACGTTAACTATTATTGCTTTATTCAAAAGAAACAAAACCAGTCCAGATTTTGCATCCTGGATAATAATTGACAAACAACAACGTGTTAAGATGCAATTACTAATTCAAGAATGATGGCTAACTTAGCGACATACCAATCTGTGTAAGTAGGGAATGATGTTGAAGCCTCTATCTTTCACCGTCCAATAGCCAATTTCATTGGTAGTGTTGTACATGGCAAGGAAACAAGTTCTTATCGTTGGAGGAAGCTTGTCGATTTCCGAGATATCCCATCTGCAACATTTGCATTACGAGCATGACATTACTATCGATTCATTACTAGTTTATACATGAAATCTTGAGAAAATTAAGATAATATCGTGCACAGACCTCTCAATGAATGTCGTCAAGAGCTGGAGTTCTTCCCATGTACCAAAAATGTCATAAACATCGTCCATCAATGTGATCATACACGTGACCTTGGTGCTCATCTCCCTGAAAACTCCGAATTGCGGTTCGTAGACCATTAGAGCATTCCATAAGTAATGTTCCATCAGTCTATCCCGGCAAAAATCCATCTTGTTCAACCCTAAATTCACCCACCACCTGAAAGAGATTGAAGTTCAAATGATAAGAACATATGAGAATTAGAACTATTAAGGTTGTTATTGCATTTTGCTCGAAGGACGGGCTTGATACAATTTGTGTAAAAACCTTAGGCGAAATTTAAAGTTACTTTCTGGAACTGAAGTTCGAAAAGGGTACCAACGAAAGTCACCTGTGTAAATAAAGAGTTGTTCAGATATAAAAGGGTTAATATTGAAAAACCCCAAATTGGTACATCTGTGACAAATTTATCGCAAACTAATTTTTGGGTTATCAAGAACCCCAAACCGGTACCCATGTGACAAATTTACCCCAAACTGATATGGATTTGCATGTGGACATGTCATGTTAATTGAGTTATTGTTACGTGTCATCTAGCTCAGCAATTTCATGGTAAAATTTGCCAGAAGCTAACGGAGAGTAAATATGTTACGAGTATACCACTTTAGAGTTTTTGGTGACCCAAAAATTAATTTGGGATAAATTTATCATAGGTGTACTGGTTTAGGATTTTTGAGAGCTCAAAAATTAGTTCGGGATAAATTTGTCACATATATACAAGTTTGGGATTATTCATGGTAATAATCCTATATAAAAAGTAAAATAATAATAATAATAATAGTTGGAAGGGACCTGTTGGGCTCAGTAGTATGAGGAAGGCCTGCAAAGTCTTCATTTACAAGGCCCATCTATACATTAATTTGTCTGATATTGGGTTTTGTCTTTTTTGGGCTATTCAAATGGGGTAATTACCAGCTAATGGAAATCGGGTCAGTTTGACTTGATTTTTAAGAAGAAAATCGAAGTTGTAGTGGGTCAAAACTGCGACCATCTAAGTGCGTGTGCTACAAGACTAAGAATGCGTTTGGTTTAGCATTTGCAAAATATTATGAAAAAATGCAAAAACAATTTGGTAAGCTATGCTTTGAGAAGCCCTTTAGGTGATTAATTTAAGCTTTTTATTCGAAAGTACCTGGCTAATTTGCTGACTTCGTCTCTATAAACCGACTGCACTATGTTGAAATCAAGCTTAGCCAGATCGAGCAAGACGGGGTTCGAGCGATCGAGCCGATCTTCCTCGTACATGTCCATGAACCATCTGGCCTCCAATCTGTTGGGCCTCCAGTGAACGGGCATGTCCAAAGCGTGATCTATCCTTTTCGACCAGACACCGTCTCCCTTGAGATTTTCCAAACATGCAGACGAGAAAGTCCTGGCTTCATCCATGATGGCTTCGCCTGTGAATCCATAGAAGGATGCTTCATACAGGCTCAGTAAACCCTTGACATCTTCCCTCAGGGATTCTTGGAAACCGCTCGCATCTTCTGTCATGAATCTTTCGAACACGCCTGCGCGTAAGAGCAACATGTTTTTGTGTGTACTCGTCACTAAATGGTGTGTGTATATATATCTTCAAATGATATTTCGCTTATGAATGATGATACCTTGCTCCACGGTGAAGCCGTTTTGGCGGAGAAGCCTAAACCGAAGCGCCGTGGCGTGGAGATCACCGTCGAAAGCCCAAGACCTATTGGTCGTGCCATTTGTAATGGCTCGCAATGCGTTCTTGATCTCCTCCTCGAAGTGGTATCCCAATCCTAGCCGTTGGACCGCGTCGATCTGCTCGAGCTTCTCCACCCGAGGCATTTCGCTGCAAATCAAATCCTTCACGTCTTCCTTCATCTTCGTGACCCTTTCCATGTGTTTCTCCTCCTGCATCGCCCACAAGTTCACCATTTCGTCCTCTCCCCATTATTTCAATAGTCAAAAGAACGTGAAACAATCACATGAAACAGCACTCCATTAGCATTCTAGTAAGTTAGTGTCGTGGTTACCCCATATTCACTTCTGAGTGACTGAACAAAGTTGTAGTCCCAAGCGCTCGGCCGGAAGTTTGCAGTTCGCCTCTTCGAGCCGTCGATTACCAAGTCGCTGATTACACCGCAGGCCGCCATGAGTTGGTGGTGTTGGTGGTGGCTGAAAGGTTATAAGGAGACGAGAGAGAATGTGGAGCGTGAGAAGGAATATGTTGTTGCTGGCTGATGAGCTTGATGTGAAGTTCCAGGTTTCAGCACTTCTATTTAAAGAGATGTTCCATGCGAAGGACCCAACACAGTCGCCCTTATTTCGGATGCATTATTTGTTAGTCCTTCACTAGCTAAAAAATTTAAAATTGGAAAAATGTTTTTCGAAAGATGATTGGTCATATTAGTTAAAAAAATTAGTCAACGGAAGATGTTCTCATCATCGACAATAATTTATACCCAACTATTTTCGTAAGTGATGAAAATATTTTTCATTCATTTATTTTTGTAAGCAATACAAACTATTATTTAATTTTAAATTTTTCATGAAACAAATGCACCCTAAATCAGCTCGTAATAAACTTTCAGAAGACACTTCTTATGAACTTGACCTAAGTATGTCCTTAAAGTGCTTCGTTTAAACTCTGAAACGTTAAATTCGGGGGTATTCCCATGAGAGAGGGAAGAAACACTCTCTCTAATCGCGGGGCTAGACATGCAAGTATCGGTACGTTAAAATGAGGAACACGGTCCTGTCAGCTCGTCGGATGTGTATGCCTGGATAGGCGTGGTGGCCCTAGTTGGAAGCTTTAGCTTCCCCTACTTTGGTGAAGTACCATCAGTAACCACTAACAAGAATACAAAGCAAGCCCCTGGCTACCGCGGGTTAATGACGGCAAGAAATTGCGTGCTTGATGGCAATGATCCGCCTAAATTCAACGCGTTAAGCACATAACTTAATGGCATATCGAAAGTTAAACTAACCGTAATTCTCCTATGGAAAGAGGATATTTTCGAGTTCTGGTAAGTTAGCCAGCATTTTTTGATTCTTTCGAGCGCGCCCATCAGACATGAAACTCCATTCAAAGTCGTAAAGTAAAGCCGCAACAAGATTTGATTGATTCAGTCCACTCGATCTTTTCCTTTTCGGACAACGGTATCGGATATATATATTTTAAATTTTCGTTGAGTTTTGAATTCCCTACATCTATCTAGAAAGCTTGAAACAATTAGTGTGATAAGACTTCCACGGGTGGAGTTCAATGTTCAACCATTCCGCAAGCGACCTAGGTTGACCAACTCTCCACCGCCGCCACCTTTAAACAATTAATGATAAGACTTCCATGGAAATGAATTTCAAAATTCGTGATACGTGCTCGTACAGATAAAAGGTTTGTTAGATACCAGGGAAATACATTGAAAAAGACATAAACTCATTTTATTTGTACTAATTAACTTTGAATATTGCTGCCTTAAACAATTAATGATAAGACTTTGTCGCGAACGACCTCCGATTTTTTAAACATCAAAAAGGGAGTTTCGCCTAGTACGCGTTAAGTCTAAATTCGAGACTTAACTCGACCTCTCTCAAGCCTATATCATATCGCGACTTAGGGTTTAGATTTTTAATCTGCAAGTGATTTTTACCTAGGAGTCACCACTAATCGGTTTGGGGTGGGTCGATTAGACACCCAAGCAAGACAATGGGAGAATTGCTTATTTCTGCGAACTAGAGATTCTGTGAGTTCGGAGACTTTGTTACACTAATTAAGTTACTAGTGCCCTTTCAGTACCTTTCATACTGTTCATTTTAAAAAATGTTTGTCAGGCAATTTGAATTGATTTTAGGAACTGTCTCTTAACATGTGAGGTAATCAAGCGAGTGCACAATCATTAGTGATTAGTAGTTAAGATAGATATGCAGCCTAAGATTTTAATCCTAACTAAGGCAATAACATTTAAAACATGGCAATTGATGAAATTACATTCTAATTAAAAAACAACATGCATAATAATAATAATACAACAGTAGTAAAAATAACATGCAAAACACTATCGTCTAGCTCTATAAGATTATCCGATTTAGACATAATTATTAATCAAATAATTCAGATAATTTAGAAAAATACTAATTTTAAAACTATTTCCTAATTTTAAGAGAAATAATAAAAAACGATTTTTTTAAAATAATAATAATAATAATATAACACGATTTTTAAAAAATTAAAATTTTTATTAAAAATAATAAAATATTAATATAATAAATAAAACCGGGTCGGGTCGGAGTATCCGGGTCGGTTCTGACCGACCCGGTCAATGGATCCGACCCAAAGTCGTTGACCCGGGTTGGATCTCCGGATCTGAACCGGGTCGAGGTCAACCCGGGTCGTTGACCCGAGTCATGACCAACCTGGATCCGACTCGAATCCTGACCAACCCAGATCTGACCCGAATCGTCCCTAGCAACCCGACTCCCCAGTTTTTCTCTTCTTCCGCGGCCTCACAGTGGCACTTGCGGCGTTCCACCTGCCGCGGTCGTACGCCGACGCCCGAGCCACTATCGCCTCATCGCCATGATCCAAACCCAGCGTTGCTCCTCTGCCCGTGTCGCCGCTGGCTCAACTCACCCCAACGCCGAGCCCGACGCCTTCTTCCTCAGCCACGACGCTCTGCCTCCCCTGTTCCACGGTCTCGACGGGGACAACCGGGACGAACGGCGTCGTCCGTCTCGGCCTGGCGGTGCACCCGTTCTGGCGCCGCTTTGGTGGTTCCCCAACCGAAAGCTCGGTTTCAGTCTGGCTAATCACCACCGCAAGCCGGGACTCAGCTCAGCCTGACCCGGTCACTTCAAGCTCCACGCTCGGCTTCAACGTGGCCTCTTCTCGACACGCAGACACACAAAACGCTATCAACAGGCCCCAACCGTGTGTGACGATGCCCGGACCACTCAACGCCGGCCAAAACAGATGACCAAAAAAACCGGATCTCATCTAGGCGTTTTGTCGAACACTTGGTGGGCGCTGGAAAAACCAATGACTTTTGGCTCAAAGGAGGCTCAAACACGAGCGGGGGCTCTCAACACGCGAACAACGACACTTCCAATAGATAAACGAAGGATGGAGTGGGGGCGGAGCTCGGGCGAGATGGACGGCCGCGAGCCCCAATCCGGCATGCCCGAAACAGAGCAAATTTGGAACCAGAAGAGGCAAAACAGGGGTGGTGGGCGGAGGTCGGGCGAGGCTTGCCGCAGTTGAGATGTGGTGGTCGCCGGCAAGGGCCTTCCTCCTCTGGTTCTCTCTCTGCTCAGCTCTCTCTGTATCTCTCACTCCGCTCTCAGTCTCTTTCCTAAACCGACCCCCCGTTCTCCTCTCTCTTCACCGGCCTTTATAGGGGCCGCCGGCCATCTGGCCCGCCCCGGAAGTCGTCGCCTTAATGGTCCCCCAACTGCTCTCTGCTCCATTGACTTCGGTGGCCAGACTTGCGCGGTGGAGCGGCTTCTCCGCGTTTGTCCCAGGTGGCTGATTATAGCGACAAGGGAAGGAAGGAGGAGAGAGGGAGAGAAGCCGGCTGTGGGGGGAAGGGGGGGTGTGTGTGGCGGTGGGGAAGAGGGAGCGGGCTGGGTCGGCCCCAGCTCGCGCGAAAGGAAGGGAAGAGAGGAGATGGGCTGGGCCCGCGTGGGGGAAGAAAGGAGAGAGTCGGGTCGGGCCGGCCTTGGTCCAGCCTGATTTGATTTTTTTTGAATTTTTTTATTATTTAAAAAATGAAAAAGAAAAATACATTGTAATAGTGCAAGGTGTACCTATGTCTATATGCAATGCAATTGAAATTAAAAATATTTTTTTTTGTTTTAGGAATTAAAAATTTAATTCATAATTTCTGCATAATTAATCTAATTGGGTAATTAAAAATAGGTGTCAATAGACTTTCATGGAAATGAATTTCAAAATTCGTGATAGGTGCTCGTACAAATAAGAGGTTTGTTAGATATTAGGGAAAAGTATTGAAAAAAGTCCTAAATCCATTACATTTGCGTCAATTACTTTTCAATATTGCCAATTGAGTTCTAAACCTGTTGACTCTTGGGAACAACACAGCCTCCGTGAATCAAGTCTAGTATTTCAAGCACGATGGATCTGTTAGGATTTGCTGCACAATCACAAAGAAAATAGAGAGTAAAAGCGAGAAAGAGAATTTGAGATGCATGGTTTTATCTCGGTTCACTCTTAAATTAGGGTTTCGTCTAGCTGAGAATTCCGTTATAATTAGCACCTCGCATATCTCTATTACATTCCTCAATTACAAGAGAAAGATGGGCCCAAACTCAACCCGTTCTGTCTAGTTGCTGGGGAGTATGAACCACACCCAAACAAGATCTACCTGAAGAAGAAAGTAGTTGTATTATTACATGGTACAATCTGCATTGAGTACCCTATTAAACCTGTTTTCAATCACATATTTTAACCAAGTATTTAGTCAGAAAGACATTATACTAAGTATGTTTGGCCGATCGCAAGATATATGACCGATTTTACTCTTCTTAAGAACCGGTAAGAGGCGGCCTCGTACGCTAAATTTCTTTGAAGTTTGTGCTAAACAACATTGTATAAGGTTGTTGCTATGATTTCACCTAAACGATAACCTACAGATTTTTCTTAAGATTTTCCAACAAGATGACCGTTTTAGCAGTTACCCTTTTCATTTTGATGCATTAACATATTTGTATGAGAAACACTACGAAACCTATGGCGTATTTTTGAGACGAAATAAGTGGTCATCAGTCATTACCTATGGCATATTTTTTTTTTATTTAGCAAAAAAAAAAAATTCAGCATAAGTGGAATGAAAGCCAAGTAGAGCGGTCTGTCTATTACCAATTGTTCAAAGTACAATGGCATTTTTGACTAAAAACTTGATATCTGGATTGCTCAGTAAATGACCGAAATACATCGAGTCAAAGGCACAATCTATCCTTTTCCGTTAATAAGAGTCTATGGAGAAACTTGCGTAACCAAGTGTGGTCTCATAATCGTAATCCTCTCCCTAGTTATATAGATGCAATTAATGTTTAAATGAGCAGAGAGATGATGGACCAGAAGGGTTAGGTACTTCCTAATGAGATACATTTTTGGCTTAACCATTTGACCAAAAAATGTTGGCGAAAAACAGAGATGGACCAAACAGGTATTCGTCAGCAGCCTTCTCTTCGATATCGCCCGTCACATGACCTCCCGTCCACTGGCTCCATAACCGGTGACCATCCCTCTCCGGCAAAGCTCTCTCCTTTTCTAGTTTTCACCTTGGCCCTTTTCTCGTTCCAGCGCCTTCGTCTCTTGCCAGTGCCTTGTACTCACTTAGATTCTGACCGGCAGTGATGAATCGAAGCTTTTTCTCTCGACCTAGTCATAGACTCACAGATCACAGCTTCTTCAGCGTCAATAAATCAGGTATTGTCTGATTCTTTGCTATGCGTTGTTTTGATTGTAGTTGGAACCGAAGTTCAAGCATGTGTCGGACCTAAATGAACTGGTTCATTTGATTTCAAACATCACTCATCATTGTCATTTGAGTCAGTCCACAAATCTAGATTTGAAGTGATTAAAATCTGCTCTTCAAATCGTCGGTCATAATCTGTTACAATCCAGCGAAGAACTTTCTTGCATGGGAAATAATCTTGAAAGTTCTTCCTACTTGTTTGTTTGTTGCTTATTTGCTACTACCGCAGATGACGGACCAACAGAGAAACTCAAGAATTGGAAGAAGAGGCTTCCACCTAGAAGAGGTCGTAGTTGTATTAAGTTTTTTCTATCGTTTCTGATGTTATTGAGATGCTAAGTCAATTGGTCTTTTGAAGAATGAAAGAAATGCCTGCGCAGGTCGAATGAGCAGTCGCATGTTAGCCATTTTAGTCGAATCCCTCGAAAATATTGATGTTCCTGCATACTGCATAGTCTCCGATATCCTCCTTTTTCCTCTCCCTTGCTGTGTTCACTCCTGGTATATTTTATTTCATTGTACTTGTGCAGGGCAACGTACCGACTTCCTTGTCTTTTGACTCGAGACTTACTTTCTTGATAGAACTTAAAGAATCCAATTACATTCTGTTATTGTTGTGTATGTGTGAAGTTGATGTGTCAAGATAACATGTCATGGAGGTGGAGGGATGTAAGGAGAAGACTCCGATAATCTTTCATGGATTGTTGCTATTGACAAACGAAAAACTTTCATTATTATTGTTGTGGTCACTTTCATTTTGCTTAACTAGAAATGAAACAAAAGGGGGAAATGAAACTTGAAATTGACTTAGAGGGAAGACATAAAGTAAACGGTATCATTATCAAATCAGCCCAGAAAATTTTCCAGGAGACGCCGTCTTGGAACTTGCACGATGGTATGAAACTCGTGTGCCCTGTGAGCTTACTTACAAGTAAGCTCATCTAATATCTAATCTGATATGAATAAGGAAAACCTATCTTATAGCGTCATAAAGCGTATGTATTCGCAAGTTATTTTTTTGAGTTTTGTAATTGCAATTCCCCGTACCACAATAATCCATGTCATCTTGTATTTTTCATGAAAAATCACTAACATAAGCTGTAGATATAAACTGATTTAATGTGGCTAACTTGTAGATGCAAAACATGCACTCCTTAAGTAGTGGCATGAGAATTTGTGGTCACGAACATTTAGTCAGCTGCGGTTAAGTTAATGCATCCATATCAACGCAATTAGCATCTAGTGTAAGTGTTTGATTACTCTTCAATAATGCTAACATCCTCCGTAACCATGAATCCTACATACTACAGTAGGAATGTAAGCGAAAACTACCAAAATGATATTCATATTGTCGAAGTTCAATGTATCATTGTGCATTCATAATATAAAATAAATAAAACCAATCCTATAGCATATCTTGAAGAGTATGATTGGCCAACTATATCCTTTTTTCAAATGCAACTCTCTCTACCACAATAATGCACGTCATTGTTTTAAATACCATTAATATAGGTGGTGGATGCATATATTATTGATTGTTTGTCGGGAGAAAAGCTACGATCTGTGCGAGGCTGATGTTGGGAATCAGCTGTCACAGTGAGATGGGAGAGACATGGTGAGAGGACATCTTCTCATTGATAGTTGGTTCAAGGTAGACTTTGTGACTTGCTCTATGTCACAAAGTCTACCTTGAAATCAAGATAGCTAGTCGGTTCAGGGATCAAATCTATCACTAAATATAGGAATGGAAGCGCCGGTTTCGTTTATATAGCACTCTGGTGCCTACAAGTTATATCTTCTTGTCATATCATACTAATCATGGATATTGATGAATAAAAAATATCATAAGTCACGGATTCATCTTGCAAATGTAGATTTAGAAGGATATGCGCAACAGCGATAACTGATGTGAATTGCAATAGATTACGCTCAAGAAGTGCCATGAACTTGCGGACAATGGAATCAGCCACAACGCAAAGCACGGAATAGCATATGCTTCTTTGACGAATTTTATAAAGCTTGTACAAACACCCATCACTAATGCATAAAGCAAAAGCCTGTAACCAAAAGCGAGTTTTCGGCCAACAATGCATCCCTAATCGAGGGGCACAGGTTCGAATAAAGTTGACACAATATGGTCCTTGGTCTCGTGATCAGGAAGGCCGTGTCCATCTCCATACTGGTAAAAGCACTGAGAAGCTCGCGCCAAGTTCAAACATGCCCCAAGAAAAGGCCTGAACCCGGGAAATGGGTGGTCCTCAAACACATCTCCGTTGATCTTCTTCCACGTCTTGCGCATTAGATGCCTGATGTGTTGCCGCGCGGCCTCTTCCAAAGCGCCAGTTTCATTCATGTAGCATTCTAGCGCCTTGAAGTTGTCTCCTCGTGCCAATTCATACTAAGCATGGACGACATTGATGGGTCACAAACATTAGTCCCGAGATTCATCTGACATTCGTATCAAAGACAAATATCAAAGTAAGTTACCGATGATGTGCTGAGATCATCATTGAGTCGAAGAATCTTGGCGGAAGAATGCATGAGACTCGGGATTTTCGACACGTAATCAAGTCCCTCTTGCGTCAATTCGTCTGTGGTTAGGAAGTAGCTGTGCAACAGCAAAATCAGCCCGCCTATTGAATCCACCGCATTGCCCATGTACTCCTTCAGTGTTGGTTTAACCCCCTTGTTGTACCAATGCACCTCCTTTATGTACGCCGTACATTCATCCGCCCACTGTAGGATTGAAATTCGAAAAGTGTGTCAATGACCAAGTCGAGGGACGTTCTTTTCTCCAACTTTTTTGGATTCTCAAATGTTTTGAGAGAAGTCATAACGAAAGTTAGAAGTAGAAAATAAGTTGCCCTGCACGGTTGAGAAATTGTTAGTTGAAAGGTTTAGCAAGTCGAGATTACCACTTTTCGCATGTAGGGAATGGGGTTGATTCCTTGCTCTCTCATTGTCCAATACCCAATTTCGTTGGTCGTGTTGTACAAGGCAATGTAACTATCCCTTATTGTTGGAGGAAGGTTATCGACGTCCGTGATATCCCATCTAGAAAAGTTACCGTCACTTGATATGCTTTTTAGTAATAACAATGAAAAATAGTTCATATCCTTACTTTATTAGCCCAAACCAGTCAATTGCATAGAAGAAAAACAAGCTGACATAAAACATGATGTCCAAAACACATTGAAGAATTTATTTCATAACATAAAATTTTTAGGATATGATTTACCTATTGCATTTGTAGACTAATTAATTCCCTGTAGTCTTTTTTCTTGACGATAATGGTTACGAGAGAAAATGATGATGGTGGTGATATTATACGAACCTGACAATGAAATCTGTTAAGAGCTCAAGCTCTTCCAGTGTCCCATATACATCATAAACATCATCGATGAGTGTCACCATACAACCGATCTTTGTTGTCATTTCTCTGAAAGCTGTATATTGAGGTTCAAAAACCATTAAACAGCACCAAAAATAGTTTTCCACTAGCCTGTCCCTAAAGAATGTCATCTTGTTCGCGCCCAGTTCAACCCACCACCTGAAAAATTTGTCATATGATGACTAAGTCAATCAAAATGCGCTCCTAACTTGCCAGATTGCATCTATGAACTATTGAGTGCTTGTGTATACCTTGCCAGATTGCTAACTTCCTTCCTGTGGATTGACTGCACTAAATTGAAGTCTATTTTAGCCAATCGTAGCAAAGAGGGGATCATGTCTTGCTGCTTCTCGTACATTTCCATGAACCACCGAGCCTCCAATCTGTTTGGCCTCCAGTGGATTGGCATATCTAATGCATGAAGCACTTTTCTCGCCAAACAAGTTGGAATTTCATCGAGGTTCAGATTCTTCAGATGCTTAGAAGCGAAATCCTGAGCTTCGTCCAGTATGCTTTCACCTTCCAATCCATGAAAAGAAGCTTCATAAAGACCAAGAAGCCCCTTCACATCCTTCTCGAGTGATTCCTTGAAGGTACCCATCTTGTTAATAAACCTTCGAAACACATCTATATGTCCAACAAAACCAATGATATTTTTTTTTGTTTAGAGATAAGAGAATATAGTAATTAGAATAAGACTAAAACGAAAGTTCATAACTAACTTAAATAAGAGTTTGTAATGCACAATTTGTTGGTAACTTAATAGGAGACAAGTTGATAATCACTTTAATTGAGGTCGGTGACGTATAGAAAGAGTTGTTAAGCAACATAAATGAGAGTTAGTAACTCAAAACCAATAAACTTAATCGGAAAAAAAGTTGGTTAGTCAGACACAAAAGGTTGGTAATTTCATTTGGTAGTTGACAAAATCAAGCTGATGATAAGAATGGTAAATTAAAATTTGCAACTGATAAGAGAATTCTTGTCATAGACAAGAGTTGTTGGTAATTTTAAAGAAATCAATAACTAACTCAAACAACGCTAAGAACTAATTGATAACTCAATAAAAAGTTGGTAATTTCTAGAAAGAGTAAATAGATTTATAGAAAACTCAATAGAAAAGTTGGTAAATTTTTAAAAAGAAAACAAATAAACATTGATAAGCAACTCAATTGAGAGTCAATAAACTAAAACTAGTTGGTAAGTAATGGGAGAAAAGCTAGTAGCTCACACAAACAAAAGTCGATAAGTTCATGTAAGAGTTGATAAATTAAAGACGTTTGTGAGAAAGACAAATAATAGTTGGAAAACGATAACAATAGTTGATAAATTAAAAGAACAAATAAATATTGGTAAGTAATTCAAATGAAAGTTGCCAACTCACAAGTAATTGGTAATTTAATAAAAAAATGTTGGCAAGTCACTCGTATAAAGATTAATAAATTCATATAATAGTTGAAAAATTAAAGTCGGTTAAATATAAGAAAATTGGAATTTGCAAACCTGTTAAAGGGAATTGGTAATTTCATAGAAGTGCCAATAAGTTGTTTACAAATTACCGAGAAATCAGGTAAACTTGTAATTTCTTTTACAAACATATCTTTAACACTTACAAACTCTTTCATATATTTACTAGCACGAAAAAATCTGTTCTTTCGGGAACAAAACAATTGAACCGTCCAAGTTCCAACTTATCATGAGAATGTGTCTTTGCTTCTACTGTAAAAAGCACATGATGTCGACCCAAAATTGACTAATGACTTAAAATTAAAAATCATATGAAGATTAATTTGAATTGTTATCACGAGAAATTATTAGGCGAATAAATTTTGTCCTAGATGAATCCCGTGCAAAATCCACCATTTTATTGATTTAATGTGCAAATCATTGAAATGGTGATAATAATTAATATTTTGGTACATGTAACATGCTCTAATTTACGGGTCAAGATTCATACACGTAATACACCTACCAAATATAAAACTACACTTATTGTGAAGCCTTTTTTGGATTAAATATTTATTAAAGTAGACCCAATGAAGATTTGGTCAAACTACGCATCCTAGCTTTTTATATTGGAGGTTAGTTTCTTTCAAAATGTAATGATCCTAAATATCATATTGTCAATGAAAATCTTATTCCATTCTAAAGGCTAATTTTTCTCTAAAACTATCATATTTTTAAGAGGTTAATACCACGAAAAATTTCAAACTGGTACACCCGTGACAAATTTACCCAAACTAATTTTTTAACCACTAAAAACCCCAAATTGGTACACTTGTGACAAATTTACCAAAAACAAATTTTTTGAGCATAAAAAACTCCAAACTTGTATATTTGTGACAAATTTACCATCCATTAATTTTCATTAATTGGATTAATACGAAAAAAATTGCAAACTGGTACATTTGTGACAAACGGAGGGTAAAACCCAAAACCGGTACATCCGTCAACTGTCGCGTGTTAATTAACAAAGCAATTTAACTATAAAATTTAACGGTAGTTAAAGGAGGGTAAACTTGTCACAAGTATGCTAGTTTGGGGTTTTTTGTGGTTAAAAAATTAGTTTGAAGTAAATTTGTCACATGTGTACCAGTTTGGGGTTTTTCGTTGTATTAACCCTAAAACTTTCATGAATTAAACTAAGTTGCAGTTATAAATGGGATTTTTTTTGGGGGGGGGGGGGGGGGGTGTGGGTGTTGTTTCAAAAGGAAAGTGAGATGGCAAATAATACAAAAATTAACCTTGAGATATATCGTAGCCATGCTGTCTGAGAAGTCTAAATCCAAGCGCAGTCGAGCGGAGATCACTTGAAAAACAAGCATCATTCGAATCGTCACGGATGACTTGTAATGCCCTTTTGATGTCATTCTCGAAATGGTATTGCAGCCCAAGCCTTTGAATCGCATCGATGAGCTCAAGCTTCGCCAACCAATGTGTCTCCCTCTCCAATCTGTCCTTCAGCTCTTCCTTCATCCTCTGGATCCCCTCCACATATCTCTCCTCCTACATATTAATTTCACTCTTATAAGCTCGCAAGAAAATCAAGCATATTGTGGCCTTCTCACAAGTTTTGAGCAATCAAAAAGCTTCACAAGGTATTAATGATACAAGCAAGAGGAAAGCATATTGAAACCGACCGCATAATCTGCACTCAGTGACTTCAGAATGTCATAATCCCAGATACTCGGCGTGTAGTTTGCCGAACGCCTAGTGACTGGCGACTGCTCATTCGCATTCGAATTAATGCTGCTAACGCGCCGAATCCCTGTGGTGATTGCGACCGCGACAAAAGAGGAGGAGGAGGAGGGGCGAGGGTGTTTGAGGAGCAGGACGGAGGGTCGTCGCCCGCGGTGGAGTGAAGAAGAAGGGAGGTAGCTTGTGGTAGGAGATTGAATAGCCATGCTTCTTGTGTTTTGGTATTAGCATTAGCTATTCATGGATCATGAGTTGATATTTATATTGTCTTTTCTGCTTGTAGAAAAAAGAGAAAAGAAATAATCGTTGCAGGTCATTCGTGTCGGAAATAGCAACTTTGTTTTTGCTGAAGTCGAAAATAGCAACTTGCACACCAGATGGGCAGCACCTTTTCAATGTGCGAATATCATATCCACTTTTGACGAGATTCACGTGGCATGGTGGCTGTCGGCAGACAAGATTAGGTTAAAGAATTAGCAAGTCAAGATCACACCACTGTCCACTTAGAACTAAAAACAAAACAAAAAAGTTAATAAAAACGAGAACATCAATTTCTTGTCGAACCAAAAGGGTGAAAATGAAAAAAACAGAAACGTCACTTTATTTTTTTAACCACCGGAGTTTGCCCCAGTGACCACCTTTCTTACTTGAGAAGGGGAAGGTGGGGAGTTCGAAGCCTCACCTTTTCAGGAGAGGCTAGGGGTGGGGACGTGTAGTTTTAAATATTGGTTTCAACTCCTACGCTCTGCAAGAGGTAGAGCAAAAGTTTGAGAATGAGTTGAGAGTTAGAGTAAGATAAACAAAAAAATAATAAAAAAAAACTTATACTTTTTCTTTTTCCTTTCTAGAAGGTCACTTTCTACATGTAAGGGATGAAGTTGATGCCACGCGCTCTCTTCATGTTCGGATCTTCAATGCCGGAGAAAGTGTAGAGAAGTAGAAAGTGACATAAGTGATAACTTAAATGGATATGCTACTTGCCATATGTAGGAATCCACTTAAGGATAAGAACAATACTTGTCACTCGTAGGTAATCAACCTAAGGGATAATAGCAAAACAAGAAAAATTTCTTGTTCTTAAGCCAAAGGCTTAAATAAGTTATGAATCAATCAAGTCTTCCTTTTTTTTATTCATCATAGCATGCTTATATAGATGAGCATGGAACAACCGTCCGAGCATGAGTAATTTCCTAGACTCATTGGAGACAAAATTAGTTTTACTACAAAGTATAATAAAGTCTTAGGAACTAGAACTTTTAACTCTTGGAACCTTTATCACAAATAAGACTCATATAGACCTAGGAACTAAGAAATGCAATGATGACAATTATAAGACCTCGAAAATATGAGAAATATGGTTGTAGGTCTTCAAGTTTAAATATTTTCAAAGTTGCTTAATCAATGGCCTTCAAGGAATGCTCCGGCATCAGAAGCTTTTGCTGCATGTAAACTCGTCTCCAAGTTTCCTTTGTCCTCAACTTCATGGTAGGGAGAAAGTTTTGTAACATTGAGCATTGCCTGACACATCCTTACCAAAAGAACTTGATTCCAACAGATTTCTCGGACGGCCTCTCTAACGAACTAGATAATAGATTAGTTTCATACTAACAAATATCTTCATGGCATGCTAAAAAGATGAAATATATTAAACATATTTTGACAATTGATGAAAACTTTGATAGAGAATGCTTCGGGGCATACAAAATGAAAGTGGTAGGTAATGCCTCCGGCCATTATAATCATTCCCTCTCCATTTATGACCTCGACATTTGCCTCAACAAATTTGTTTGGAGATTCACCATCCATAACATCATAGTTGCTTGATGGTATCTAAATGATCAGCATCTCTCCCTTCAATTTTTCCGTGATCTCGTCTTGCTCGAAAGTAAGGCCTCTTGGAACATGATAAACCATTTCTTTAGCCATGATTTCATCCAGTGGCCATTGTAGCTCTTTATGCTCTTTAGGACTCATTCTGTAGGCTGCTTTCCCAAAACGAAATCAATGCAATGCTGGATGTCTTATATGGGTGGAAGACCAAGTGGAATCTCTTCCAGAACAACATCTTTAGAGTCTTGGAGAAGAGGTTCTACTTGAGAAGGGACATATTATTTTTCTTCATTTTCTTCGTACACCACAAGTGCATATGCCTCCATGAATTCTTCCAAGGCCTCATCAATTTCAGATTTAGAGAGTAAATTATTTCCTTCCCCATTAGATGGTTTAGGAGTACTCTCTATTTTGGAAAGACCCAAGGTGATTTTGACAACATCTTTCTTGAAAGCGTAAGTATTTTTAACCCATCATGCTTAGTTTTTCTATCAAATTGCCAAGGCATCTCAATAATCAGATGGCAAGCATCCGTGGGAACAATATCACACCATATTCCATTATTATATTTTTCCCAGTAGAGAATTGAACAGGACATTTTTTATCAACCCTTACCTTATTTTCTTTGCGAAGCCAAAAAAACTTGTAAGGTTGTGGGTGTTTTTCTGTTTTGAGGTGCAATTTATCCACCATTGTTGTGGCCACTATTTTCTCACAATTTCCTCCATCAATGATAACATCAAACATATTTCTATAAGAAGTGCATCTAGTTTGAAAAAAGTTGTTGCGAAGCCAAGTATCATCTTCACTAGGAGTAGCATTCAAGATTCGATGAAGGATTATAGACTCTCCTTGATCTCCATAGGTAACTTCATGTCCCTCATCTGGACCTTCATTGGAGCTAGTTGAGTCTTCTTCAAGCTGTTCTTCTACTAGAGAGACAATCTTACGATTTGGACAATTAGAGGCACTATGTCCAAACCCTTGGCACTTGAAACACTTGATAGAGTTAAGGTGATTGGAACTTGATGCTCCATCATTCTTAGGAAGTGACTTTGAAGCGGCTGCCCTAGTATTAGAAGTAGCGGCACTCTCACCTTTGGAATAACCTTCTTTGTTCCAAGACCGAGAGCTTCTACCATGTGCTTCTTTAAGTTGTCATTCCACCTTAAGTGCAAGTTGAATAACATCATTATAAGTTCAATAAGTTTGTAGTTGAACAGCATTACTGATTTCTGATCGAAGTCCACCAAGGTAGCGGACAACAGTTTACTCTTCTGGCTCATAAACATTAAAAAGGATCATGAGGTGATCAAATTTCGCTGTATATTCTTCCACAGACAGTGCCTTTTGTTTGAGATTGTGAAACTGAAGAAAGGTATCTTGACAGTAGTTTGTCGATAAGAACTTCTTCAATTCTTTCTTCATTTTCTCACAAGTTTCGATACGACTTCTTCCTTCATTAGCTCTTTGCTTTTTCAAATGCTCCAATCAAATAGATGCATGTTTTTTGAGCTTGATGGTGACTAGCTTTACCTTTTGATCATTTGGTATTTCTTTGTAGTCAAAGACTCTTTCTACGGCATGCAACCAATCCATAAATTCTTCCAGTTGCATTTTCCCTTTGGATTTAGGAATTTACACCTTCAAATAAGAATCTTGTTGAATTCCATGAAACCTTCGATACTAATGTCGAGGAAGTCCTTCCTCACTTGAACCATGACTTCGAGTACCAGTGAAGGGATAACATCCTCTTCATCAGAGAGAGCATCTTCCGAATCATGATGCAAATCATCACGTTCTAGAAGTTCGAAGCATTGCAAACACTTGTGCAGTTGTTGCACTTGTCTCCTTAAACCATCTACCTCTACATCTCGTAGGTCTCTTTCTTGACACTACAAAAAAACTTGTTTTTTGCGACGGAAATTTGCGACGGATTATTTTCGTCGTAAATTTGCGACAAACTTTGCGACGGATTTATAAATCCGTCGCAAATTTGCGACGAAAATAATCCGTCGCAAATTTGCGACGGAAAGTTGGTCGTCGCCAGTTCCGTCGCTAATTTGCGACGACTAATTTTCCGTCGCAAATTTGCGACGAATTTTGCGACGGATTGATTTTCCGTCGCAACGAATATTTTATCCGTTGCAAATTGCGACGAAATTGGATTCGTCGCAAATTTGTACCGGAAAATTAATTTTGTGATATGCACCCCACCCCACCCGTCAATTTCTCTCTCTCTCTCTCTTTCAGTAGTGATTCGTCAGGTCGCCCGCTTTTCTCTCACCTTCTCCTTTTATCATTTCTCTCAATAATCCGTGCGCACAGAAATCAATCTCGGTGAAGCTTTTCCACAGGTAAGTATCGTAGCTAATTAAGTCCGTTTAAACATGCAACTAATATGGTCCTGTCCTTCTGATTCATCGTCAGATGCGAATTTTTTTTTTATTGACATTATTTTCTGTTTTTGTTGTAAATTGGTCGCCGGTTGGCGACCGGCCACCAATTTGCGATGGACGAAAGGGTGAGGTGCCGGTCGACCTCGCCGCCGTGGCGGCCTCCCCCAGATCTGGGCGAGGCCGACCGACGTCGACCCGCGGCCATGGCGACCCCGCTCGGCCTCGCCCAGATCAGCCGGGCCGGCTGCCATGGTGAGGCCGAGCGGCCTCGCCGGCGACCGGAGAAAATTATAAGAAATTTTTTTTTTAAAAATTCGGAAAAAATAAAAAAATTTTAAAAAATGAATGTTAAGTGATTTTGCTTTTATTTAGGTACGTGTCCAATTGAAGGTCTCGCAATCCAAGTGAACTTTGCAATTCTCTTCAAATTGACCACTTTCTGCTATCAAGATTTCAGTCAAATATCTAGGTAAGTCTTCTTTACATGGTAATTTTTTCATTTTTTAAAATTTCGTAGTAATTGTTGCGTGAAAAACAAAATTTTAATTTTCATAAATTTTTTTTAATTAACAACGGTAGATATGATATTTTCAATATTTTACGAGATTTTTTTATTTTAATACAGACACAATGCAAAGAAACAGGGCTTGGATGTATAATAAGAACTTACCTGGACGTCAAGGATTGACCGATGAGTTTCGGACTGAGTTAGAACTATTTTTAGACTTTGCTAGTAGTAAATATGAGTTCATGGATGGAAATAAGTTAAGGTGTCCGTGTAGAAAGTGCAGTAATGGTAAATTTCATGTGTGTGATACAGTTAGAGAACATCTTTGTAGAGTTGGGTTTACTCCGAATTATTATAATTGGACTTGCCATGGTGAACCATTTATATCCGATGAAGGATATTGAAGAAGTGACCAATTTTTAGGAGGGGAAGAATGTAGCTATTATGACCAATTGAACCCATACGAGAGGATGGTGAT